TCAGCCACTGCTTTGTATGTTGGTAGAGTTTCCTAGACAAACCTTTGTTTTCCCTGAAGTTTTAAATTTTCTACTGTCACACCCATCAGACTATTTTCTTACTTTCTTGGTGTCATGGGGCGTCCCCCACATCATGGCTCCAATCAGGGTCCTCCCAAGACAGACTTCTTGAGTTAGAGTCTCTCCTGGACACCATGTCCTTCCCTTTCTTGGCCTAATTCCCCCTTTGGTGGAGTGTATCCTCCAGTAGTTTTCTATGAATGGGTGCCTGTAAGGTAATGTCTTTGTTTCATTACATATCTGAAAATGTCTGTTTCCTCAAACACTGGATCAGTTGGTGTGTAAAGACTGAGTTGAAGACCCATTTCTCTTAGAATTCTAAAGGCCTCTGCCATATCTCCCTGTGGTAATTATTATTTATTATATTACTTGACACATCCAAGGCCATGTTGATTCCAATACTTTTACATGTGACTTTTGTTGCTTACTTCTAGGATCTTTGTCTCCAGGGTTCTGGAATGTTGTAATAACATGTCCCACGTGCCTGCACTTATGAGAGAATGACATTTAGTGGGCTCTGAACATTTGACTTTTTTACTTTCAAAAATTCTTTCATTTATAATTTATTTGATAATTTTATCATTTCTTCTCTTTCTGTTGTATGTCAGAAACTCCTGTTGGTCAGACACTGGGCCTACTGGATTGATCCCTAAACCTTCTTAATTTTTTTTTTCCTGATTCTTTATCTCTTTTTCTTTTGTTTTATTTTCTGGAAAAATCTCCTAAATTTCTCTTTCATCATTTTCATCAATTTTTTAATTTTAGGTGGACTCTCGTATTCTTTATTATTGCCTTAAAAATTGTCCCAAAATTTTGCAGTTGAAAGCAGCAAACATTCATTATCTCAGACATTTTTTGAGGCTCAGGGATCTGGGAGCATCTTAGCTGGGTGGTGCTGTCTCAAGGTCTCTCAAGAGGCTGCAGTCAAGCTGAAGGTTGGAGCAGTAGTTATCTAAGGCTTTGATATGGTTGGAAGGTTAACTTGCAAGATAGCTCATTTGTAGGATTGTTATTGGGGACCTCAACTCTTCAAGACCTTAGCCTCTTCATAAGGCCTTGGTTTGTCATTCAGTTAGCTTCCCCAGAACAAGTAATTCAAGAGACAGAGTGGACATCACAATGTCTTTTTATGACTCCAGAAGTGACATAGCATCATGAATACCCTATTCTATTGGGAGGAGACTATAAAAAGGCATGGACCCCAGGATGAGGGATTATGGGGGAGCCCCTCAGAGGCTAGCTACCACAGCTCTGCATTTCAACTTGGGTTGTTTCTCTTCCTCCTCTGCCTGTGCCCCCCTTTTTGGAGCTGCCTCAGTTGGTAATCCTCCATGACCCCAATCCAAATACAGTTGACCCTTGAACAACATGAGTATAACTGCACAGGTCCATTTATGCGTGGATTTTTTTCAATAAATACTGTAAATATATTTTCTCTCCTTTATAATGTTCGTAATGACATTTTCTTTAGCTTAATTTATTGTGAGAATACCATATGTTATACATACAACGTACAAACTATGTGTTAATTGACTTCTATGTTATCAGTAAGGCTTCTGTTTACTAGTAGCAAAAGGTCCTCGAGAGAATGTGGTACAGCTGTTATCAGTAGTTAAGTTTGGGGGGAGTCAAAAGTTATATGCAGATTTTTGATTGCACAGAGTCAGTGCCCCTAACACTTGCATTAAAGGTCAACTGTAGTGTCAAATGCTATTTCTTGGCTCTTGAGACAGCCAAACTCCAGATATCACAGTAGGCTGCCAGACTTAGTCCAGCCTCTCAGGCATCAGCCCTCCCACTGCTCTCTGTTGCCATCGCATTTTGCTTCCCAGAAACATTTATTTTGTTTTTTAATTTACTTATTTTTTATTTTCTCTTTTTATATCTTACCTCTTATTGAAACAGAGACTATGTGCCAAAACAATAACAAAGTCCTGTTCCACTCAACCCGAAGCTTCTACTCGCCATCCATCTTCCAAAAATTGATTGACACTTTTTATTTGTTTTAGTCTTCTCACCTATTTTCATTATCTTTGGGTTGATACTTTCTTTATTCTTTATTTTATTTTTTATCCATCATCTTATTCTGGTTTTCAAAAGGAGCGGACACAAATAAAGGTATTTAATCAACTCTCTTTCTGCCTAACTCTTCCATTCATAAGTGAGCCTGTTTTTTTCTGCTTATAAACATGCAGGATAATATTGCTACTCAAGCAGTGTCCATATTTTCAGATTATGTGACACCAGAGTCTTTTCTGGAATCCAAAGAAGACTTCCATTTGAAAAGGTGATCTTGTTTTATGAGTGATGTTCAGTCAGTGCTCTAAAAATGTTAACTATCGCTATCATTTTTGTACTGATCAGGGCAAAAAAATAAACAACTAACAACCCCACGTTTATGATTATAGATCTAAATATCATCCACTGCATTATGGAAGATGTGTAAAACTCCCTCAACATATTGTCCATTCCCAAATGTAGCAGGGACCTCTGAGTCAGCGCCAGTGATCTGTATGCTTGCTGTCATCCAGAAAATCACAAATGGGCGGCTGGGTTAGATGTCTAGACTGGGGATGTCTCTCTGGAGGGCAGTTGAAAGATAGGAACTGGCAGTTGAAGAGAGATTTCTGTGATATCCAAGGATGGGGACAGTGGCTTGTGATGGGAAAGAAGGAGCCACTGAAAAAGCAGCACACGGATGGCACCCCTCTTTACTGGAGGGCATGTTGCCAAAGCTCAGGGGCAATTGCTTAAGGCAGACATGGGTGGAAGGGCAAAGAACAGCCCATGGACTCTGTCTGGCACAGCTGCCTGCACATGGTTGATGCTTTTCACAAACAAAAACGTTTGCCTCTAGCTATTGGCTGAGCAGAGGGTCAATAAATATTCTGCAAAATCAACAGGCCTGCTCAGTAAAGTGTGAACCAGCTTTGAATGTTGCCAAGTTCTCCTTATGTTAACCCAGGCTGAGCTGGGCTGGGCTGGGCATGGGGGAGGAGAGATTGGACAGAGGGCAGCAGAATACATGTAAACAGCATGGGCTGTTCTGAGAGTAAAAAGAGAAAATATCTGAAATTATTCAAAAATTATTTCCTGGCCTAATCATAAACAAACAAAAAAATGTATGTCATATTTAGATCCTTTATTAGTTTTAGGAATAAAAAGATAATTTTTGCTGCCTGCCAGACACAACTCCTACCTGCAGTCTATTAGTAAACATAATAAACCTCAACTCATGAGCATTTAAAAATAGCAATATTAAGTTAATAAGTTAGTAAAAGTCCACACTATTGGTAGTCCACAGAAACAGCTATGGGGGAGGAAAGAGTTTTCCTTGACCTTCTTAGGATCTCTGGCTGACCTGAAAATTAAAGCGACAGAATCAGATTAACAGGAGAAAAGCACGCACATTTTATTAAATTTGTACATGTGTGGGAGCCTTCACAGGAGAATGAAGACACCAAGAAACGACCAGAGCAGGGAACTTTGAGATCTTTTGGACAAAGAAACAATAAATTTGTAAAGAACTGACAAAACAGTAAAGACATTACTAGAAAGAGAAGGGTGAATTTACCAAGGTTTATTGGCAGCTCCCTATGGTGCCATCTCTGGGATGAGTCTGTTCCAGGACACATCTTACGTACTTGTCTAAGTACTCTAACAGTGTTAACCCATTTGACCCAATTTTCAGATGCAGAAACTGAGGCATTAGAGATCACATAAAGTCAAACAGGTGACTTGGCAGAGCTGGGATTCAGGCCCAGGAAGTTTCCTGTTAACCGCTCTGCCATATGGACCTGCAGGCAATATGTGGACCTTCATGAGCACAAAAGAAATTGAGACAAAGAGAAAAGGGCAAGAGACAGCTGACCAGCCTTCCTGGAATTGCCTGCTGCCTTTGTAAAAATATATTTGATTGGCACTTTTCATTTATAAGCATCACGCACCATTGGAGTCTCAAACCAATACTATATTAAGCAAACAAATTGTGTGTGTGCTCATTTACTGTACACATAATATTTGCTTAATTGACTAATATATTTAGTATACTCTAAGAGTACTATTAATGTTTGTAGTTAATGCATTTGTAGTTGCACCAAAATGCTTCTCAGTTTGCTTACCCTTGGTCTTAGAATGAAGACCAGCTAGCTGGCACTGGACAACCCCCTTCAGGAGGAAATGTCTGGGAAGACAATAGCTAGTTCCGCCTGTCGGAAGGAAAGGTTGCACAGTAGCATGTATGTCCCTTGGCACAGGATATTTCAACAAAACAAGAGAAAAGGGTAGCCTCCATTAACTATTTTACTCAGTGCAGGGCACTCGCTCTGCATCTTCTTTTACAGATGAGATAACTTGGAAGGATTAAGTAATTTGTTTAATTTTTGTTTTTTAATAAGAATGCTTTGATATTAGTATTAGCGAATTAGTTTGTTTTTCTCTATAAAGACACATCATGAGTGTTAGTCATCTTTTCTCCGTCTTGAATTATTTCAAGAAAAGAAAACTTGAGAATCAACCTCAGAAGATGCTACCAATTAATGTACTCAAATACATACATATACATTAATTATGCTGAACTTATGACACTTACCAACATAGGACCACGTTCCACCTACAACAATGGCAATTTCATATGGTTCAACTATGTATTGTTAAAAAAAAAAAAAAAAAAAAAGACAATTGGCTTTTTTCCATGAATAAATTTCTTAAAACTCTTAAATACCATGAGAATGATGTTCATTCATCTGACAGTTCTTCCATATGCAACAGCTTCTCCCACATCTACTCTATTTCTATTGATACATTGCCACAGCATCTCATCACTTCTAATAATCAGTGTTCAACCCTCTAAGAATAGAAAACTATGTTTGCTTTTCCCAATCAGTTGGGACTTATTAAGCTGTTTTTACCCAGAACCCTTTCTCTTTCCCTCTTCCTAGGGCTGTGTCTGCACGGACAAAGGCCAGTGCTTCTGCAGTGGTACCAAAGGGGAGAAGGTAAAAATAAAACCTTAATTCTGCTTCTTTGCTCTTTGGAGCTCATCCTGGAGCTCACACTCTTCTTTCACTAAGGGCAGGAAGATCAGCAGTGTGTTCTTCCATTCCTCAAATCCAATGTTAAGTAATTGTATGTAAAAATTAACCTGAAAAAAAAGGGGAGGGGTGTGAGAGGAACTTCAGATAACTGGTGTAAATACAGGCAGTTATTTTAACTCTCTTGGCCTGTAAAGGAGAAATGGCAAGTTAGCAAAAAGGGGAGTTGATGTATACCCTATTTACAATTTTGCTAAACACGAGAGAACTGGAAATATCTTAATTCACTCTCTTTGACATAAACTAAACATTGAAACGCTACCATTTTAAGTCCTGTGGCGTTGATGCAGGCCCGCCCCCTGGTGGAAGGATCCTGTAGCAACATTCTACTTGAGGCAAATGTTACCAGAGGGAAGTGGCTCCATTGCAGAATTCAAGGAGGGGGGCGAGGGGTAGGGAAGGGAATGCGGTGAAATCTCATTAATTCGCTCCATTAACTTGCAATCTGTGATAATTAAGACAGAGACAGAACTAAAGTTGTGTCTTTGTTCACAAAACCCTTCCGTCAGATACACTAATGATTTACTTACAATACTGAAATGTAACTGCTTAAAAGTATTTTAAAAATTGTTTTAAGCTCTCTAGACAAAATAATCATAATTTATATGATCACTATAATAGCTATTATTATATTTATTTTAAATTATTCTAAAATTCATGTGTAGTTGATTTAGGGTTTTTCCCCTGAAGCTATCGATATTATACTCGGATTCATGATGGAAACTGTGATTCAATCTCACATTCTAGAAGCAGTATTGAATCCCTACTGTGTTCAAGATGCTATCTAGGATGTGTGAAGGAACTTGAGTATTGAGAGGAGTGTATTTCTCATTTTATTGAGTGTATACTCTCTCCTCTCTCTCTCTCTCTCTCTCTCTCTCTCTCTCTCTCTCTCTCTCTCTCTTTCTCTTTTAAAATATAATTTGCCAATTATGTAACTAAATTGACTGGATTAACTGGTGGCTTTTACTGTTGAAGAGAACTCCAGGATCTACTTCCATGGGAAGATTCTTTGTTGACAAAGAACCATGTAACACATTGGGCCTAAATTACTTACCCTCACTCATTATTAGGAGCTTTTCCATATCACCTGACTCTTTCTAAAAAAGACTATTTAGCTCACACTGATACGTATGCCACCCTTAACATCTCTCCTGCACAAATATCATATTGAATTACGAATTCCTGTGTAATCAAGAAAGAACTAAGATGCACAGCTTGCATGTTGTTCTTTTCAAGCTACAGGGCAGTTATGCACACTCCCAGCAGCATTCCTGCGCCTTGTACTCACTATCTCTGTCTTTCAACAAACACACTACTGCCCTCAATCTTTCTAACTGGGTTTCCCCTCCTTTCTGGATTTTATTTTTCTTTCTCTCCCTGCTCAGTTAACTCTGCCATTTGGGCTAATGTTCTTACAGATCAAGGGCCAGCATTGCCAAGCCTATGGACAATGCTAATAGCCGGCAGCTTTTCAGTTACTGATCCACTCACTGCTGAGGGCTGATTTTTGTTTACATCTAAGGGGGGGGGGGGGGGAATATGCAAAAAACGTTATCAAGTTATAAATGGGGAAAAGCAATGGTTAAGGTTATGGATGTCATTGAAGAGTTTCTGTTCTGTGTGTTTCTCCTCTTGTTTTGATTTTAATAGGGAGAGAAAGGTCTTCCCGGACCCGCTGGTTCTCCTGGTCTGAAGGGATTCCCAGGTCCTGAAGGCTCACCTGGACCACAGGGACCCAAGGTACATCAGCCTGAAAGGTTGAGGAATACTCAGCCCACCCAACCTTCTTCATGCCTACTTTCTGGGCTCCTGAAAACATGGAGAGAATTCCACATCTTAGCTGACCATCGCAAATGATCGTTATCTTCAAATCCTCTACTCAACTTCCTCCTCCCTTATCTACATAGCTTCTGCATCTGCGTCAGATCCTACTTTCTTCTCTTCTGCATGGAAAGATGAGTTCTTTTCACCTTTCATTCAGGACCAACCTTCCCCCTTCCCCCACCCCCCTCCACACACACATACACACCACACACACACACACACACACAGTACCCTGCTCACTGGGATTACAAGTATAACCTTATTCCAAGAGATATCTCCTTTGTCTTGGGATATTCCAACTTTCCTTTTGATGTCGGTCTTTCTCTCTCAGTCCTTAAACATGCCAATATTTCCCCATATTAATATAAACATCCTCTAGACCTTACAAGTACAGTGACCAAAGGCTTGCCATCCTTTCCATGTCTTCCCTTTCTGTCAAACTTCTTTAAAAAAAAAAAAATAGCTAACCAGGCTGGCTATAGTTTATCTCCATTCACTCCTCAGCAAGTGATAATTGCCTTCGGCCCCCTCTCTCCTGACAACACTCTTGCAGAAATCACCCATGACTCCAAGTCACCAGTGCCAATGGATTCTTCTGTGTCTCTGTCTGATCTGAACCCCTCTGCTTTGTCTCAAAGATCACGGAGTGGATTGCTCTCTTCTCCTTGAAACTCAGTTTTTGTTTCTGACTCTCTTCTTGCTGACCGCTCTTCCTGTCTTCCTTGGGTTCCTTTTTCTCAACTCTTTCCTTAAGCATCAGGGGCCCTACATTCTGACCAGAGCCTACTGCCTTTCCCACTGGTCACACGTTTTTATCCTAAAGTCTATGATAAAACAAAGGGCTTTTGTTTAAATCAGTGCCCTAGAGGATTTGCTAAAGAACTCATAACTACTAGAATGCTGATGGCTCTTTCCTGTCCTGGACATTAGTCAGACATAAGCCTGGGCTCTCACACACTCCCATAGTCACAACCCTGACTGCTGGCCTCCAGCAAACGATGAACTAACCAGTAAGTTATGAAAGACAATCAAAATTGATCTCCACACAGTTTTTTTTTAAATTTCATAAATATTGTTTAGGATATTGACATGGTCATCAGAAGCAATATTTACTGAAAATTTACTCTGTGTCAGGCACTGGACTGTGTATTCCTAACTGCACCACATTTATACCTCTCAGTGGTTCCAGAAATCAGGATGGAGACTCATAACTTAGTTCTCATTATTGTCTCCATTTTATGGATGAGGAAACCAACACTCAGAGCACTTAAGTAATTTGTCCTTGGTCACACAGCCAACAGGTGGCTGCTTTTATACAATGCCAGCATCAAACTCCTTAACCAAAGAAGCTAAAACCACACCTGTAGTTCCCAAGTAAAAATGCAAAGTTGGCTTGTTCTCCAGAAATTCTGCCATTTCCTGTCTATCCCATTCATGTATTCATTGTTTCTCCATTTCTCCTTCTTGTGATCCTAATTTTGGAAAAGTCAATTGGATTCTGGACATCCTATGTCTGAATTTGGAAACATTCTATGGCCTCCCTTCAGGTGTGACTTCACATTTTCTTCTGTTTGGCTGGTAGAATGAATTTGCCATTTCAACCCTGTACATCAGATCAACTAAATTCTAACTCATTCTTTTTCATTTTGTTCTCTATACCCTGCTCGTTTCTCTCAGCATTCTTTAGTGATGCTACCAATAAATTAAAATGAAGGTTCTGAACACATGGTGCTCAGAGTTCAATGATGTGCAAGGATTCTGTAAAGCTAATTCAGAAGGCCCTGTGCCACGTTAACATGGAGTTCATATTTTAAAGCACAGCTTATAAATGTGGGCACACAAGATCATTTGATCAAAGGCAAACAAAGATATCAAAACCTGACCAAAAGATTTTTCAAATGTATAAACTTCCTACCTTACTTTTAAATATTGTGTTGCATGAGAATATTTAAAACGAGGAAATAAAACTTGCAAGTCCATCCTCTGCCTTCTGCAAACACAAGATATCATCCTGCCAAAAAGGGGGCATGGTCACATAGCCTGGAATGTCACCTCATCCAGGAAAGGCTGACTTTTGCCTTGACCATCCAATCTTAGAAGACTCTGTCACCCCTTTCACAAAATAACAAAACAAAACAAAACAAAAAATACTGAAACTCTCAGGAATGATGAAAACAGCTTTTGGACAATGGAACTTTCCCACCCAGTGGTCTAGTTAAAATAGTATCCACTTAAGGTGATTATTCTCTAAGAAACAGGGCCTCAAAACTGTGCTCATTGTGTGCCCAAAGCAAGCTTATCTCTGATTCAGGCAGTTCTTCCTTGGCTGACTATCTTCTCATGGCAGGTTCATTTTGTGAATGAAGTATTTCTCATGCACAGAAACATTGGCTGTTGTCCTCAACCATCTTTGCAACCGCTCATTCTTATCAGACCCCAGCAGCTGTCAGCTCCAGGGCGGGTTCACCACAGAACTTGTCAGATACTGATGTGAACAGGAATCATCACTGCATCTTGTTGAGAGGCAAAATCCCAATCAATAGGTCTGGGAGGCGGGGGGCCCTGAGATTCTGCTTTTCTAACAAGCTCCCAGGTGATGCTAATGTTTACATCCTTACTTTGAGTTGCAAGGGTTTGAATGAAACTTTCTCTGTCTGTCCTTACTGGTAAATATTTTAGCTCCAATGAAACAAGCAAGTAAGTGAGCCATGTTCACGATGAAATAATCACAAGAGCAAAACTCTTTGGTATGTCAATAAAACTGGGACCTTTCATTTATGGGGTGTTTTTTTTTGGGGGGGGGGAGAGGTAGGGGTAAATAATTATCTTGGTGTTTACTTTTGTTTTCCACTTGGATCTAGGGCGCTCCAGGACTTCCAGGACTCACTGGTCCCAAAGGTGTAAGGGTTAGTAGTCCAACCTGATTGCTTAATGAATTATTTTTTTTAAACCACTGCAGTGTAGAAGTTATACAAATGTCATGAAGGAGTATATTGTTTATGGTGCACTTCTATAAATGAAGTTCAAGAACAGGCAAATTTATAATGGTACAAGCCAAGATAGTGGTGACTGTGTGGGGTTGGTGCTAACAGATGGAAAAGGCATGAGGGAACCATCCAAAGTGATGTTTGTGTCTGGACTGGGCATTGATAACACCAATCTGTATACATGCATGTATTGGTGTTCATGGAAGATTGGAGCACTGGACTCTAATCAATTTACACCTTTAAAGTCTCCCCCCAAAACTCTTAAACAATTGTATTCATCTCTTTTTAAAATTGATATAAATATAAGATTTACAAAAGTTTGACAAACCTTTTTTTGTGTTTTAAATAGTTTTTAGCCATTCCAAATTATAGTTGCAGGAGGGGGCTATTGAAATGGTAAATAATTTTCTGTTTATAAGTTGAACATTTCAAATGTTTTTCTTGCCACCCTTCCCTTTTCTATGCCTTCAGGGAATAACTGGATTACCAGGATTTTCAGGGCCTCCTGGACTTCCAGTAAGTAATGGGGGAAATGTGTAACTGAAAAAGTAAAAAGTGAGCTCATTTTAATATAGATGTAAAATCAGTAGCACAAGGAAATAGGTATTGATAAATTTGCTACATGATGAAAATGACACAATAGAATAGCATAATATATTAGTGTGGATTGGTAGATCATACAAATCAAATTGTATTTCTTGAAAAACTAGAATAGACTAGAGTAGAATAATAGAATAGAAGAATAAAGCAGAAGATTAGACTAGAATAGAAAAATAGAATAGAACAGAAAGAATAGAATAGAACAACTGTTGAATAACATATAATTATAAAATAGTTACCTCTGTGCACATTTCCCTCTTCTATTTCCTTTCCTTTCCCCAGCTTAAAATAGCAAGTTAGGGGATTTTGTGTTATATAGAAAGGCCTTTTGTTTTATTTTCAATATCTGTACCTCCCTTGACAATTCTTTGTTTTAATTAGCCCATTTTATTTGTTATTTCTGTTTAAATTATTTTCTAAAATGACCACATTTACTACTTAAATATTTAATAATCACTTATATTTAAACAACTATCTAAATTAGCTCCTCATTTCCCTCACATTGACTTCCTTGCTCTTTCCACCTGGTCCCTGGGCCTGGTTGCTGCTTCTTTTTGAAACTTCCTCTGTTTGCAGGGCAGCCCCGGCTATCCCGGACCTTACGGTCCTGCTGGCTTACCAGGATGCAACGGTTCTAAGGTATGTGCTTCTTACACAGGACTTGGTCAGTCCATGTTTTGCTGAATGAGCCAATCAAGATGAAGTAGCAATGAGGTAGGCTAGACTTTTCTGGAAACATTCTTTTAACCAAAACCAATGGTACTTGTCTTCAGGGCAGAAATGTGATGTTTGAACCAGGAACCTACCTGTTTCCTTTTTTCCTATGCCTTGGTTTCTGATTGTCTTTGGAAGAAGTGCTTTCCTAGTTGTTCACAGAAAGATAATGAGTCCTTTTCATTTGAGATTGTGAGTGTATATAAATCAGATTTCAAGCTGGGAATGCAAGGTATGTCTTTGGAGAAGGAGGACTGAGCTTTTTTAGGTTCATTCGTCTCCTTCGTTTCCTGACTGCCCGCTCTTCTTCCCAGAGTGGTGACCAAGAAAGAACTAATCACTGAGGTTTTGAGGAAACAGCAATTCAAAAGTTCTTGGCACAATTAAGCTTTCGCCATTTATGCACAGTTTGAGAAACAATAGATTTTAATACTGTTTTCAATTAAGACAATGATTTTCTGACCTTCAGACCATAAGGAACTTCGGTGACTTTGTCTAGCTTTACCATTGCAGAGTTGGAAGAGAAAAACAGGGAAAATACCTCAACAGGCTGGTTTAGATCAAGTAAGAAGGATGACAAGTTTTGTACGGTCTTTCTTCCAGGGTGAGCAAGGATTCCCAGGATTTCCAGGGACACCAGGCTACCCAGGGTTCCCGGTAGGTTTTCATTTCTAACTCTCATCAGAAACATAAAGTGAAATGTAAGTGATTTAGTCCAGAATGGCCATGTATTGAAACCCATCATGGGGATGTCTGGTGCAGCCAAGAGTATTAGTAAACACTAAACTGATAGTTAGGGAATGAATGAACAAATGACTTATGAGTTCAGGTTTACGTGTTAGACTTTTTTATGCTTCAAAGGAATACAGTGGAGCTGAGTAGTAAGTAGAGGAAAGACTGGGAGAGAGTAACTCAAAGAGTGAGAGTATGGGGTAAGAGGGTGGCTTAGCACAGGACTTAAAGAGCTCCAACACGTAACCTCCAGGTCAAGGAGAATAAGCCTGTGAAGGAGGCATAACCCTGGTGGTAGAAGGAAACCAGGAGGAATGTATGATGGAAGGGCAGGAAAGACATGTTTTAGTAGAGGACAGTGACAGACAGACTGCTACCTAATGCTGAGAATTCCAGTAAGAGAGAAACTGACATTTTGTAATTGACTTTAGCAATGTCAAAGTCATGGCAGAACTTAGCAAGAAAGAGAGGCAGGTGATAGCTGTGGAACTGAAGAATGAGTCAGAGATGAACAGAACAGGAGGTGTGCAGATGACATGAAGAGAAGGGCAGTACTGCGGAGGCAGGGGAAGATTTAGGGTGGACTCTGTCTAAATGAGAGTGACTTGAGCATGTTGTAAAGGCAGCAAGGAGTACACAGTGGAGGCAGAAAGTAGAATAGAGGGAGAATTGGGATGTTGTTCACTTGATTTGTGTCTAGTGGTTAATATGCCACTTTCTTTCCTAGGGTGCCATTGGCTTAAAAGGAGAAAAGGTAAGACATTTGTGGTATGTAATTATTGAACATCTCTAATTGTACATATGAAAGAGACTTCTATTAAGTAGTGAGATATAAAAATTACAAATGAGATTGCATCATTAATACAGAATCCATAATACTTGGGACATGGTATTTATTTCTATTGAATAACTTCTTCTATCTCTCCTCATAAGGATACAAGTTTCTTGTCATCCTTTAAGGAAATAGAGTCCGGGAGAAAAGAGCTGCCCTCGAGGCTAGGACCCACGTTCCACATCCAGAATTGCCACCAATTCTGGTATCTTGGGAAACCTCTTATCATCATTGTGTCTTCTTCCCTTCCTTGCACAGTAAATTGTTAATTTTAGAAACTATGAAATGCTTTGAATTCTTCAAAATGAGACAACTAAGCCACATCTCTAAGTATATACCCTAGTATCAATGAAAGAACATCCAAACCTATAAACAAGTTTTGTGAGAGTTTGAGCCAAATTTTTGAGGACATGCCATAGCAAGCTCTCAAAGGATTGAGAAAAATGCTGCAGAGAAACAGTTTTGCAGTTTCTTTTATGAATTTAGAATAAAGGGAGGAGACATAGGAAAGGTACATGAATCCCTTGGTGGTACATTAAGAGAGTGGGGAAAAGCAAAGCAAGGGAATCTCTAGGATTGGACACAAAGTGAAATAGAGAAACTTCTTTCCCATGGATGGGGACAGGAGAGTTAACACCTATAGCACATGGAGATGGTATTGGGCAACAGGATGACAATGAGGGGCTTATGATCTCACGTTCTAGTGTCAGAATTTGTGCTTTTGGGGGTCTAGAAAAGGAAATGACTGAGATTTCAAAGCTAAATCATCTTAGATGCATAAGAACAGGGACAGGGTTCACTTAAGGTAAAAACTGACCTTTGCTAAGGAGGCTATAGGCCTGGGAGGTGACCTGCCCAGTTCAGAATTGGTGAACAGACCATCCTGTGTGGTTACTTTTGGTCACTGAGCCTATCAGATTGATTACGTAGCCCCTTTTTCATTCACACTGGAAAGTACTTTTATCCTTATAGTGGCATGACCTTGAATGAGCATGCAAAGGGGTTTTAAAGATATAACATTGATTATGTTCAATGAACTTCATTTTCAAGGGTGCTCCCGCTGAAGGAGAAGATATAGAATATGATGGAAAAGGGGATCCAGGGCTGCCAGGAGCTCCAGGAGTCCAGGTACAAGCACTTCAGAGAGCAGTCCTACCGCCCTCAGTGCCCCCTCTCCATTTTCTCCTGTCTGGGTGTCCTCCTCTCTCTCTCTCTCTCTCTCTCTCTCTCTCTCACTCACTCTCTCTCTCTCTCCCTCTCTCTTTGATAAAACTCAAGTCTAGACTTATATCACACACTGAACACAATTTAAAACAGTGATGCTAAGTAATAGCTCTATTATAAAATTTGCATGATGGTAGATAACTGAATTTTCCTTAAACTCAGCCATAAATGCAAGGCGTCATGCTCCTCAGCTCTTATTAAAATACTTTAATGGGCTTTGTCTGTAGGTAAGAAGTACATTTACTCTTCTTATTTGTCTCTTAATTTGAAGGGTTTGCCGGGCCTCCCAGGTTTTCCTGGACCTGTGGGCCCACCTGGCCCTCCGGGATTCTTTGTGAGTACTAAGTCGCCATTGCTATAGACACTATAAACTAATGAAAGAGTTACAGCTAAAACATTTAAACAGTTTTCTGGCTTGGTGCATTTCTCACTGTAATTATAATTTGTGGATTTTTTTAGGGTTTGCCAGGAACCATGGGGTCTCCAGGACTTAAGGTAAATTACAGTTCATAGGTCATATCAGCCATAACATTCTACCCAATGAGAAAGGCAAACCCAGTCTGATTCCACACATGGCTCAATACAGCTACCGGTATTATTTTTTTTTTTAAATCAATAAATAACAAATGTTGTTGAGGATGTGGACAGATAGAAACCCTTGTGCACTATTGGTAGGAATGCAGGTATGTGTAGGTATTATAGAATTGAGGTTCCTAAAAAATTAAAAATAGAGCTACCCATGTGATTCAGCAATTCTAGTTCTGGGCATTTATCTGAAGGGGGTGGGGGGACACTAAATAAATAAATATATGTACCCCATTGCAACATTATTTATAATAGCCAAGATATGGAAGCAACATAGGTGTCCATATATAGATAAGTGGATAAAGAAGAGCAGATAAATGGAATATTATTCATCAATAAAAAGGAATAAAATCTCTTCATTTGCAACAACATGGATGGACCTGAAGGGTTTATGCTTTGTGAAGTAAGCCAGACAGAGAAAGACAAATACTGTATGATTTCACTTATATGCAGAATCTAAAAAACAAAACAAACGAACAAACAAACAAAACGGACTCACAGATACAGAGAACAAACTAAGCGTTGCTAGAGGGGTGGGATGAGGGTGAAAACAGTAGAGGGGAATATAAGGTACAAACTTCTTGTTATAAAGATATGGGGACTAGTGTACAGAGTCAGTAAATCAACAATTTTGTATGATGACAGATGGTTCTAGATTTATTGTGGTGATTACTTTGTAAGGTATATAAATGTAGAGTCACTATGTTGTACACCTGAAACATATAATATTACATATCAACTATATTTTAATTTTAAAAATAACACATATTCCAAGATTAAATAAAATGACAATTATGACCCTATAGGGAAAAGTTAAAATATAAGTGTTCAGTTACAAGTATTAGAACTTCAAAGGGTTTAGAAAATGTATTCATATTCCTTTAAAAAAAATAATTTGGTTTTGTATTTCTTACAGGGTCACATGGGTGATAATGTGATTGGACAAAAAGGAGAACGGGTAATTTAAATACTATGGTTTATTTGTGGGCAAGATATTTGAAGTTCCATAACAATTAACTATACATTTTATTCAGTAAGTCACACTGAAATGAATGCATTTGTTGTCTCTTAAACTTTTGTTTTCTGTTTTCCTACAAGCACTAATGGGGAAAAGTAGCTCTCTCAAACATAGTAAAGATAATGTGGTTTAGTCTTTAATTCTTGAGTATATTTATCTTTAGGGTGTGAAAGGATTAATAGGACCTCCTGGACCACCGGGAACTGTTATTGTGACGCTGACTGGCCCAGATAACAGAACGGTAACTCTTCATTTTTATTATTAGGGTTCTGCCTTTCCATTTCTCATATATATATATATCACCTAATCCCTGCTCAGCCCAATCCTCTCAGCCTTAATGAGTCTCAAGGTTTTATTCCTTCCCTATTTTATACTCATGAACCGGAAAATGTGAAATCTGGCTCAACCTTTACTCTCAGTCTTTCTCATTGTCACTAACACAGAGTGGGTATTTAGTGAGTATTTTTGAATAAATTATTACAAATTGGGTATGCAGCTCTGAGCCAACTTGATGGGCAAACCTAAAGATATTGATAATTATAAGGGACATTTTTATCCTGCCATCATAATCCCAAGGATAATTTGGGCCCCATTCTTCTCCAAGGATGCTATAGTCTTGTATTTGGACATTAACATTTGGTTTCTGAGTACAGAGCTGAATCAAATACTCAGAAGTGCATCACAATATTATACACTAATCCTGACCCTAGGTTGATCCTAGAATGTCTGGGAAGGGGGGATAGAGAAGCAAGGAGGTAGATAACAATTTTCTAGTGTATTAACTAAGAAATGAACATAACACACTCTTATCTTATAAACTTATAATTAATTGTGTTTTAATAAAAGCTTGATTGAGATATAATTCACATGCCATAAAATTCATCTTCTTTATTAAATTCATGGATTTTAGTAATAATGTATTTTAACAACTGTATTAAATACAATTCACAGACCATAAAATGACTTATTGATATTTAGTGTATAATTCAATGGCTTTTAGTATATTCATAAAATTTTCAACTATTATCACACTTAATTATAGAACATTTGCATTACACCAAAGAGAAACCTCTTAGCCATCACTCTTCAATATAATTATTAATAATAGAAATTTTCAAAACAAAAGTTAAAGCAAAACATAGTAAAATGTAATATGACCAAAAAAAAAAAATTCACATCAAAGACTAAGGGGAAAAGGGTGGAATTGACCTAAAGGAAAAAAGCTAAATCTTCCAGAGGTAATAAAAATAAAATTAATAAATGTAAAAACTTTATTGGCTGAAAATTGATAGGAAAAAAATACCTTATCCTGACAAAAATCTAAATCTATGATAGAAGATATCACCCAGGGTGGGGAAATAAGTTTGAAAGAAATGATGCCCTCGAGAAAAGATGCACATTGGAAAAAAATATAATAAATAAAACATTATAAAAGCAAAAACAAATGTGATTAATAAATAAAATTCTCATTGTAACATTTACTCAGAAAATAATTGATCGCAATTAAAAATACTTTCAATATATTAAAAATGAAGGTAAAACATATTAGAAATGATGTGATTGTGCTTATAGAAAGCTGATTCAGGAATTCAGATTAGTTTAATTTAAAAAAAAAGATACTTTCTTTTAAAAGATAGTATATGACTTCAGTGGGCTCATAGGAATAAAACTCAAAATGTGAAAAAATGATAATGTGTCGTGTTAACAGGAAGTAGGTATTCTGTAAATCCATTGTATTGAACAGATAGAGGACTTTTCCAAGTATAAGCAGTAAAATCTTGTTTGATCTGTTTGTAATGACCTTAAATTGTTTTTGTGGCAGGAACTCAAAGGGGAGAAGGGAGACAAGGGCACCATTGGCCAACCCGGACCTCCTGGACCCAGAGTAGGTCATTTAGAGTCATGTTGTTCCTTTGAAACACAAACTAAAACCTTAGTGAACATTTCGATGTCAAATCTTAAGATTAGCTAAAGATCAATAGTATTTTACCACTGAATTCATGAACATAGAAATTATTTCATGGCCACTTCTAGCTGAAATCCTAGCACTGTTTCACCCATCTTACAATTTATTTTCAGTATCTGTTTTTTTAACATCTGTTTTTTAATTAATACTTATAAATAAGACTTCCCTCTTAGATGACCCCATCCTTTCAACATTTTTAAATGTAGCAGAATAATCAGAAGGGAACAGGTGAATAAAAATCAATGTGAGTAAAAAATCAACAATTTGTAAAACTTGGCATAACTCTCATTAATACAGGGACCACCAGGAGACTCTTATGGATCAGAAAAAGGTGCCCCTGGAGAACCTGGATCACAGGTAAACTAAAAAAGTCATTGTCATATGCCACCTCTATTGGGCAGCATTTAGTATTCTTTAGGTGGCAAGTATAAGATGGCCAACTCAATCTAGCTTAGATTTTTTTTTTTAATGTTTAAAGGTTTGGAAAATGAAATTTACTTGTTTAAGTATCTGAGAAGTTCAAGGACTCCAGAGACTGAAACAACATGGGCAGGATTCTTTCCATTTCTCTTCTGCTCCTCTCTGTGTGTTTGCCTCATTCTCTTCTTTACCACATGATCTTCTACGGAGGGGGCAACAAGAATGAGCAACGTGTAGCAACAGACAACTACAGGTTAATAGCATCAAGGAGAAAGAGTGTGTCCATTTATAAAATCCCACAGAATCACTCTGATTGGCTCAGCTTGGGCCATGTGTTTAATTCTGGAAAAGTGACCATGTTCAGGAATAAAAGATACTATGATTGGCCAGGCCAGTGGGGCAGAGGGTTCCTGTGGCTGACAGTCCCATCAGAACCACACAGAGAGAGGACAGCTCCACACACCGCTGGGCACACTGTGATGGGAAGTGAAATACTGGGAAGACAGAGCAACAGGGCCCTCTCTCACCCAGCTCTATTTTGAAAAGATTTAAATACATGTACATATTATTTTAAAACTCTCAAAAGTGTATACTGGGGAAAGTGTTTTTTGGTTTTTTGGTTTTTTTTCTAAGAAGAAATATTGACCCAGTGTAATGTTTAATTCTATCATGGAGGGTAAATACCGTAATAGTTCATCCAAGAGCCCTATCTGTTTGGACATTGCAACACACTTTTTATACATATATTTAAACATAGGCACGTCTGGAATTCATGGAACTGGCAGCACTTCAAATAAATAAATTGACTGTGAAACCTTCCACTTTTAGGGTTTTCTTGTCTACCTCTCAGCTCAGTGCTTGCTTGATTTTCCTTCCAAACTTGGATGGACAGTATCAATTTAAGCTTAGCTTTTAACTTCCTCTCTTTCTTCCTTATTTCTCATTCCCATTGGTCTCTGCCTTCCCTGCAAGAGGAAATGTTTGCGTGTTCTGTGATTAATATTTGTCCTTCTATAACGGGGAGGGAAGCATCAGTCAAGCTTTCTTGCCCAAGGTTGAGAGGAGGTGATGATCTCATTTAAGTTTTCCATGTTTATTAATATTATCCACACTTACTAGATTGCATGTTTTTGTTTTTGTTTGTTTTTTTAGGGGAAACCTGGAAAAGACGGGGCCCCGGGGTTCCCTGGCACTGAGGTACAGGCATGGTTTACCTGCTGACATAGTGAAAATATCAATCCTTTTAGATACAGAAGGATTTTGTCATAAGAGTCACTTAGTAGTTACAAATTAACCAAAAAACATGTAGTTTTTAAAAATTGCATTTGAGAATCATAATTTTACACTTCAAAGAGAGATCAACTGAGCACGTTTTCTTTTTCCAAAAAGAAATTCAAACAGAAGAAATTGATTCATGTGCCTTCTGACCCATTTTCTTCGCTCTGTTCTTTAGGGACCCAAAGGCAGCAGAGGCTTCCCTGGGTTAAGGGGCGAAGATGGCATTAAGGTAAGCCCCTTCCTCGGGTTCTACCTTCAGCCTTTTTCAATTGGTTGGGTTTTGCCCACTTTCTTCCCCTCACTCTGTAACTAGGTACAAGAAGTTGCAAACAGTGTTCTTTAAAATACCTTAGTATACTTAATAAGAAGTGAGAAATGTAGCAACTTTACTTAAACACTTGAAGGTCTTTCTAGTTGAAAAGGTATTAAATTTATTCTATGTAGTAGAAGCTTAGGACCAGTGAGATTTCAGCTCCCCACAAGGAAGGACCTGGAAAAGGCCTGGGATTGTGGGACGTTTCGGGTCATTGGAGGTCAAGCATAAGGATAGGCGGCTCCATGAGACTCAAGCTGGGCCGTTACACACTGAAAAGTCATCATCAATTAGTTGTGAAGTGTATTCCACATTGTTTCTTTCTGACCACATGTTGCAGACATATTCAAATAATTTTCATATGTAGGTATATGTGCAAATTCAACGTTTATCCTCTAATAATACCACTTCCTAGAATTTGAAATGCCCTCTTCAGTAGATAGGAAAGGGGGTTGGTTACCATTGGGATTCTGGGAACTGCATACAACCCATAGCCTGGTGATCCAGTTCCACTAATCTGGGAGAGAACTGCGGAGTGGACAATGCATGCGGACACCCTTTGAAGGGAGTAGCATGAAAGAAATCTGGAGAACCACCAGAATAACCACCACTGCAGAACCTTGCTGATACAACTCTTTACCCAGCTACAGCCCTCCAGGAAAATACTCTAAAGTCAATGTCCCTCTCACTGTAACTTGGTTTGTATATTACATAGAAATAACATTACTTTGAGCATTGATTTATTGTTTCCCTATGCATTTTGCTTTTTAAATCTACCAAATGTGTAAATACTTTTGTTGAATGTACCCATAATTGTAATTGTTTTTTGACATAGGGATGGAAAGGGGACATTGGCCCTCCAGGATTTCGTGGCCCAGTAAGTATCATTAAAGACAATGTCATATTTGATCAAGGAAATTTTGAATCTGGGTCTCTCATTAATGGTTATGATAGAATCATAGTATTTACTTTTTTATCAAACCCAGGCAAAACAATAGCTATTGTTATTATTTGACAATGGACAAATACTTCTACTTGGTTCTTTGGTCTTTGATATGAACCAATAGTACCCATCCTGGGCTGTGGAGAAGGATCAGATTTGGACCAGGGGGATCCTGCATCCTGAATAGAGTAGGAGGACAGCTGGCCACCCAGGGTTCAGGGAGCCAGCTCCACCCACTCCAGCTAGTCATGACAAGTGCACATTCAGGCTGCAGGAAAAACTCAGCCAGGTTTCATGCAGGGCCAGCAAACACCAATCACCCAGCCCAAGCTCCATCTCAGAAGGCCACCTCTTTCTTGCAGGGAGGACATGGATGTGATGGCTGTCAGCTTCTGGCTGCAAGGTGGCCCCATTCTATATTCTGTAATCCTGCAGCTTAAGGAAAGGAATAAAAGGGAGCCAGGCTCTGAGTCCTGATATTCATTCCTCTCCTTTCTCCAAAAACGGTGGTCCTTACATGCAATATGCTGAGCAGGGCCGCCATTTCTTCACTGACAGGACAGTCTGTGGTACGAGAGTCATGGGGAGAGGAGCTGTCCTATTGCAAATGCAGTTCTCAGACCCCTCAGACCAAGTAATTTAACTCAGTAACTGGAGGAGGGTCCTGGAAACCTGCATCTTTATTCTACAAGCAAATGATTCAAACATGAGAAGTCCCAAAACACTTTTGTGGTGTTGCTGGGAAGATGAAACGGGCTATTTTGTGAAAGCTTTTATCCAACACTTAGCAGGCACAAAGAAGTCATTGTGGATTTTACAAAAGAGATTATTACATTATTATTATTATAATTGCTATTATTATGCATTCCTTTTTGTTATTTTCTAGTTATTATTTAACCACAAAGTTCTTGTTACTTCATCTTTAAACAAGTTAATAAAGAATTTCCCCATGTAAAATATGAAAAAAACAGAGGTTTTGAAAACCTTTTACATTTTCATCTTCTCTTCAAGATAGATGGACTGAATTCTAAGTAAAATCTACTTTTACAATTGTACTTTAGAGGAAGTCTAAGCAATTTATCTTGGTCCGTATTTTCTCATGCTCAACTGTATATAACTGCAGCATCTACTACCATCAGAGGAAACTGCTTAGGAAGTAGTTGGTTAAAGAGACCAGAAGTAGGTCCATAGAGTATGTCAGAAACAGTAGTACTTATTGTAGGTCAATGGTGTCCTGAAATTTAAAGAAACAGTCAATAGAGTACTGTTTGATGTGTAGGTCTGAGAAAAAAATACATTCAATGCATTAGGATAAGCATTTTCAAAAAGTGAAATAGAACAATAAAAATATCAAAGTTGATCAAATTCATAAGGTAAATCACTATTTTGTGAAACTTTAATATCTGTGTACATAGTTACACATACCACATACATAGATATATCTGCCTGTATGGATGTATGTATAAATATAAATGAAATATATAGTGCCATACCAGAAATATCAACTTTTATCTTTAAACTAGAGGCCTGCCAAAACCGGTTTGGCTCAGTGGATAGAGAGTCAGCCTGCAGACTGAAGGATCCCGGGTTTGATTCCAGTCAAGGACACGTACCTTGGTTGTGGGCACATCCCCAGTAGCGGGTGTGCAAGAGGCAGCTGATTGATGATTTTCCCTCATCGATGTTTCTAACTCTCTATCCTCTCTCTTCTTCTCTGTAAAAAAATCAATAAAAAATACATTTTAAGAAATAAATAAATAACTAGAGGCCCATTGCATGAAGAGATTCATGCAATAGGCCTTCCTTCCCCTGGCTGCCAGCACCGGTTTTCCTCCAGTACCTGGGACCAAGGCCTTCGCTCTGTGCAGCCTTCAATCTTCATTCTTGGTGGAGCTCTGCTCCTGTAGCTCCCTCCATCCCCCGACCTCCCCCTCATAGCAGGCTTCCCATCCTGCCTGGCCACTCTGTGCCTGCATTCATGCTGCCAGAGGCCTGGAGGGGCTGGGGGGCCGAGCTGCCATCATAATTTGCATACTCACTCCTGATTGGCTGGCAGGGATAGCAAAGTAACGGTCATTTTGCATGTTTCTCTTTTATTAGTGTAGATTTATCCATGCCATATACATAACTACCCTATTTCTGCTAGCACATAAGCCTATGAATTGAGAAAAATGAGGGAAGTATCATTTTAGCTAAAAAGAAGAAACTGAAGTCATTGCATTTGGTGAATGTCCATAAATAGTTATTCTTTCATTTTCTTCATTTCTTTTTCCTTTAAGACAGAATATTATGATGCATACACAGTAAAGGGAGATGAGGGAACTCCAGGCCCTCCGGGCCCCAAAGGAGCTCGTGGCCCACAGGGTGAGAATAAATTTCTTCCTGAAGCATTTGCTGACCGTTATCATCTTTCAAGGTAACACAACATGTGCTTATAGACCTAGAATTTGCAGGTGGAGAAGGGAAGTCTCATTTTCATGGATGGTGGTATTTTTTGGTGTCTCCTAATTTCCATACAAAACTTGAAAATTTTATGTGAAACTTTTGAATGAAAATACCAAAAAATCATTAAATTAACTGCATGCGGGAAATCACGAAGTTCAAGTCTGGCTGGCAGACTCTAAGATGGTCCGAGGGCAGGACTAGGGAGCGTAAGAAATCTGTAATCTCAGCTCGATTACAGATATAAAAATGGATACCTGAATGGCTGGAATTTGAGCAAATCCACACCAATAATGGCAAGGGGTGACTGAAGCTCTGGTTTCCTGTCGCCTGGCACCATGAATTAAAGACACCTTACTTATCTTCTACCCCCTTGATGGATTGGGAAGGTCTCGGCCACAAGCTCTCTCATCTCTGGCTGTGCCTTAGAACCCCTGGGGCTTCTTCACTGATGCCCACATCAGGGTCCCCCTGTGATTCTGATTTGTCAGAAGGAAGGCTCTGGACATGAGCAGATTGTGAAAGCGCCTCAGAATATTCTAACGTGCAGCAGGACTGAGAATACTAATCTAGGCAAATTATTGGTTTAAATAAGATTTCAAAGGAGATGTGTGCTTAAAGGAAAAATTCCCAGTGTATTAAAATAAATGGACAAATACATTTAGATACAGATTTTTTAAAAGCAATGTTAGAACTAGAAGCAGTCTGAGGTGGGACACCAGCCAAAAACTACAGATCCTTAACAATTCCAGCTGTTTGCTTTTCTGTCTCTGACCCATCCCAGCAAAGTACACACAGAGCAGGCTCTTAGTGAGTTTCTGCTGAATTATTTGAAAATGATATCTGAGATTGGTTTCTTCTCTGCAGTTTGTCTAAGTAAGTAAAGTTTTCTAATATTTATCTATATGAGAATGGAGAAAATATGGAAATTATTTATTATTAATTATTATTATATTAAAACCCAAGATTGCAAAAATGGGGTGACAAGGTATTTATTTCTTCGTAAGCAATTCATTGCTATTCTGTATTCATAGGTCCCATTGGCCCCCCCGGAGATCCCGGAAGGCCTGGTAGGTACATATTCCTCAGGGTATCAACAGAAATGCTATTAAAAAGTAAAATGCACTGCTCTAGTAACTTTGCATTATTTATAGAAGGCAAATCTCTCATTAATTGGTATAAGTGTTTGCAAATTCTTACTTGTGAAAAGGAAGTGGAAAATTACACAGAATGTTGTAGAAATGCTCTTTTTCACTTCTCAGCATTTTAACTGAGTGTAAGACAGCAAGCTGGGAATATGAGAAGAAGCCTTGAAACTCGGAGAAGGCACAGAGAGAGAAAAACTAGTTTGATGGGGATTAGTTTCGTTAAAAATCAGTTTTCAAGTTGCATAGGAATTCACAGGTTATACTTTTTTATGTGACATTTTAAATTTTACAATTTATTGTTTATAGAAACATAAACAATTCCGTAAAGTGTAGAAACATCCATCAGTCATTAGTGTGGTTGCCTCTTGAGAAAGGAAGGAGAAATATTATAGAATCAAAGACGGTTCCACAGAGGCCATGATTATAACTGTAATGATGTAATGTGTCATTTTGAAAAGGAAAAGAAACTAAGGAAAAAATAGCAAACATTTGTAGCCTGCCATCCATTCTATTTTTCTTTATACCATGTACATTTAAACTATTTCCTAATTTGGAAAATGAATTGTAATTAAGCAGATTGCAGAAGTATGTATATATTATCATCCCAATGAAAAAATAGGTGAATGGATAAATAGTACGTGTATTTGCATGTGTATAAAAACATACACATCAAACTACAAACTGTGGGTGTCTCTTGAAGTTACAATGGGACAAAAGGATATTTCAGAGGTCTGGCCCAAGGTTACAGCAGACTTCTTTCTACATGCCTCGCCCCTAAGTAATGAATAGATAGGTTCCTTCAGGTAGCCAGTGAGTGAAAATTATAAAGCTCTAAAACAGTGTCAGTCAGAGGCATTTACCTTTATGCCCAGATCCTTCTGCTCAATAATCAGAAATAATCAGATTTTTCTCAGCCCCTTGGTGATAAGGTCTCTCTGCTTAACAATTAAACCGTTTTTGAGCTAGAGATTAAAGACTTCCCGCCTCCTCACATCCTCATCCTCTTAGGAGAGACAGATGAAATGCATTTTTTTTTAAACATTTTATTTTATTTAAATATATTTTATTAATTTTATTTATTTCTTTTTTTACAGAGAGGAAGGGAGAGGGATAGAGAGTTAGAAACATCAATGAGAGAGAAACATTGATCAGCTTTCTCCTGCACACTCCCTACTGGTTATGTGCCCACGATCAAGGCACTTGCCCTTGACCAGAATTGAACCTGGGACCCTTGAGTCCACAGGCTGACGCTCTATCCACTGAGCCAAACTGGTGAAGGCTGAAATGCATTTTGTACCACCAGGCCTGGCATCTCTCCCAGGAGGTGCCTCCTCCCCCAGCACACCCTTCCATATCTAAGACAATTGGCAGGAATGAAGTCCAATTATAACTTTCTTTCTTCTTTCAGACACTACAAAGTAGGCATCTCATAGTCTCTAATTTAAAAGTCCACAAAATAGCATAGATTGAAGAATTTTTAAATAAAAGGACTACTGTGCATCCCAAACTCTGTCCCAGTCTCTTGTCATAAACGACATGAATTAGCTTGTGGGCATGAAGAGTTTTGAGCAATGTAGTCATTTAACAAGGTCACATGAAGAAAAGAAGATACTCTTAATTTTATATGCTCAATATACCTTTCAGTGGTGTAACTGTTATAAATCAGAACACATCACATTTTTCAATTGAAAATAATCACATATTAATCAGGGAAAAATTAAAATGTAATAAAATTATTCTTTTCCTCCAAGGGTCATCAAAGCCTGGCCTCAGAGGAGCCCCTGGACCACCAGGCATGAAAGGAAGTAAAGGGGAGCAAGGACCCCCAGGAAAAAATGCAGTGGGGTCTCCCGGGGCCTCGGGTTGTCCTGGTTCACCAGGCCCTCCAGGGCTGCCGGGACCTCCGGGACGACCAGGTAAAGATGCCTAATGGGTCCGTTTTGTGTGCATTGCCCAGTGACAGGTGTGTGCAAATCAGAGGCAGAGGGCCTCACTTAGAACTTGACCATCAGCCTGTGTGGATCTTAGCAGTTAGCTCTCCACTGGTTTCATTTTTATCAGCTCTCTGTGGAAATAACTATGGTGGCATGACTACTCTGCAAGAACAGCAAAGCTTTACCTGGAGTTCCCACAGGTGGCAGAGTGAGAGATGGGGACACGAGTTACGAGTTACAGGGCAGGGAAAGAATGATGATTATCAAGTTGGCCCAGGCCAAGGGCAACTGCTTGTTCAGTCCCTGGAGACTGTCTTCCAAGAAGCTGTGTAACTTTGTCTCACAATAGCCTGTCCCAGGGGAGAAAGAGGCAAGAATTTATCCACCAGCTTCTACTTCTCCTCAGTCAAAGACATGCTCCCACAGCACCGGCCTGCCCATCAGGGACACCTCCAAGCTGTGTTTGCCTGGCTCTCAGGGCATCCCATGCCTTGGCATCAGCAGGGAAGCCCCAGAGCAAGAGGCTGTAGGTGTGCGGTGTGGGCTCAAGACTAGATGCTGCCAGGTGGAGTGGGTCAGAGACCACAGAGCTGGGGTCCTCAGGATTTGAAGTGGTCCCTGGAGGTTCAGGTTCAGGTGTCCTTTCCTCTCCATCTCTCTAAATAGTCACTCGGCATCTGTATTGGCTGATAGGTACATAGAACCTACGAAAATATAGGTCACTCTTTTATTTTATATACCCTTCTTGGCAGGTGCCTGGCAGGTCTTATGATTTATCCTCAAGTCTCGTAATAGCCTTAAGAATTTTCTGTGTCGGGAACTATTTGAAAGGAAAGAGACAATTTTTTATAGACAATATGATTACAAATGTAGAAAATCCAAAAGAATAATCTGGAAGACTTTTAGCATTACTAAGGCAGTTCAGGTAAGAGGCTGGTTATATGAGCAATATCTAAAAAAAAATAAATAAATAAAAGCATTTCTTTAGGCCAATGACAATTTAAGAAATTATCCCATTAATAAAGAATATAATGCCCAAGAATAAATCTGTCAAGTTACGAAATAGACCTAAATGGAAACAAAACTAAACTAAAACTCTACTATGGATTTTAACAATTCCTAGTCTTCTGAGTCTTTCTCAAGATGTGGGCCGTGTCCTCATTTTATTGATGACAAGCCTGATGTGCACAGTTCTTGTACCCAATGGATGCTAAAGTCAGTATCTGGCCCCCGTAGCACTCCCTCTCCCGTTGGAGACTGCCCTGGCTTGCTGTCTTCTCTTGCTTAGTGACATCTGTTTATCCTCCCAGTTGCAGCTTCAAGTTCAAGTCCTGCAGACAGTTTTCATTGAGCCGGCACCCTAAGCACTCATGCTTAGAGCCCGGTTGTAGAATGTTTCCCATTGCCCTGTCTTAGTCAGTTTCCTCGACAAGAATCAAAGCTCCTTGAGGTCCAGGACTGTCTTCTCAGCTGTTTTAAGCCCCATCATTTGCTTACAGGGGGATGGAACATGGTAGACATTCAACTATAATACTTGTTGAATTAAGTATGAAATGAGTATGACCATGTGTTAAGTACATAAAATAGAATGTATAAGTATAAATGTATAAATGTATAAGTATACATATAAGTATACATTAAGTATAACACTGCCACCTGATTTTACTGTTTAAAGATAACTATCCAGTCATCTTGAAGACACAGAAAACTGGATCACAAAAGGGCATCCTTTTCACAGTCAAGCAGACCTAATTATAACGCATACCAAGTTCCACCCAAATGAAGTGTTTCCAGTGTTATCTTGTTGCAGTGAAATTTTGGGCAGCTCTAGGTACTGTTTTTAAAGATTTAGTTTCATCGGCATTGCCTTCAATCTATATTTGAAATGGCAAGACCAAAAATTAGGTTATAGAACACAATAGTTTAAGAGAAGACGCTATTCATGGTAACACTATAATAGCAGATAATATGAGGAAGACTGGGAAGAGCTTTCTTGGAGAGCTGCTTTAAGAATGAGAAACTCAGTTGGTGTGAACAAGCAGTGAGGAGGAAACAGGCGACATCCTGAGTCAGAATTTTTTCCCCTCGGGATGTATTAAGCATCTACAATATATCAAGGAGATACATATCATGCATTCAACAAGCACAGAAGCATAAGATTTGACCCTTTGCCTAAAAATGTTAAAAGGATAGTTTTGGAGTGATTGAAAATAGTATATAATAAGGTAATGGGTTGCTTGTGTAATGAGAAGCACCATATAAACATCACATGTAGATGATGTGAAAGGAAAGGCGGTCAACACACTTCAGCCTTCCAGTTGCAGCTAACCTTAGAACGACTCAGCTTCCAAAACAAATGGGGAAATGCATATACAATAATACATATTACTAAAATGCTCGCTAGTTGAAAAAGAGAACACTTAAAGAACTGTCTTAAAAATCAGAGTCTTTTTGTAGGTGACATCGTATATCGCAAAGGTCCCCCTGGACAAGGTGGACATCCAGGCCATGTGGGGCCTCCAGGAATCCCAGGTGTCGATGGGCGCAAAGGTTGGTTCAATCAATGGCGTTGTTCTAGTACCATTCTCATCACCATCATTATCACTGTTTTTTTTCTCCCTGAGGCAACAATGATCCAAAACAGCAGGCAGTCAGAGATGGCATCTTTTCCAAAGGAATTAACTAAAAGTATTCTTTTATCTGTAAAGCAGCCACTTATTTAGAAACCACGCAATAAGTCATTGGATGTTCCTAGAATGTGGAAGATAACGGACATCATAGCTATTTTACACTAAACGGGAGTTTCTGTCGAAGAGCACCTACGTGCTCAGAGGGATAAAGTGAAAGAATGAGACAGAGGGCCAAATACCAGGAATACAGGCTTTATTAAAGGAGAAGGACCCTGCCAGGCTATCTTGAAAGGGGAGAACAGTAACATGTGCAGAAGTGAACATGCCTTTTGAGGGGAGGAATGTGAAGGGATGGGGCTTAGGATACTCGTCAAGGGCTGATTGGTGGTTTCATATAAGGTACATGATTAGGCATTTAGGTACTTAGGAATCAAGGGCTTAGGGTATTTGGCAGGTGCCAATGTGTGGTTCAATGTATAATCCATATAAGGTGCCTGGTCAGATGCTCAGGAATGTCCAGGCCACAGGTCCAGGTTACATCATTCTCCATCCACCAGCTGGGGGAAGGGAGGATATATCATAAAATAAGCAGATATAATAGATTAAAAGTTTTTTATTAATATGTGAAATGTCCTACATGCTTTGCACTACATGGAAGAATGTCCAGAGTAAGAAAGAATTGTGCAGTTGGAAACTCCCTGTCCTCTCTGCGGACACTGTGTGGGTGTATGAGTAACCGAGCACCCTCTCTTTGCAGGGGAGCCAGGCCTCGTGTGCATAGACTGTCCTTGTGTCCCAGGGCCTCCGGGTCTCCCAGGACTGCCAGGATTTGATGGCTTAAAAGGAACCCCAGGTACACACGATTTGCAGACAAGTGTTTTTGCAAGTAAAAGGGTCAACTCACTGGATGATGTTTTCCTTGGCTTCCCTACAGCTCAAAGAATATCCTGTATATAAGCAGTAAAACCATTAGGATTACTGTAAAGAAATATATATCATGGCAAAGAACTTGCAAAAAATCTGAACAAATAGTTGTTAATAAACTGGCCTGAAATTCATTCAGAAGATCTTCTAAAGAAATCATCTTTACAGAGATGCTTAAATACCTAGAGGAGGTTAAAATTGTACAGCAAAATGCAATTTGACAATAGATATCCAAAGTCTTAGAAAAGTTTGTACCCATTGGTCCTGCAGTTGAACTTTTAGGAATTTATTGGAAAGAATATAATTGGATAAATTTGGATAATTAAATATCCAAATGTATTTATAGGAGCATTGTTTACAATAGCTAAATTTGAAAAAGCATTCTAAATGTCTCAAAACAACACTTAGCTGAATAAATTATGGTTCACCCACACAATAAGCTATTGTGCACCCATTTAAAGTGAAGCTATATACATATATATATATATATATATATATATATATATATATATATATATATGTCAATGTGTAGGTATTAATGGATATAAAATTTTAGACTAATATACATGAAAATTTTAGCAAATACTGTCTTCTGATAGTAGATTTATGGGTGATTTTCATTATATTCCTTCTGTTCTTTTTTTTTACATTGAGCAGGTATTATTTTTATCATCATAAAAATGTATCTTTAAAATTAAAAAGACAAAAATCTTAGGAAGTTAAAATTTTTTAGCACTTTTTTTTTTAACATTTCATGTTATCCTAGTGATGTACTCCCATTCTTTTCTTGCACTGTTTTTAAAATAGAAATTGTCTTTCTTTGCTCAAAGGACAACACCTTATTTTTTTTTCACACACTGACTTACCCTTAGAATTGGTGTTCAATGAATATTTATCAATTCATTGCTTTGCAGGAGGACGAGGGGCAGCTGGCATTAAAGGAAGCCCAGGGTCTCCAGGAAGTGTGGGTCTCCCAGGATACCCAGTAAGATTTCATGGTTATTAAGCTTTAATTTCAATTTTGAGAATGCAATACTCTGGCTGGAAATATGGTTGCACCACACAGACCATTGGTTTAGTGCCTGGCAAAGGGCAGGCAGTTAACAGTTATGTGTTGAATGAATGAATGAATGAATGAACGAACGATCTGTGAATGAAATAATGAATTTATAATCATTTAAAATGATATCAGAGGCAGCCGAAAATGGTTTGGCTCAGCGGTAGTGCGTCGGTCTGCGGACTGAAAGGTCCCAGGTTCAATTCCGGTCAAGGGCATGTACATTGGTTGTGGGCAAATCCCCAGTAGGGGGTGTGCAAGGGGCAGCTGGTCGATGTTTTTTCTCATCGATGTTTCTAGCTCTCTATCTCTCTCCCTTCCTCTCTGTAAGAAAATCAATAAAATATATATATATTTTTTTAAATTATATCAGAGGCAGAAAGCAGATCCGTGGTTGACCAGGACTGAGGTTGGGAACAGGAATTGATTGCAAACAGGTGTAAGGGAATTTGGGGGAGTGATAAAAATGTTTTGAAATTGGACTGTGGTGTTTGTAGTTTAGATATATACATTTATTTTAAAAATCATTGAATTGTGTTCTTACCAAGGATATATTTTATATGTAAATGATACCTCAATCAAGTTGTTAAAAATTTAAATTTTGATTATAATAATGAATCAGAAAGTTACATGTGGATAAATATGTTAAATTATTCAGAGATGCATGTTAAAATTTACCAATGAATTGTGATGATTATTGTATCATGTTGAGTTATATTATTGTATTGAATTGTATTGTCTAGCTACCAATAAAAAAAAAGCTTAAAATTATATTTGTGGCCAAAGAAGTGTCTAAAAAATACATGTTTCATTAAAATTGACATTTTCTATTAAGATTGACACAAAAACAACTTTACCCAAAAGGAAATGCAGACTCATGTCTCTCCCACCCTAGGGATTTCCGGGTGCTCAGGGTGATCCAGGACTGAAAGGAGAGAAAGGCGAAGCAGCTGGGCCAGAGGGAGAAGTGGGTAGTCCAGGGGACCCAGGGCCCAGGGGGCAGCCTGGAAGAGGCGGCTTGGATGGAATTCCTGGAGTCCCTGGAATGAAAGGATTACCGGGACCTAAAGGTGAACCGGTGGGTATCAACTTTTTTTTTTTATGACAATGTGTTTATTTATTTTTAATTTCTTTATTGATTAAGGTGTTACCTATGGTATCAACTTATTTAATTTTTAATGTTACAACCTAGAAAATATTTTAAAAGACATTTTATAAGAAAAACTTAATACAGGTGGAGTATCACCTTTGTGGAAATACCTAATGGAAACCAAACAAATAGAGATTTTAAGCTGCACTGATTTGATTTTAGAAAAGTGCCATTAGCTGAAACAGGTTTGGCTCAGTGGATGGAGCATCGGCCTGCGGACTGAAGGGTCCCGGGTTTGATTCTGGTCAAGGCCATGTGCCTTGGTTGCAAGCACATCCCCAATGAGGGGTATGCGGGAGGCAGCTGATCGATGTTTCTCTCATCAATGTTTCTGGCTTTCTATCCCTCTCCCTTCCTCTCCGTAAAAAATCAATAAAATATTTTTTTTAAAAAAGAAAGAAAGAAAAGTTCCATTAACATGAGTATCATTTACATTTGAACTGTTGACCAATGTGAGGTAGGTTTGAGGGGCTATTCTCACATGGGTGACACCTCATTGTGGGGCATCTCAAGTGGGACTCAGAGTTCCCAGTTGATGAAATGTGACTGAGTTCCAAAGGGCACAAAACCACAGAAACCACAGTTGTGATAATTTCCTTCAAATGCCAACTTCTCTTTAATTCAATACTTTCTCCCCAAGTAGCATTCATATTCATCTATGTAAGGAAATACTGGAATGAAGCACTATCCAAACATATTCCTGCTGTCACAGGCTCTCAGTGGTGAGAAGGGGGACCCGGGTCCTCCGGGGGACCCTGGCGTCCCTGGGTCCCCGGGACCCGCAGGACCAGCTGGGCCACCAGGCTATGGACCGCAGGGAGAGCCTGGCCCAAAGGGCGCCCAAGGAATTCCCGGAGCCCCTGGACCACCTGGAGACGCCGGTTGGTTAGTTTTCTTTCCAGTCCTGTTTTCCTGTGGGTGGGTTGATGGTCCCTAGGGCTAGTGAAGCTCCCTCAAGATCAGTGGATGAATAGAAACTTATTTATCAATGAAATTAAAAAGTTCCTATGGGCTAGTCACCGTTAAGCCAATTTTGCAGAGACTATTCTTCATATTCCTTGGAAAACGTCTCTAAACCCTTTATTATATTGATACATCATATAGTTTTCCTCTGAACCAAGAAGAAGCTTCAATATGCACACTAATTTTATGATCATAAATCTTCTTAAGGTCCTAGGGGGGAGTTCAGTGTTTCAACGCCGGTCCCAGGGCTCCCAGGACCCCCAGGGCCCCCAGGCCACGCTGGCCCCCGAGGCCCACCTGGTAAGTAACCTCTTTGCCAAGCCTGGTGCCTGGCATCAGATAGCACCCAGACTTTCCTGGGAAAACACTGTTCCAGGTTTAAGGAAAAATTATATGCATTGGCTCCCAGAGAGAGCACAGGCCAGTTTGTCAGACGACAAGGCAACAGGCAGGGGAGTTGCTCTTGTCCTTTGAAGTCACCCAGATTATTCCCGTTGGTGCTTCTGACTCCAAAGGGGAGTTGAAATAGTATCTTAAGAGGAATTCGCAAGCAGAACAGTCTTCGTGGATTTCGGTGGAGGAGCAAGGAATGGTTGCCCGCGATTACTATAGTTCCCACAGCTTCTTCATTGGAAAACTTAACTTCTTTGCCGATATGATCTAACACTTCATTCTGCATGCATGGAGGGAGACTTGTATAATTGAAGATATTTAGAGAAATTCTTTTAGGAAATAAATTATATTTTCAAAATTATTTGCAGTTTCTAATGATCAGTCCACTGGATAGGAATGGGGTTGTGGTAAATTCTTTTTTTTAATTTCCAAAATGTCTGGGAGGACACGGAAACTTAGACATTTGGTTACAAGGCAAGATAAACGAAATTGCTGATGTGGACATATATGTGTTGTTAAGGCTTCCCGGGAGAACCAGGAAAATGTGAGCCAGGTACTCCTGGGCCTGACGGGGATCCAGGAATGCCAGGAATTGGACTCCCTGGGCCTCCTGGACCTAAAGGTATGTTAAAAAATTTTAAAACATAAGGTTCATTGTGGATATTTAGAAACTATAAATGTGTATAGTGAATAGCATAGGAAATATCCATACTATCCTTTAAAATGATGTCTTTCATCAGTCCTAAATGGGGAAAATATTTCCCAATGACGAGAGGTAAAAAAGCAGAGGTCACATTGATTTATGCAGTCTCATCCCAATCATATTTTTTAAATGCATAAAAATTCACCAAAGTAATTCTTCTTGATAGTGGGGTTGTGAGGAATTCTTTCTTTACTTCTGAGTAGATGCCTATACTTTTTCATTTATGCATTTCTTCACTTTATACATTTCTTTCATAATAAAAAAGAACTGTTAAATCACACACAGCTGATTTCCCCATTCAGTCCAAAATAAACACAGAAGTTATTTTTCTTTAGGAAAAAAAGATGCTGTCTCTCATCAAAGGAAAAACTCTCCAAAGAAATGCAGATGTTCCCCCACTGACATGTACATGTACACACATACACACACACACACAAGTCTTATCCAGGATGACATATGAGTAACCTGGGTCACTGGGCTGTTGCATACAATTTCAGATTTTATAATAATTTCATGTGTGTTTCAGTATTATTTAAAGTGTTTTTGAAATAATAATAATCCTTTTTGGTGCTTTATCTCTTAAATGAATATATCAACAGTGTTTAGCATGCATCAGTTCTGCCCAAACATGGGAATATTGATCTCAATTTATGAGTATACACTTGAAATGAAAAACCTAATCAGATTTTTCATGCGGTCCCAAGAATGTCTTTGACTGAAATTCCTTGCCAGTGAAGCAACCCAGCCTGGCCCATGTTTTTGCCTCATTCTTTTTGGACCCTGTGTGAAGAAAATTGCATCCTGGCTGCATCCCCTCCAGAGTCACCTTCCTGAAAGGAGACTCCAAACTGGGCACCAGGACTAGTCTAAGAGCTCCTGGAAACTGGAGGGTCAAAATTTCCCATTTAAACCTAATGAAGCCCATAAAGTAATGGTTCATTAAAAACTGGTCAAATTAGGGGCACAAAGGAACTCTCTGAAGGCAGCTCTGCTCCACCCAGGGTTTCCTCTTCTGAACCACAGAAGAGAACAAATGATGTGTGTGACCTCTTTGTCAATTCTCTCATCATAAATGCAAAAGAGGCAAGTTAACTCATAAAGTGGCTGCTTTAGGTCATTAGAAAGTGATTGTCTTGAGCAACCCATGGTGAGAAAGAATAGCTAGGTACTGGAAATGCTTTATATCTTGATATGGCTTATATAATATATACGTGTGTGTGTGTGTGTGTGTGTGTGTGTGTGTGTGTCTGTAAATATGTATCTGGCTATATACTGAATGTAAAATATGCTTTTTAAAGAAAAGGTCAGCCCAATGGTAAACCGAGATCAGAGATTTTAAAAAATACTGAATCAAAATTATAGTGGTGCTAAACAACAAAAATGGAGAAGGTAATTTTTAAAATTAGGAACCAATGTAATCTGCTTTGGAATTGTGTTTTTTAAAATTGCTAATTTACCCATTGGCTTTTTCATCACTCAAACTTCCATAAAACATTTATAGCTACTTGCCTCATGAAATAAGGTAAAATAAAAGAGATACTGCCCAAAATCTTTTAATAAGACTAATTATACAACCTTTATTTTTTTTTCCCCTGTAGGAGACCGAGGTTTTCCAGGAACTAAAGGAGCACCAGGTTGTCCCGGAGAAATGGGGAAGCCAGGGTTACCTGGAAATCCAGGCCTCCCAGGAGCCAAGGTCTTTGAGAATTAAAATTCAGACTGGAATGGGGAAGAGGAGGAGCAATTACAGTTCGCCAGTTAGGATATTCCTGCCAGTCAGGATGCTCTGTGTAGAAATTATCAATTTACTTGTAAATGATAAAGCAGATGATTTTTTAAAGTTTTTTTTTTTTTTACTATTCCTCCCTTTTAGGAAGAAAAACAGAAAGTGTTAAGGAGACAAGTTTGCTTTTCTATTTCTCCCTTAACCTTCAGAAACATTCATATTTAAAATGGTTGAATTCTAGAAAGAAACATGGATAGCTATGAGAAAAACTCAAGTGTAAAGACATCTAGATTGTTTACAGAGAATCCCACAGTATTATGAAAAAGTAGGGGATCTAAAGAATTATTATGCATACATTTATAGAAAAGTCAGCAACTAGAGTTGAAAAAGGAGAGTTGATAGAATGGTGGCGACTGTGAAAAAAAGGTACTTAGGAACTCCATGATGAATATGTTATCTTCAAGTAAATAACCCTAAAGACAAGCCAATCTCTCTGTATAAAAGGCTAAGTGACTGACCATACATACATCCAACTGGCCAGTACATATAACACACATTGGCAATTTAAAAATAAACGTTGACTCGCACATGCGCAATGCATATAAAGCTCTCGCTGGCTCCAATCGCAGGTGTGTTTTAATTTTATAATACTATATTATATATACTATTTTGACATGTAATTTTTTGCTATAATGCAATTACTGCATGAATCTTTCTTCTAATTAATTTCCTTTCAATGTGCACAAATCCATGCACCAGGCCACTAGTTGTCAATAAGTATCTAGAAGCATTATATGTAAAACTAACACCATTTCTGTGCCATAGGGAGAACCAGGACTAGCCATGCCTGGAGAACCAGGAATACCAGGTTTTCCAGGAGAAAGAGGCAATCCTGGGGAAAATGGAGAAATTGGACTCCCTGGATTTCCAGGTCTCCCTGGAATTCCAGGAACTGGAGGGCTTGATGGACCACGAGGTACAATAGCAAGTTCAATTACTTTTCTTCTCTGTGAGCTTTGCTAAAATGCAGTAAATTGCATCTGCAGGTGCTCTAGGGGTGAAGAATTTTCAAAGTTCTAGATGAATAAATAGAATCTGAGGGCCTAATTGTTGTTGTTCTACCTTTGTTCCTTCTTCCCTTCTCTCTTCTTTCTTTCCTTCTTAATGAGTGTTTTCTATATAAGACATATTAATGATAATAAATATTGGCCCAATTTAGGGGGAAGGGGGAGTTGCAGGAGAATGTTTGGGATAGCAATACTAGGACCTTGGGTTTGGGCCCTGGAATATATTCTTGGACTCTCTTTTGCAGGGGATCCAGGGCAGCCTGGACCACCTGGAGAAAAAGGACTCCCAGGGAGATGCACAGAGGGTCCCAGGGGACCTCCGGGACTTCCAGGCTTAAATGGATTGAAAGGGCAACAAGGTAAGAGGAGGGCCTCAGAACTGCTCACCAGATGGGCAAGTGGCCTGGGACTCCAGCTAGCTGTTTTGCTATTTAACTCTGGAACTGTCCAGCAGCAAGTCCTGACCACTGCTCATGGGAACTGGTATGAAATATAAACCTTGTCATGGATTTGTTGCAGTGAGGACTCACGCATGGTGAGTGGCACTGAATGTGTTCTGTAAGTTCAAGACTAAGGCAAAGTCATACAGTGCAGTCCCAGGATGTGCCTGCAGAATTAGAAAATAGATCTAAATTCTACATTTTTATTACTGCAAGAGTCGTTGAAACAGAGAATGCTAACGCCAAAAGGGATCTTAAAAATTTTATAGGAGGGGACATTAACTAACCAGTCCATCCATCCATCTGATGAATATGTGTTTTATTTAGCTCCAAATCACAAAGCTAAATATTTACAGCCATGAGATATTTCTGGAGTCAGTGGGGAAAGCGCTTGTGTGTTCATTCCTTTATTTCATTCATTCATTCATTCATTCATTCACATATAGGTAGAAAAGGTGAAGCAGGACCAAAAGGAGACCCAGGGATTCCAGGTTTGGATAGATCAGGACTTCCTGGAGAACCTGGACCACCAGGAATGCCAGGTCATCAGGGCGAGATGGGACCACCTGGTCAGAAAGGATATCCAGGAAACCCGGGATTTTTAGGGCCACCAGGTATTTTCTTCTGCTTTCATTTATTTTTATTTTTTAATTACAGTTGACATATAATATCATATTAGTTTCAGGTATTCCACTGAAACAAATGATTATTTTTGCTGTGTAATCCTTTTAATATGTTACTACTAAAATAGATTTGCTAGTATTTTGTTGATAATTTTTGCATCTATATTTACAAGGGAAATGGGTGTATCTTTTTTCTTTTCTTGTGATGTTTCTTCCTAGTTTGGGTATCAGGGTAATGCTGGTCTTACAGAACAAGATGGGAAGTGTTCCCTCCTCTTACATTTTCTAGAAGAGTTTGTGAAAAAGGGATATTTTTTAAATGTTTGGTAGAATTTATCAGTTCTGGGCTTTTCTTTGTGATAATTTTTTAAATTACTAATTTAATTTGTCCATTTGTTATAAGCCTAATTAGATTTTCTATTTCCTCTTGAGTCGTTTTTGGTAACCTGGGCATCTCTATAAGTTTTTCCATTTTCTGTAGGTTATCTAATTTGCTTGCAGATGGTCATTTATAGCATTCCCTTATAATTCATTTTATTTCATTGCTGTGTTGACAGTTAATATGTTTCAGAAGAATATACCGATATTCTCCTGGCATGTAACCTCACTGACCTTTCCTCTAGAGCAGTGTTTCCCAAACTTCTCTCATGATGAGAATCACCTGGTGGAGTTGTTAAACTACAGATTTCTGAATCACAACTAAGAAGTGCTAAACTAGAATTTTTGGGAACATATATCTGTATTTAACAACTCCACCAGGTGATTCTCATCATGAGAGAAGTTTGGGATACACTGCTCTAGAGAATAGCACAGGATAACAACTTAATCTGCAAATTATTCTTTCATTCTTATGATTAAACTGTTATCACGTGCCAGCACTGTTCCAAGCCCTAGGGCCACATCAGTGGACAAGTTCCACCTCTGACAGTGAGTGAGACAAAAATGAATACATTAGTTACAATTTCAACTCTGGACAACAGCTATGAAGAAAATAAAATGAGCTATTGGTCATGGACGGAGAGGAGGAATAGTCCAAATTATAAAACATATTCTGTTCTTATCCACAAACGTGATCTGCTACCAATAACTTCCACATACACGATGTAAGAGGAGACTGGTTCCTGACCTATCTCCTAGACATTTATGGTTATTTTCTTATTTACAGAAACCATTCCTTCAACTCCCACTTTCTCCTTCTAAATATAATTTATTTTATGGAAAAAGCACTTGCTTTTCTCATTCTGAATAGGCTCTGTGTTAATTGTTTCAACAGGTGAAAGAGGAACCATTGGGATGATGGGATATCCAGGCACTATTGGCCTTCCGGGGCCTCCTGGGACCCCAGGCTCCCCAGGACAGAAGGGTAAGTGATGGAAGAGCTTTCTAGTCATCAGGAGGAGGGAACAGCAAAATAATTATATTTTATTCTTTGAGGGGAAACTAGTTCTGAAAAAATGTATTTGATGTTGCTGTTCCCTGTTTTCTTTTTTCCCATTTGAACGGGATCATTTTCTTTCCTACAGGCTGTTTTAGGAAACTATTTATGAAGGTCTCAGCACTGTCAAGTGTTTTGGCTTGTTTGTTTTGTTTTATGGTAAGCACTGTTTACTTTTGCAACCTTATGCACTACTTAAAGAACTAAGGGACTGCTGTGGTTACTCCTGTCTTACAGGTCGCTTTGGAATCCCAGGAGCAAAGGGGGAGCGAGGATCCCCAGGAGCCAAGGGAGAGAAAGGAGCCAAAGGACCTCCCGGGCCTTCTCAAATAGCTCACTTACTGGGGGACAAAGGAGAGCCAGGCCTCAAAGGTACAGACTGCCTTACATTTAGAAGCAGACCATCAGAGCTGATTCTGAAACTGAGAGTTATCTAGGCAAACCCTTCTGGTTGGTAAATGAAGACAGTGAGGGCCAGTGTTTAGTATCCTGTCCATAGTCCCAAAGCTACTTGGTGGCCCAAGCCTGAACTATTGATAGAACCGGGTCTCATGTGCCTCGCACAATATGTTGCCTCTTTAATGCATAACTCTGTATTTCTAGTCAACTCTTCATTTTGGTCAGCTGTTTTTTAATTTTCCCTAGTCAGCTTTTAAACCATAAGTCTCAGAACCCCTATTTGCCAAGTAAGTTGAAAAATAAACCCTTAGGAAGTTCCACATAAAAACCTTCCCTGCCTAAAATGGAAACCTCCACCTCAAACTCCACTATATTCCATCGGTTGTCAGGATTCATTTTTCTCATTTGCATCGCAAAATTGTTTCTCATGCTCAATATCCTTTGGAGAAGAGTGTTTTATACATTTTAAGAAAGCCTGTCTTATGGTCTCCTTGGCCAATTTTAATCCCAAGTAATTTTAGAAGAAAAAAAAAGAGAATAGCTGGGTAAAATGAAATATTTGCAGATTAAACTTTCATAGCAGGGAACAATGAAGAAAAATGTACATTTTCAGTTGCCAAATTATATTGTGTTGAGTAATTTGTAATACATTTTGAGAAGTGGGATTGTATTCAACAAATGTTTTTATGCTTGTCACAGAAGGATGGATAGTAGAAGTAAAGATTGCTTAACAAATTCTGCACAAGGTGCTATAGGCCTGTCTAATTTAAATACAACCAGTTTTTAAAATCTTAATTTCTCAAAGACTCAAAGGCATCCACTGCAAATGGATGAGGTATTGAGGTTGCAATAAGCACAACTGTGGTCCTCTCCTAAAGGAGCCTACATACGTAGGTGTATGTATGAAAAGGCAGTGAGTAATATTTTTTATCAGGAAAATAGTGTGATTAAAGCCATGTTCTACAAAAGCAGGATGGTGCTGTGGGAAGTTTATGAGTTCTCTGCCTGTGGAACTGGGTTCAAGTCCTAACACTACTATTGATGGACAGGGTGACTCTAGCTTAGTCCATTGACTTCTTAGGCCAGTTTTCTCATCTCTGCACTCTAGCTGGAAAGGCTTGAGGATTGACTTAGATTGTCTGCAGATTTAAAAAGATAAATAAAAGAGAATAGTGTCTGTCATATGTTAACTAGTTAATACACCATAGTTATAATAAATGGACTGAGAATGAGATAGTCTAGACACAAACATGGTCCTCTGGCATCTCTAAGATAAAGCAAGAAGAAGCTATATTTAGGCCACTAATTCTTATAAGCTTGTTAATTGCTGGTTTTGTTTGAGAGCTAACTCGTGCCAGCTACTGTGCTAATAATTAATTAATTAATTTAATCCTGTTTTTAAAAAAATGTAAGTCCACATTGGCCCATTCTCTTAACAAATATCCTGTATTCTGTTATAATAATACTAGAGGCCCAGTGCACAAAATTTGTGCTCTGGCAGTTGGAGGGGGGCCTCCCACTGCTGCTGTGCTCACCAGCTGGAAGCCCAGCTTCTGGAGGAGTGGTGTTCCCCTGTGGTAGCGCACTGACCTACCAGGGGGCAGCTCCTGCATTGAGCATCTGCCCCCTGGTGGTCAGTGCACATCATAGCAACCAGTCATTCTGGTCGTTGCACTGTAATGGTTGTTTAGGCTTTTATTATATAGATCCCATCAATTTTAATCAGGATGTGGATTACTCTGATAAAATTCTAACCTGTATTTTTAATACATTGTTTAACACTAGGGTTTGCAGGACAGCCAGGTGAGAAAGGAGACAGAGGCATTCCCGGGTTCCCGGGTTTAGAAGGACGCAGAGGGCCACCTGGACCACCAGGACCACCAGGTATAGTGGACTTGCTAATAGAAGTATCAGGCTTTGTGTTTCCCTTCATCTAAATGTAACAAAAACGTGTTTCTAGACTTTCTGGTGTGAATGTGAATCCTGCTCCAGTAGTCTTCCAACAGAAATTTGCTTCTAAATTAAACCAAAATGAAGGTGTGTATAGTCAGCCTGTATTAACTAAAAAATATTAACATGCACAAATTTCCATTTTTGTAATAAAGTTTTTATTTTGAAGCTACTAATATGTATTGCAAACTTTAATGTATCACAATGTTACATATCATAGAAGAAAATCAGATAATGCCTTAGAGGTTTTCAAATTTGCCTCTTCCTTTTTTAAACAGATTATTGAGTTTGCAAACTAATTTTTTAAACTATTAAAGTAGCCACCTTGTTCTCTGTGATTCCATCAAAATATATTATAATACATGGCAGTAAATGTTCAGTGTAGAAATCTATTACTTTCCTGCTTCGGTCCTAGGATGATCTTATGACTGTTTATTTCTTCTCAAGGCCCCAGAGGAGATCCTGGAAGCCATGGGAGTCCTGGAGAACCGGGCCCCCAGGGAGTGCCAGGAAGCATGGGGCACATGGGGGTGCCAGGTAATGGATACGATCCTGCTATGAGCCTACATACTTACAATGGATCCCAGTTTTCGATATTGTGTTATTTGTTCTTTGATTTCCCATTTCTTAGAAAGTTGGTGTAATACAATTAGGTTTACTAGAATATTAATGAGAACAAAACAAATATTTACATTGTTTAAAAATTATCCATCATGACTACCTGGTTTATTAGAGATACCGAAAGGTCAACTTCCTAAAAGAAAGGTGTTTTGTGCAAAGGCTGGAAGTAGAACACTTCGAAATCCCTGTGTTTACCTATTGTGTCTGACTTCTTTCCTAATTTTAGGCTCCAAAGGAAAGAGGGGAACTTTGGGACTCCCAGGTCTCCCTGGAAAAACAGGCCTCCCAGGTGTTCATGGTCCCCAAGGAGATAAGGGAGAGCCGGGTTATTCAGAAGGCACAAGGCCAGGACCACCAGGACCCAAGGTATATCGGCCAGTGAAATACTTACATTTTGGTGATGGGGGGAGTCCCTTTAAATACCAACATCTATTGGATTCAATGTGAGTAGAGAAAATTTTAAATGTTATTATATTTTCAGGTAGGTGTTTGGGTTCTCTTTAATCCTACCTTCACAACTGAGGATGCTGTCAACTTCTTAATGTATTCCTGCCAGTTTCAACTCTGAAGGAATTTCTCATCATTGCTCCTGCAATTTAAGTGTGCTGCAAGAAGGAGGCAGTGATCAGGGACTTACACAATCTGCCAGGGCAGTGTTTGTTTTCTGCGACACAAAGTAGCCAGTCTCTGCTATGGACTCACCTCACACAGACTTATACAAATAAATTTCCTTTGCCCTTGATTTTTAGACTAGATCTTCAGAAAACCAGGGAGACTCAATTTCCACTGAAATATTTTCTCAGTGAGGAATTGTCTTATACTTGATTCCCATTCAATTAATTAATAGTTTCACTTAGATTTAGGGTTTTCATAGGTAACCACAGAAAAGATGTTCAGAACCATGCATTGAACAAAAAAAAAAAAAAAATGGGCTCATTTTATCATACAGGCAAATCATAGTAACAGAGTAGTATATTTTAATCAATTACTATGGAGATTTTATAAGTAACCATTAAATCTATACATACTGGTTTATTATAAAACTAGAAGCCCAGTGCACGAATTCATCCACCAGTGGGGTCCCTTGACCTGGCCTGCGGGGATCAGTGGACCTCAGTGCCACCACCGCCTGGCCTTACCCACCAGCTTGTTGGGCTCCAGCCCGCTGTCCATGTGAATCCTGCACAGCACTAAGTAGTGCGCGAAGCAGCAGGTGGTCAGGGAGGAGCCACTGGGCTCAGCACCACTCCCACTTTGCAGGGGGAGTGTCTGCAGGAGAGGTTTGTGCTGCCACAGCTGAGTGGGCCTCCAGCTGTGGAAGTGCACTAACCACCAGGGGTCAGCTCCTGCATTGAGCATCTGCCCCCTGGTGGTCAGAGCATGTCATAGCTAGCAGCCAGTCATCTGGTTGTCCAGCCACTCAGGCTTTTATATATATATATATATATATATAGATTGAAGTACACATGTAATGGAGATTTTGCTTTCTTTTTATATATGATTGACATGCATTTATTGGCATGTATAATATCTGTAGAACATATGTTCATTTGGTCTATTTCTTTCCTACTCCTGAGTTAATTATCACAAGTTGTGATAATTACACCTTTGTGTGATTATTTACTATTTCCCCTCTGGTCTCCACGAAGCAAGGACTCTATATATATCACACATGTGAATATGGTTATTATATTCCTGGTGAGAGCCAGTTTTGTAGGTGTGTGGCCCATGTAGTTATAGGGGTTGGGTGCTAAGAAGGACGGCACATTTGGTTCAGTGCTTTAATGTTGCTATTTTGAATTGCTTTATCATTTTGTAAAAGGGAGCTGAATATTCATTTTGTGCTGGGCCCCAGAAAACATGTAGTCCCCCCCTTTTCCCAAGCACCTGTCATATTACTGGCACATAGCAGCTACTCAGTATGAATTGCTAACTGACCAGCTAAATAATATTCCTATGTAATAAAAGCATAGCATGCAAATTGTCCCTTTGACCTGGAGTTCGACCAGGGGGCAGGGCTGACTGGCAGCTGGGGGAAGGGAGGGAGTACCCAGCCTCCAGCAGCCAGCAGCCACTGGGGACCTTCCAGTGTATGAATTTCATGCACTGGGCCTCTAGTGTTAACAATAAATAAATGCAAAACAAATACAGTTTATACTTCATTCTGATCACATATCCTGCTTCCATGAGAACTTTAAAGGTGTTTGACTGAATTTAAGGGAGAACCAGGATTGCCAGGTGTCGTGGGAATGAAAGGAGAAAGAGGGCCACCTGGGCCGCCTGGACATTCAGGGCCCGCTGGACCTGATGGAGTCCCTGGACATCCCGGAAGTCCCGGCCATCCAGGTGAGCACTGGCTTTACTCTGCGAGCAGGAGGCATGACACTTAGCATGTCTCTCGCCGCCTAGAATCGTCTCTGTAAACAGAAAGCTTTTTAGGCTTTTGTATTATAATTGCTTTTATTCAACTTTCATCTTCTAATTCTAAGACACTAAGGAATAGAAAATGAATCAAGAGAAGCCTTATTTGCTGATGAGCCAGTTTGGTTGACTGAGATCTAAAAAACTGCTCCCATAAACAAAACTTCTGAGGTGCTCCCAAAAATTTCTGAGTTCAGCCCAGAGACGTGAAATGTTGGTTCATTGTCCAGTCTTATGATGGTGTATCCATTTTCCAGGTTTCCCATAACAAACAACGCAGATGGAAATTTACTTTCTCACAATTCTGTAGGCTAGAAGTTTGAGATCAAGGTATCGGCAGGGTTGATTTCTTCTGAAGCCTTTCTCCTTGTCTCATGGAGGGCCACCTTCCCCCCGTGTCTGTCCTCTGGGTCTGTGTCCAAATGGCCGCTCCTTATAAGGACACCAGTCATGTTGGAGTAGAGCCTGCCCTACTGACCTCATCTTAATTTAACTGCTTCTTTCAAGACCCTGTCTCCAAATATAGTGACATTCTGAAGTATTGAGGGTTAGGACGCCAACATACAAATTAGGAAGCAACACAGTTCAACTCATCACCCTGTTGTGGTGTTGTTTTTTCTGGCACATTTCAAGGTCAAACTTTGGCTTTATTTTTTTTATTGCTTATAATTCGGGTTTCAGTTTTTGTTTTGCTTTACTAAAAACAACTGTTAAGCTACTGGGTTGCAGCTGCCGGTCTTACAGATACCATTTTAAAAATTATCCTTTCAGACACTAAAAGTTTCCATGGGTTTGCTGTTAATTCCCAATGGATCACAAAGCAATAAGTCAGGTATCGAGTGGCCCACTTGATTGCTGTGTGCACACTCTTCAAAGCGGTTTAACACATTGCTGTGCTTCTCTAGGGAAGTAGCACCCAACAAAAAGCCTGAGGTGACGGGTACAAGTCACCTGAACACCGGCATGAGCAAGGTTGACTGTAAGAACCAATCATTTCAGCCAATGTAACCATTTCTTTTGTCCTTTCCCTCTCTCTCCATTTACAGGAAAGTCGGGTCCTGATGGTGACATGGGGTCGAGAGGAATGAAAGGTTTCCCTGGATTTCCAGGAACAAAAGGCCCTCCAGGTTCCTGCTCTACTTTGTCTATCGCCCTTTCCTAAGGGAAGCATGTTCCCCCTGAGTTTGAACTCTCTGCTTAGCCATAGCTTTGAGCCACGACTGCTCTTTAGAAGGTAGCCACCAATTACTCAGTCCTCAGACAGAAATGCAGAAGAGTGAGGCTAGCTATTATTTATACCTATTTATATTATATATATATTATTTATACCGATATTTATACCTAATTCAAAGGTCTGCCAACCTAGACATTCCAAAGAAATAATCCTCATAACTGTTCGTCTGTTCATAGCTTTCATTGTGAAGTTAGCTGCACATAACTACAGTTCTGCAAAATTAACACTTTTACCAGAGTTACACACGCCTGGCACATTAGGCCATTCATCGGAAGGAAATTCTCTCTTTGAATGACTTTTTTTTTTCCCAGGCCCTCCAGGATTCCCAGGAGACCCTGGCCCCATGGGTATGAGAGGAGACCAAGGAGGTGACGGGATTCCTGGTCCAGCAGGAGAAAAGGGAGAAACGGGTACAACTTCTCGTATTCTTGGATCCACTCATTTTATTTTGCATGAAATTATTAGTGACACTAATTATTAATTAATAATTAGTAATTCTTCACTGCTCTAGAGATTGTTTTCTGACAGAGCAATCTTTAACATGTTTTGGGTATGTGATAATTTAGACTTCCTTTTATTGCCAATGTTAAATCGACCTAGCAGTATCAATCATATCTACATAATGAAGCCAACCACATGTAAACTATTAATATGCCAAAATGACCTCTTTCAGGTTTGCTGGGGGCACTTCCAGGCCCAAAAGGGAAGCCTGGTGTTCAAGGTGAGCAGTTCTTCCTTCTCAGCCCTGGTGACTCACAGGTTCAAGGACAGAGTCTAATGTAATATGCTTGATCAATAAAATAAAAACATACGGGATTAAAGGAATCCCAGTGGTAAAATAGGATGTTTCTATTCTTCATATGCAAGTAAAAATGCTTCATTATTACCATTACCACAAAGTGAATGAATTAGGAACTGTGATCCAATTTTGGAATTTCCTGCTATGAAAGTCTTTACAAATAAAAAGATTTTTTTTATCTATGTGCTTTGTTGTTGCCAGCATGTTTTAAAGGCAGCATTTCCTAAAAGGAGAAGGTGAAATCGGTGGCTTCTCAGTGAGCATCCCTCCCTGCTCTTCTTCGATGCAGGAATAACGCCAACCCTTTCCCACCTTATCACCTTCACAGCTCTGATTCCACCCCCCACGGCCAGCTTGTGGGTCGTGCTACTCTTGACAAATTCCTTTAACATCTCAGACCTGGCAATTTACTGAGCATATCATGCAAAGCACATACAAGTTTTTCATTGGACAGCTGTAGTTCGGAATGTCTCATGCCAGTGTGTCATACAATAAGCAGCTGAAGTTTTCCCATTTTGTAGAGAAACCTGCCAGAAGAAACATTAGCTTGCTTTCACCTTTTTGTTGACCCTTCTCAGCCATGGGTCCTGTGGATTTGAGTATTTTATTAGCAAACATGCCTAAACCCTGGTTATTGATACTCACAAGAACCAGCAAGAAGTCGTCTGATGCTACTGAGAAACTCAGAGGGGCAGGAACTTCCTCCTGACCTACCAGCTCACCTGTGAACATAGACCAAAGCTGCCCCTTTCTGTTTGCTTCTGGATGATGTGACCATCTTTGCGGATAAGTTTAATATTCCCGCTTTCTCACATGCACCTCCCTCCCCCAGAAGCATAAGGCTTTGCCAGTCTAGGTCACCGTCGAGTTTAAAATTATGTCCAAAAGAAGAGTTTCTGTTCCTTTCCTGGGCTAAGTTCCCAATATAACCATTTGGAACGAGAAATCTTTAGCATTTAATTGGAAATGCAATTTGATATAAAATGATCACATCTTAAGCTTTTTAAAAAGCGTCAAAAATAACAAATAGCCTAATTGTGTAAGTAGATGATTACGTATGCACCTCAATCCCTCCAGGATAACTAAATATGGAGAAGAGTTCATTGAGACATGGAAGGTCTGAATCCTTTTCGTTAGTTTATTCTCCCAACTCCTAAAAAGAAACCATGTCATAAAACAAGGAAGAATTTGAATGGAATTGGAACATGTAACCCAAGACAGCAACTTGGTGCTTCAGACCATTGCCAGACCGTTGGGCAAATACAGTATTTCACAGCCTAGAGTGAGCTGAAATCATCTAGACACTTTAAAAGCATAAATTATGAGCTATCAAAAAGAGCGTGACAGACAAAAGGCTAGATAGTCAATATTCATCCATTTTATTTCCAGCCTCACTTTTAAGTCTTCCCCGCATCATAGCTTCCCAAGCCCTTCCTATGCCAGCAGCCTCATCCCCACTTTGTCTTCTTGCCATCATATCTGTCTCCTATTTTTACGCCACTTGCTGTTTCTATAATAACCCGAAGATGGGAGGGAGGGGGAAGCTTATTTTAGGCTTACGCAGCATTTTCCATTCGTGAATGTCAATGTACCGGTACACGTTCTTGAAGGTTATTGAGAAATATTATTATTTAGTAGTGACTTTGAGGCTCTTTTTGGTAAATCCAAAACTCTTGCCACATATGGTTTGCCATATGGGGGAGGAGTAACCAGAGGACAGAGATGGGATTACAGCTTTGTCGTTCCTTTGCCTGGATTGAGCTGGGCAACACCTCCAATGCACACATCATTGCCGTGAAGTTTTAGCTTTGGGTGCTCTGCTGAGTTTTCAGTGATTAAATAATGAAATTTTTATTTTATTTTAATGAAAGTTCATCAGATAATAACAGTCATGGCTTACATTTACAGAATTCTTTAGACCTTACACCATGCTTTTCCATATCACTTTTCCATTTATTACCTCACTGGGTCCTTGAAGACCTGAGCTAGGTCAGATCCTACCTTCATTTTAAAAATAAGAATATTACAAAGTGACTTTGCCAAGATCAAATGGCTAATCAAAGGCAGAACTTACTCGAGACCTGCATTTCTTTTACCAGCTTATTTTTATAAACTATATGTGTGTGTGTGTGTGTGTGTGTGTGTGTGTGTGTGTGTGTTGTGAATCTTAACTCATTATTAGAGATAACCACAAACTCTAACTCCCAGTATAGGGGCATTACGGAAACTTATAAGGCCTTTCCTTTTGCAGGAGCGAAAGGAGACAGAGGAGCCCCAGGCTTGCCCGGCCTTCCCGGCAGGAAGGGGGCAGTGGGAGATGTTGGGCCTCGAGGACCCCCGGGAGTGCCAGGATTCCCAGGGCCACCAGGTTTCCCTGGTACAGTCATCCCTGGCCAAAAAGGAGACCGAGGCCCACCAGGCCCAAGAGGAAATCCAGGTAGAGGATCTACTTTTAAAGAAGATAAAAGAGTGGAAATAATGTTTAACAACAGAAGCTTTCAACTCCCCCTCGTGTGACCTTACTGCTTCTTTTCCCTCTGGTCTTCTCCATTTTTCCGTACCCACTGGATTTCACACAGAGTACCCAAAGCTGTTGGTATTGTTGATGCAGATGGTCTGTAAAATTGGTAAATGCCAAATTAGCCTAAAAGACAGAAATGCATCCATCCACCAGTGAGCTCCTGCTCTGAGTCAGGTACGGAGCTGGAGAAGATCCTGCTCCCACACCCCTGCATCCGGGAGGAAACATTCTTGCCTGTGCCAGGGGCTTCACTGGCATTATCTCATTCTGTCTTGACCATAATCGCATCACCCTCTCAATGGGGAGATTGTTCAGGGTAATGGTCAGGAACGGGGTTTGCACTCTCTTCCAAAGAATCATCCAAAGAACCTTCCGGGATCCCCAACATGCAGTACTGACAGGCTCTTTCTGAATACAGGTGAGCCTGGTCCCCCTGGACCTCCGGGGAGTCACATCAAAGGCATAAAGGGAGACAAGGGATTTATGGGTGAGCCAGGCCCAAGAGGCCCACCTGGAGCCGCAGGAGACACGGGGCCACCAGGTCCTCCCGTAAGTGTGGAAAATCATTTTGACTTCTTATATTCTCCCAAACCAGTTGCCAGGATCAGAGACACAGAGGCAACAAAATTTCCCCATCTGTAATGCTTCTGAGAAGACAGAGTCCAGAGGTTCATAGAACCAGTCGTAAGCATTAGATTTGGCTTCTGAGAGGCCCCTAAAGTGTGGGCCCTTTTCTGTGTCACTGATGACCTTTCCTTGTTTCAATTCTGAGCAATTCCAGTTTTGGAAGCTTCAAAAAACACACACACACAAAAAAAAAAAAAAAAAAAAAAAAAAAAAAAAAAAAAAAAAAACCACACACACAAAAAAAACACCTAGGGGTTTGGGATCACACTAGAAGACAGCATAATTTGTCTCAGTTAATATGCTTTTGAAGTTATGTGTGCTACCCCTAAATGTATATTTCCTTCCCATGACATACACTCTAGTGTTTATAAATACTTGCCATTTCCTTCCAAATACCAGGGTGGGCAAAAGTAGGTTAACAACAACAACAATAATAAATACAACAATTAATAAATAAGCAATACAAGAATAAACTGTTTCTCATACTCACAACTGTAAACCTGCTTTTGTCTACCCCTATATTGTCTCCCCCAATAAATACCTGTTTGTGTTGGCTTTTTTCTTTTTCAAATTCAATTTAACCTTTCACCAACCCTGCCTCTATTGATATATCCTACTTTGTCAACATCCCCCTTAAAAATGCAGGCCCTGGACAAAGAATATCCAGGAGTGAGGATGCGGTAGTCAATGGGGTGCCTAGAGGAGGGAACAGTCTCACTATCCTGACATCCCCACTTTGTAACACAACCTAAAATCCACTCGGGCTGCTTGGCTGCCACGTCCCCATCTTGTCGCCGCACATTGAGCTCACAGTCAGTGAAAGCCCATGTGCCTTTCCCCGTGAACTGCTACTAAGTTTTCCCCATTGGCTCTTGTCCTGTGTGCTTCCTTGAGACTTGCATGTGGACTTTCACATTTACCTTTCTAAGATGTCACTTTGTTCATTTAGACTCCTCTCCCAGCCTATTACTATCTCTCGACTCAGCCTCTCACTCAACACCTCAGCCTTCTTCCTAGCTTTCTGATTCCTCCGTTTACATCAAATTCTTGGAGACTGATGAGGAATCAGAGTTCTGTCACAGATGTTCTGGGTCAGGAATCGTGCTGCTCTCTCAAGATCTCTTGGTATTTGGTTTCCAAAAGCTACTCTTTTAAAACCTTTTTTTTTTTTTTTATTTGAAAAGTGAGATATTTGCTCTTCTTCAGTCTGAGTATTCTCGTGTTCTTCATGATTATTTGAAAGTGGCAAACACTGACCCTGTGACCACACCAAAAGTTCTCCCCAGGACACTGGGATGTGGAAAGTCCAGTTTAGAAATGTGATCTCTCTTAAACCTTCTGGGGGTTCCACCAGCTAGGCTTCCTTCCACACTGGCACTCGAAACGTAACTCTTCCTGATGGATATCCAAACTGGCGAGGTGCCTTTACCAGTTTTCTCCTTGCATGGAAGTGCTCACTCCCCAGCCAAGGGCTGGGCCTGGCACCGGGCCCTCCTCCCTGGTTATCTCTGCCAGACCTCAGAAGCCTGGGAGTCCTGGATCAGATCGCTCTGTTTGCTCTCCCTTCTTTTTTTTAATCTCACCCTGCCTTATCCAAGCAATAGGACTGCTTCTTGGTTTGATCTTCTTGCTCCAATGACAGGTGGCTCAAAGGGCAGTCTTGTTGTTCTTGGCATTTTTCATGTCCGCTGTTTTCAAGTAACACATTCTGTCTCAAGTCACACGGACTCTGTAGAGTAGATTTAACATACATTCCAACATATGGCTCTTTTCAGAAGCCTTGTCCCCCCCCTCCCCTTCCCCCCCCCCGCCTCCTTTCCCTCTTCTAAGTCTTTGCTTGGGCATCTCTTGGTTGCAAGAGCTATTCGTGCTCAGCCTCATTTGGAGGGAGCATCTCCTCCTGGGCAGATGATTGCGTCCTTGTCCAAAGTGCATGTCAGAACCGCCCTAATCACCCTTTCATGTGCCCATCTCTGGACACTGTTTCTACCACTCTGACCAATTCATAACTCTTCTGGCTTAGTCAGAATGAGTTATTATTTTTTAAGTTATTATTATTGAAAACTATAGTCTTAAGGAAACATGTAGGTGGCAGAGGAATTATAGGAGGTGAAACAGTGATTGCAAAGTTAAATGATGTCTCTTAACCTCAGCTCATTCTTATCTATCAGATTATATACTATTTATATCCCATTTTCTTTGAATGTTGTGATTTTTTAAATTTGTCTGGTTCTGCTCTTTTTCACTTGAAATATAGGGAGCCCCCGGTACTCCAGGTCTGCCGGGGCCCAGAGGTGACCCTGGGTTCCAAGGATTTCCAGGCATGAAAGGTACTGTTTTGTGCACTGCTCTTTGGATGCAAATACAATGACTGAGATTCACAGTGTAGTTCACCCACATGTTTATTGAACTCCCACAGTCATCCCAGATAGTTAGGATTATACAAAGAAGACATTAGTGTTAGTGAAGAAGAGGACTTAAAAATTAAAACCATACCTTAAAGGTGGGAACTGTAGGAAAACTAAGCAGAAACAGTTTAAAGTGGTTACCTTTGAGTGTACTGATGTATGAGGGTTAGGGGATGGGGACCTACATTAATAGCAACAGCTATTATTGGTTTATTGCTTGGGTTATTTCTTTTACCTTGTGCAGGTGTTACAAGTTTAAAAACTGAAAACCTAAAAAAATTCATCAAACTGTTTATTAGTGGGGGAGGATAATATGTAGATTTCAGTATTTTTTTCTATGGAGCACATCTGTTATGTTTTTAATGAGAAAAAAAACACACACTATACTTTGGGGATTTTTAAGTTTAAAATGTTCATCCCCAGAAATATAAGCTTCGGGTTTTAGAAATTCTCCAATCTTCCATAAGGGTGCTATCACCTTAAATAAGGTTTTGACTATGGGGTTTGTTGTTTTCGATGGCTAACTCCCGTTATTATTTTGTGTATGGCAGGGACTCTATTATAGACTAAGATGCTAAGTAATAAGTGTAGCCAAAGTGAATAGAGCCACAGTTTCACAAAGGAAAACTTTTTCCAGGACTAAGGAGTTAACTTTTTCCAAGACACAAAGAGAGCCTTTTTCATGCATTCAATCACCGACTCCACAAGGAGTCCATTAGTTAAGAATAAGTCAAAGCAAGAATTCTGGTGAGTCTCATTAGACATTGGGTGGGTGACTACTGGCAGGCAGCCTGGGGAAAATGTGTGCCACCTGTCACTTCCTCAGTCTCACAACAGGAATATATAAGGATTGAAAAATTATGTAAAGGCTTCACTGAAGAAACATTCTGGGGAGATGTTTAGAGGAGGTTTCATAAAATCCAGTTCTGTTATTAAACATAGGGTATCCCAAAAAATGTATACACACACTTTGAACAATGAAGGCAGTGTTTATTAAAATACATCTCATATCAGCTGTTAAAGTGTGTATGGTCCATGAAACATTTAATCCCCTCAGATTTCAGAATAAGACCATCTATCATCTGGCACTACTGAGTTTACACTTTTTTATTTAGAAATTATTAATCCCCAAAGGGAAAGATATTGAGGCTTCTTCTGGTGTATATAAGTAAATATTGACACCTTCCTCAAATTCTGATATCAAGTGGATAACTTATAGTGTAATTGCCAGTTAACTTTTGGTCACTGTTTTATTATATCTCTTCTAAAAATATCATATTTAGTATTAAAATCTTCCTAAGTAATCAGATGTAATATCTACATTAGGTTGAGATTTTTTTTTAAAATGATAGAGTATTTATACAAATCAATGGTTCTTGGTACCTTTGTTGTTGTCAAACACTGGGAGAAAAGTTGTACTATTTTGATAGTTTATATCAAAACAGATATTCTCTATGTACTCATGAGAGTTCCTAACATGATATTAACTCTGGGCTGTTAGAAGCTAGAGTACTATGCTGAGAAACAGATAACTATGATAACCAATATAACTTAGCAGGAAGTGCTAAAATAGGATTCAATGTCACTTTGTATTTTACCTTAAATATGACATTGAATTGCTTCCTGAACTTAGTGAGCTCTTAGGAACTCTCCCCCTTCAATGCTAAAATACAAGATCTTAATGCTTACTTCTAGAATACACTTTCCAATAGATATTAAACATTGGGTCCAAATGAAATGCCAAAACCCATGTGAATAGCTGTCACAGAGTTTATAACCTCTAGTCACATTTTCCAGTATTTAGCTAGGAAACCCACTATTCTAAGAGACATCACATTGACTCCCCTCCCCCTTTGTTTTAAGGAGAGAAGGGTAATCCAGGATTTCCAGGATCAATTGGACCTCCAGGGAAAACTGGGCCCAAAGGGCCACCAGGTAAATATGACTGCCTTAGTATTGCTCTCCATGAAGAAAAGAGTAGCTCATCAGTAAAGCCATCTTCTTCTTATGTTCGTGTCAATAGGTGTACGTGGAGAACCTGGCACAGTTAAGATCATCTCCCTTCCAGGAAGTCCAGGGCCACCTGGCCGAGCTGGAGAACCAGGGATGCAAGGAGAACCTGGGCCACCAGGGCCACCGGGAGTCCTAGGTGTGGGACGGGAAGCATTGACTTGGATCACTAGGAAGTAGTTGAACTAGCAAATGGTGCTTCACAGAAATGTTACAAATTTTAGCTCATTTTAGTTTTGACTAGCAAATACAAAGACTTTTGAGTCTATTGAAAGCTGTTGTGCATGGTATAAACTTGAGTAAGTACACTCTAGGGCACTTAGGGTTGTTGTATTTTAATTAAGGTAAAAGTATTCTATCTTCACTGACAACTGTTAGTCTTAGAAGTCTATTTCTGATGGCCTGAATAAACCTGACTTCTATGTATTGGTACATTTCTAATACTTTCTACAGCACTTGGAAAAGTAGTAAATGCAAATGTAAGATTCAGCTCCTAAAAGCTTTTCAAAATACTAGTATTAGTGTATGAAAATTGAACTAACCCCTTTATATAGGTTCAGTGTATTGTAATAGTCTTCTGAATGGAATTATGTTCTAAGTTTGCTTGAATCATTTGGGAGATGCCATATTACGTTGATCAATACAAGAGCAAAGTGAATTCTGGAATAGCATAAATCAAAATGGCAGCAGTTTTAAAATGCTGTACTTCATATACTCCTAGTTCATTTCTAAGGGGCTTTTTTCCTGGGAACAAAGGTGTAACAAATTGGATGAGCAACTGTCTCTATTTACACAAGGCTTAGCTTCTGCTCAGTTTGTAACACTTACACTGCTGAAACTGGGGACGTCCCAGGTAAACTGGATCACCCTAACTTTTATCCTATATGAACTATTCAATACAATGTTGGTTTTTCTGTTTTGCTTTGCTGTTGTTGTTGTTTTATGTATAGGACCCTGTGGGCCAAGAGGTAAACCAGGCAAGGATGGAAAACCTGGAACCCCTGGACCACCTGGAGAAAAAGGCAGCAAAGGTTGTAAAGGAGAGCAAGGTAAATGGCTGGTGTATTTCCTTCACAGGAGAGCTGTTTCAATAGACAGAGAAGTCTTACTTGAATATGTGCTACAATAATAATCTAGATTTTTCCATGTGTGCTCTTCAAATTAGACTAAAAACCAGCAGCAAAACACTCATTCTATATAATAAAGAGGTAATAGCAAATTGACCATCACTCCAACACACAAGATGGCTGCCCCCATGTGGACACAAGATGGCCACCACAAGATGGCTGGCAGCGGAGGGCAGTTGTGGGCAATCAGGCCAGCAGGGGAGGGCATTAGGGAGGGACCAGGACTGCAAGATAGAGCAGTTGGGGGTAATCAAGCCTGCAGGGGAGGACAGTTGGTAGGGAAACCACATCTGCAGGGGAGGGCAGTTGGGGGGGACCAGGTCTGCAGGGGAGGGCACTTGGGGGCAACCAGGCATGTAGGAGAGGGCAGTTAGGGGCGACCAGACTGGCAGGGGAGGGCAGTTGGGAGCAACCAGGCCTGTAGGGGAGGGCAGTTGGGGGGACCAGGCCTACAGGGGAGGGAAGTAGGGAGGGACAAGGGAGGGCAATTAGAGGTGACTGGACTGGCAGGGGAGGACAGTTATGGATGATCAGGCTGGCAGGGGAGGACAGTTAGGAGCAATCAGGCCAGCAAGGGAGCAGTTAGGCATCAATCAGGCTGGCAGGGGAGTGATTAGGGGGTGATTAGGCTAGCAGGCAAAAGCAGTTAAGGGCAGTCAGGCAGGCAGGCAGGTAGGTGAGCAGTTGGGAGCCAGCAGTTGTGGATTGTGAGAGAAATGTCCCAGATTGGAGAGGGGGCAGGCTGGGCTGAGGGACACACACACATATACACACATCTTGGGCACAAATTTCATGCACTGGGCCTCTAGTTTGGAAGAAAAAATCAAAAGTTACTGGAATACACCAAGTTTCCTACCTCCTAACTAGACAAATAGACACCAAATTAGTTTGAGGACATTTAGTCCTCATGAATCACTAATTCCATTTTCATAAAGGCCAGTGCTGTTTTTATTTTATAGGAGTACTTAGTTAATAATAGCTACTTATGGGGGAGTTATACAAGTAGAGAAATATTACCTTGATACACATAGAACAGCTCGGTATCCTTACTTAGGAAAGCCATGTGTTAACTATGCCATTCTTGACTACAACCCAATAACTCGGGCGGGGGAGGGGGGGCTCTAAAATATTTTAGTCTGAACATAAGCTATATGTTCTCCTGGGACAAAATCTACCTTCTACAAGTTTCAAAAGCAACTCCTACAAACTACCTAGATGTCCAAATCTTAGGATTGCTGACTTTGTTAAAATAAGAAAAAATACTAAATGTGATTTCCCAATTATATGCCCAGATCTATTATAATAAGGCTATAAAGAGTAGATATTTAAAAATTCAATTGTGCTAACATTAACTACATCAATTGTGCTAATGTTAACTATTAAAATACATCAATTTCACAATAACTCATAATTTAGTATTGTCATGAGTGTACATTAGAGCACTATTTATTTGACTTTCTTTCAAATGTGTTTTTTCAAGTGATAAAACAAAAGTCTTACCAATAATTCTATTGATTTAAAAAAGTTTACTGACCAAGTTAATTCTTTCAGAATAGGACCAAAGATACTAAGTACAGATTGTATTGAGAATGATTAGCAAAAACACTGGTGGTTCCCAATGTGGGGCACACACCCCACAGAAGGGCAATTTTATTTTTAAGGAAGGCAATTTGATTTTTGAGGGAGGTAATTTGAGAATAAGTTACGGTATTAACAATGAGGTCTTTGCATTTCTTATGGTTCTAGGGGCCTTATCTATTTGTACAGTATATAAATATATATTGTAACATACTTATGCATTTCAGTTCTCTATATGTTCTGAAACTTTGCTATTTTTTCATATCACTTCATATTACTATTCTTTTTTTTTAAAAAAACAATTTCTTAGTGATTTCTTCTTCTGTACTTCAACTGTCCTTTCTTTCTTTTTTATCTTTCATGGATGTCATGTTCTTTGGAAGCTTGTTTAGGCCAAGTTGATGGCCTTTTAGGCTTCCTGTACATGAATCATTATTCATTTTTTGAATAATAAGAATTATATGTCACGGGGAGGGGGGTGCTTCAAGATTTTAGAGATGCTTAGGTGGGGCATGGCCCAAAAAAGGTTGGGAACCACTGAAGTACTAGACATAGTTGGTCCTAATGCTATAAAAGACCTCCTAAGAATGAGAAAGGGATCTAAGAGTCAAACAGAGTGAGGAGACTGAAAATTATACATATATTTATATAATATTGGGGCTTTACCAAATCCTTGTGAAAAGTATTGACTTATAATTAGGACTAAACTAGGACACTGCCTGACTCCATGGCCTGATTGTTTATGGGGAACAATACCTCCCTTGACTCACTAGGCCAAAAATCCAAGTGTCTGCTGGCTCTGCATGTCCTTAGAATTCTAAAGAACCATCACCCAGATCAGGTTGGGGTGGAGGGTCAGGGTGGTGGCAGAAGAAATGGATCAGGGGAGATGAGGGTGGCTAGCCTCTGCCAGAATCATAAATAATGGGTATTTGATGAAGAAAAGGAGAACAGGAGAAATGAGAAAAATGGATAGTGACAAAAGTGTATTAACTAGCCTACTCAAATGCAGAGAAAATTTACAAAGTAAAAAAAGTACTTGTTTTAATCCATATAAACTCTAAATCACAGAACAAAAAGTCTGGTTTTTACTTGCTTTACTAATTGATCAAAAACATTCTTAAAGTTTGCACCTTTGAAAGGAACTGTCAATGTTTTCCTTGTTTATTGAATTTATGAAAAACCTATGTAATTTTTTATCTTCTTGAATAGATTTTCAAAGCATAGATATTTGACTTCTTGTTCCCACTGTATGCATTGATATATGCATAAAAGATGTACATAAGACTATCTACAGGAGGCAGGCCACCCCTAGGCACCTCAGGGAAATACAAAGGCCTGATCTCAGAACACTCATAAGATATACACAGGCATTGTATTTGTAATATACAATGTATGTGCATTATGCAGTATCTATATCAGGCATTTTGTGACATTATTCAACATTTAATATTGTTTGACCATTTTATAAGCCACTATTCTGTGACTCTTTTCTATATTTGGGGCTTATCGGATATAAAGTTAGTACTTTGGAACAAGTTTGAGGTTGTTTGTGTTGCAACATGTGTTTCTTCAAGGACCACCTGGATTCGATGGACGGCCAGGTTTGAAGGGGATACCCGGTGACACCGGACCACCTGCAACCAGGACAACGATGAGAGGCTTTCTTTTCACCCGCCATAGTCAGACCACAGCAATTCCTTCCTGTCCAGAAGGAACAGAGCCACTCTATAGTGGGTTCTCTCTTCTTTTCATACAAGGAAATGAACAAGCTTATGGACAAGACCTGGGTAATGTCCCCGTTCCAAGTTCCCACTCACTGTTCCAAATACAGATTATAAAAGTTTGTACCTGTTCACCCCCTTCACCTTTTTGTCCATACCACCACCAAACAAACCTTAGGCAACAATTAGTATTTTTGTACCTCTGAGTTTGTTTTGTTCATTTGTTTAGTTTTGTATATTCCACACATAAAATACTTGTCTTTCTGATTTATTTCACTTATCCATGTTGTCACAAAGGGCAAGATTTCATTCTTTTTAATGGCTAATATTCTGGTGTGTGTGTGTGTGTGTGTGTACATGTATTTCTTCTTTATTCATCTATTGATGAACATCTAGGTTGCTTCCATATCTTGGCTATTGTAAATAATGTTGCAGTGAACATGGGGGAACATATATCCTTTTAAATTAGTGTTTCATTTTCTTCAGATAAGCACCCACAGGGTGTGGCAGGGCAGGAGCCTCTTTGGACGGGTGCTAACTTGGGTGGGTCCTCAGGGAAACGCCAGAGTGGGGTGAATAATGTTCACGAGGTTAATGGAGTGTCAGAAATGACACCTGCCACTGTCAAACCAGCCAGGTTAAAGGAAGGGGAGAGGGGAATGGCATCTGCCAGCACCTCTGACTCAGGAGAAAGTTCCAACAGATCTGTTGCTCCAGCACACACCCTAAACTAGTTCACCTTCACACATGACCTAGGTGCTTTTCATTCTGCTGCCTCTGTGCTAGGACTGAGAAAGAGCACAACCTGGGTTTCCCTTTGGCTCTCTCAGATGTAAACCCTGCTGGTTTTCAAAGCCAGATGTTATAGGGGCTCCTCTTTCTGATTTAGGTCTCCCAGGCTAGGGCATGGACCCCTAGCTCTTTGGGGAAGATCTCTGTGGTTATGATATCACTCTTACTTGTGAGTCACTGCTTGGGGAGTGGAAGATAGGGAAGGTCCTGATTAGACTTAGTCTCTACCCCTCTTAGCCATTTCAATGTGGCTTTTAAAAAAATATCAGTAGTTGTAGAAAATCTGTTCTAGTCCTCAGGTTGTTCTCAGAGATACCTGTTCTACATGTAGTTGTAATTTTGGTGTCGATGAGAGGTGAACTCAGGAATTTCCATCATCTTTTTTTAAAATATATTTTTATTGATTTCAGAGAGGAAAGGAGAGGGAGAGAGAGATAGAAACATCAATGATGTGAGCGAACCATTGATTGGCTGCCTCCTTCATGCCCTACAATGGGGATCAAGCCTGCAACCCAGCCATGTGCCCTGACCAGAAATCGAACCACGACTTCTCCTGGTTCATAGGTTGACGCTCTACCACTGAGCCACACCTGCTGAGTGCTACTCCGTCATCTTGACCTCGAAGCCAGGAGCCTTGCTCTTAAATGCCAATATAGCTTGTCCTATTCAACAAAAACAATTTTCACTTAAATCACTTTTTTAATCTTAAAAGCAATATCTTTTCTAAAGCTTTATCTGGCTATTAGCTATTATATTCATATGGAGTAGAAATACTTTGAAGCAAAAATATTTTTCCAACTAACCTCTACCAGTCCTCGGGAAAGAGCCATGAAAGTATTATGGATAGGAGAAAGAGGAATCTTTAATTTCTATCATTGTTTAAACTTATATAACATATTTTGTCATATAACTCTTCCAAGTTATAATTTTTTTTAAAAAAATTATTGTTTAATGTACTACATACCTGGTAAGTCTTCTTTTTCCCCCATTTACCTCTTCCCAGTCGCTCCCATCCCTCAGCAGTTATAACTCTTTAGTGTTGTTTTTCAGTTTTTGCCATAGATTATGTTTTAATTTGTCTCTATCTAGTAACAATATTCAAAATAGTTTTAATGTTACTGAAAGTGATACCTAGTCTGATGTTTTATTAGGAACTCTTGGAAGCTGCCTACAGCGATTTACCACAATGCCATTCCTATTCTGTAACATCAATGAAGTATGTAATTTCGCATCTCGAAATGATTATTCATACTGGCTGTCAACACCAGCTCCGATGCCAATGGACATGGCTCCAGTTACTGGCAGGGCCCTGCAGCCTTATATTAGCAGGTAAAAATTCAATCCTTTAGTTTTGTGATGAAACCAAGCAAATTACTCAATTTGTAATCACACTGTAAACAGCACATCACAGTGTAAAAAGTGATGCCCCCACATTCTTTGTGTCATGTTACAGATGCACTGTCTGTGAAGGTCCTGCGATTGCCATAGCCATTCACAGCCAAACCACTGACATTCCCGCATGTCCCCATGACTGGATTTCTCTCTGGACAGGATTTTCTTTCATCATGGTAAGGAAAAAGGGACAGCAAATTCATAGTAAAAACTGCCTATAAAATACTAAATGCCCCCAAAATGTGACTGTCATCAACTTATATGTCATGAACATTTGCTTGTAAATCTGAAAATATACTCTCTTTTAAAAAAAACCAGTAAGTTGGGAGGAGGGGTTGGTAAAAAATGGAGCATTTGAAAAAAAATCTCAGGAAATTTCAGATTCTAAATTAGGTATTTAGGTAAACAGTTACTACAGTACTGGTAATAAAATGTCTATTTTTTAAAATGTGGTACATATTTTATATACATACTCTATAATCCTTATGAAAACACTGCAAGATAGTTTGTATCATCTACAGATTTACATTAAAAAAATGAATAATTTCCCCAAGGTCCCACAATAAATAAGTAGTAAAACTAGGATTTGCATCTAAATCTGTCCCAAAATCTTTATGCATTCATATGAAGATGGGAACTGAGAGAAATCACCTTTTAAAGAAAAATTCGCCTGATATAAGTGCTAAATTAAAAAATCTATGAACTGACCATGTAGTTAGTGGTTATTCATATTCTGTAAAGCATCATTTATGAGAGTTAGTCCTCCTTCTTTATTCACAATTGTCCATTGTTTCAAACATCAACACCTACCATATGCATGAATGGTCTAGGTCCTAAAGATACCTGCAATGAACCAAAGTCCCTGCTCTCGTGGAGCTTCTATCCTAGTGGAGAAGGTAGACAATAAACAAGAAGACACAATAACAACAGGAATGAGCACAGACAGTAAATGGTCTACGAAGGACATAAGACAATAGAGAATTCTAGGCAAAAGAAAGTTTTTACTTCCTTTTTGATGACTATAGTTCAACTTGGCAAGTAAATGGAATGCTAGCAAATCTGAGCAAAGAAGTGTTGAAAGACCCCCAGAGGGAGACCCCCACTCTGTCCCACGGATCGAGGGCGACCCCAATCAACCACAGGAGGCGTCACTTGATGCAAACAGCAAGAGGCTTTATTCCAGCACGTTGGGGCTCAACTCATAACTCACGCAGGAGCAGAGGAGTCGAGCCCCGAGCAGAAAGTCTTACAAGTATATATAGGCAAAAACCACACATCGGGAGGGGTTACACACGGGGGGGGGGGGGGGGGGGAGACGAAGGAATTCCTAAGGGGAACTGGGCTTATTAATAACATGTTTTATGACAGGGCTTGTGCTTAGTCAACAGTCCCATCTGGTAATCTCATATCCTGTTTCTCTTAACTGTCAGAGCACTGTTTGCTCCTTTGCTCCTTGCTCGGGGCTGTTTCCTGGGACAGCTTTACAGCTTTAAGGGCTTTGTTCCCATCACTGGGACCTTGGGGAGTTGAGATAAAACAGGCAGCTTTTAAAAATTTTTATTCTTTCAGAGTAAGAAGCTAAAATATTGTTTTTTTTTCCTTGTCTTCTACTACTATATATATAGTACTAAAAATTTCAACACCATGCACAGAATTCTTAATTCTGATACTTCCATTGTGACAGTTCACAAGTGCAGGTGCTGAGGGCTCTGGGCAAGCACTGGCATCCCCGGGGTCCTGCCTAGAGGAATTCCGAGCCAGCCCCTTCATAGAATGTCACGGAAGAGGGACATGCAACTACTACTCAAATTCCTACAGTTTCTGGTTGGCTTCACTGAACCCAAAAAGAATGTTCAGGTAATTATTCAAAATAAAATCTAATCTAATGACTTAATTGCAGAACTATTAAAAGGTTGCCTATGTTAGATTTTGATTACCTGTTGTTGATGTACTCATACTCATATTTTTAAAAGCTCCCATATCAATAATATCCTGTTTAGCTTGGCATTTCTAGTTTGTAAGAATCAACAGGTAGCCATGGTTTTGTACTACTGTACCAACAAAGGCATCACTAGATGTATTTAACCTTTGTACGCCATAAGCAGCTATAGCATAAAAACAAGATGTGGAGATGGTTTCTCTTTTGGATGTGTGGCCATTAATTGGTTAATATTTAGATATAGATTGATAATAAATTACTGAATAAAACCATTAAATGATCTGCTAATTTTAATTTATTGTATTGGACAAATTTTAAGGCAGGCTCCTTAAAAAGCAGGTGTAGTTTTCATTACAAAAAGATGATCTGTATGTTTCCTCTGTGCTACGGGAGTACAACTAAAATCATAACATGTTTACATATATACCTTTTCAGAAATATACCTTCTATAATAAAGTTTAGATGAGCTATAATATGCATTAAGAAAACTCTAACCCAACAAGCATTTCCTTTTTAACTACAAATTGATGATATTTGTCTTTTTCTTTCTTATTTATTTATTTTCAGAAAACCTATTCCATCAACTGTGAAAGCTGGGGAGTTAGAAAAGATCATAAGTCGCTGTCGGGTGTGCATGAAGAGAAGACAATGAAGAAATAAATGAATATAGAACTGTTATTTTTCATCTTAAGTAATCAAGTAATGATGCATTTATAGGTTAAGTATTTAAATGCATTTATTTAAGTTTTTTTCTCTAACCACGCTCTATGATGGCTTGGTACAAAGTTTATATTCATGTACCTCACACAAAAAAGCACTTATTTAAGTTAGCTCTGTGATCCTGATCTCTAAATCTGTGTTTCAAAGTCCCCTCTGGTAAGGCAGCAGAGTTTTCAGAAAATATCACTGAAATTGTATTCCATCTGGATCTAAGGCTCTATTGAAATGGTGATTGTATAAAGTTTGATGTGACAAGTGAAGACCTATTTGGTCCACTAAATTCCCAAGATTTGCCCCCTTCTATTCCAGTCTTTGAGACTCAGAGAGGCTCTATCAGTTTTAGATTGCCCCACCTACTTCCCAAGACTTTAGATTAGGGGTGTCGAACTCAATCAGAGAAGGGGCCAAAATCTAAAATCCAGCCTAAATCGCGGGCCGAGTGGTTTACTGAACAGTCATAAACTGTCATTGTGATGGAAACGCAGCGGAGTGCAGTGATGACAGCGCGGTGCGGGCCACATTGCAAGGCCTGGCGGGACGGATTTGGCCCGCGGGCCTTGTGTTTGACACATGTGCTTTAGATGCTAAGTAGAGGAGACAGGGTGAGTGGATTATGAGCCTTCATTGATGGAACTGGACTTTCAGATCTGTTAATTAGCCTAAGGCTGGAGGGAACCAGAATTACTGAGGTGCACAGACTTCCTAGAGCTCTTTTAAACATCCCCAACACTAAGGCCAAAAGGGGGGGTTCCCTGAATGGAATCACAATAGCTGTGGAAACACTGTATGGCTCTGTTTTGTATTTTTAAAGTCTGTTTGTTTGTCCATTGAATTTTGTTTGCTCATTATAGCAATATAGCCTACTTGTGTTCCAAGTAGGAACAATTTTTAACTTTAGTAACTTAATTTTGATAGAATATTTTTATACACATACTCTAAAATGTGTCTAAATTTTGACTTTTCTTTTACCAGCACAACCAAAAATAATAAAAAGAAAACTGCCAAAACCGGTTTGGCTCAGTGGATAGAGCGTCAGCCTGCGGACTGAAAGGTCCCAGGTTCGATTCCGGTCAAGGGCATGTACATTAGTTGCGGGCACATCCCAGTAGAGGGTATGCAGGAGGCAGTTGGTCGATGATTCTCTCTCATCGATGTTTCTAACTATCCCTCTCCCTTCCTCTCTGTGAAAAATAAATAAAATATATTTTAAAAAAAGAAAAAAAAGAAAACTACTTAGATATGTACTTTATCCCTGCTGCTATAAATGTTAGTACATATAATTGAGTAGTTCAATAATCCATGAAAGAACTTAAGGCATTAGTAGGATTATCAAGCTCAGAATATTTTTCCTTTGCTCTAAATATTCCATTTAATTTGGATATTTTGATATCCCTTTGTTACTTCTCTAATTCTTCCTTGGTAAAAACATGTTTTTTATATTACATATCCTTTCAAACTATATTGAGAGAGTCCACTATATAAAATATTAATGTACAAATTGTATAGCTTGGCAGTGTTATAAAACTTACTTTTCAGTGTGTTGATGCATTCCCAGAATTACTTAATTCAACTTAGCAAGCATTTTATTCAGCGCCAAGCGATATTCAGGCACTGTACTAAATTATAGAAACACTAAGAGGAGAAAGTTAATATATATATATTTATATATTTATATATATTTATATTTATATATATATATATATATATATAGATAGAGAGAGAGAGAGAGAGAGAGAGAGAGAGAGAGAGAGAGGAGAAAATTTTATATATATATATATACATATATATATATATATATATGATCTGCAAAACATAAAAAAACATTTATACTTGATGGTAGCACTATTTGATGAGTCTCAGAAGTCAGGCAACCTAAGAAAAAGCTCTAAATATGTTTCTTGACCCACCTAGGTGGAGTTGGTGGTGCTGATATTTAAATTCTGGTTTTGTTGCTTCAATCTCAGTTGCTCTGGAAGTGAAGATGTGGCCCCAAAAGACAGCACAGACTGTGACCATGGTCCGCATCCTCCACTGCTCAAATGACTGCTGTCAAGCCATTTTTACGTTTAAATGAAGAAGCACTTTTTATACTCAGATTACTTGTTTAGACTCACCTAATATTAAAACGTTTTCCTCTAAAAATGTCTTACTGTCCAAATTGCACTATCCTGGCATGGAGGGCTAATGGGTCTCCACAAACCCTCCACAGACCAGGAGTTCTTGAAGTGTGGTCCCTGGACCAGAAGCATGTGGAAACTTGTCATAAATGCAAATTCTAGGCCAACTCAGACCTACAGAATTAGAAACTCAGGGTAAGTCCCAGAAATCTGTTTTAACGAGTCCTCCCGGTGATTTCCAATGCACCCTAAAGATTGAAAAAAAAAACTGCTCTGGGCAAACACCCCCAAAAACAACAAGTGTACAGGCAGTTACCAAGTAGAGCTGGCTACAAGTGTTCTACCTGTCTCTCTCTTGCAAGTTCAAACTCACAAATGAACTTAAGGTTATCTAATGTTACTAATAAGAAAAAGCCCTAGATTGGTGCTAATGCCAAATAACTGGCTGCCGCTTATCCCCCAATCTCCATCTTTCTTGCCGTCTCATCAGTGTTTAACTTCTGAGGAAGACAAGTAATGCTAAATTCCAATGAAGCCATACTAAGCTGCTCAAACATACTTCTAAAACATAATGCTCAGTGCATTACTTTCTATAGTAGTAGCTTTATAATGTGAGTTTATAAAGTTATGAAGATTTAACTTTGCAGATAAAATGTAAAATAACTTGTTTCTTTTATATTTGGGGCTTCACCTTTGGAATTTCACAGCTTGCTCAGAGATCTCTCGTTTTGCAAGATAAATATTATTAAGTAACTTATTTATAAAAAGAATTGCAATAATACAATATGTGAGTTTTATTGCTAATTTAACTTACAAAGATTTTTCTATGCATCAAATGTAACTTACTGCTTCAAAACAATTTAATATTCACTCTGTATCCAAATGAAATATATTTAAAATATATTGAATATTTTATATTATATCTTGACAATATTACAATATTGTGATGTACTAATATTTCTGTAATTATAGTGAAAATATAATTTTATTGTATTGTATAATAATAAAATTTTAAAAATTATATCTGGTCTTATTTTTTCCAAGTGAAAATACATTTTTTTAAATTTTAAAAATTTTAAATTTTAAAATATGTTCACTGTAAAAACAATAGACAATACAGAAGTTAACAGATTGTGGATACATTCTCATATCCATAAATAAGAACTAATCATTATTTTCATGGATTTACTATATGTCAATGAATCCCCAATTAATGGACACTTCATTTAGCTTTATTATGGACATGTTGTGCATATTTCTTATCACAGTTTGTAAAAATAGGTTCTTTATGGTTCCAAGGTTTAAGACAAATTAGAGAAAGAAAAAGATTGAAGAAAGGGAGTCCAGTTAAAAGGGTAATATACAGGAAGTCTAGCAATGGGAACAGAAAGTACACGGAAAGTGGACAGTTGACATTGAGGTGAGAGACTGTAAAGATGGGGGACTTGGGAGACAGTGAAAGGCGACTTTGGAATTTTGAACCTTGGTGAATGAAATTAACTGAAAAAGGAAATTCAGGAGAAAGTATCTGGATTGAGATGAGGAAGAAATTTGAGTTTGAAACAGTTTTGGGACCAAAGCTCCAACGGGACACTTGGGCTAAAACTATGCAATAAGATGAGACTAAATGGATGTAACCTATTCAGATTTTTATGCCACCTTTTCCCACAAAAGATTTGAGGCAATGTGGTGAAAGTTAATGATAAATAGGAATGGACAGACACATGAATGAAGTCCCAGAATGAAACTCTTGTCACAAGACACAAGGCAGTAGAATTTCCAGGTAAAAGAGAGAAATATGCCTTTTTTCGGGTGTTGTGTTTTTTTTGTTTTTTGAGATACTACCAACAGTGTTAGATGCTTTCACACATCATTCTCAAGTCTCATTAACAGAATCAAATGATTCAGGAAGATTAAGGGTGATCAGGAGTAAAGGAGAAGACTTTGGATTGGTAATGTCCTAAGAAATGTCCTGAGTTTATTTGAGCCAAACATGTCGGGGCAGCAAGATCTCAAATGCTCTGGAAAATAACAGTTTGCAGCTTCTTTTATGCATTTGAAATTAAGGAGGGAGCTAAGGAAAATGATATGGATGTGGGATTGGACTACAGGATAGTTAAAAGATCACCTGCTTTCTTGAAGGTGGTTACTCTAATTTCAAAGGTGTGTTAACCTATCGGGTCTAGTAATAATTAATGTCGTTTTTAAACATTCGTTTAAAATCTTGCTTGGCGTTGACTTGTATTGACATAACCTTCAAACACGTGGTATCTACAGAACGTGTGAAGTGCAATTAACAAGTTTTGCTTGAAAAAATTTGTGTTTGGTTTGGTTTTTGTTGCAAAACTAGGGCTAAGAAGATGGCGGATGAAGAGCATATTCGGCACTGCATGCTTTACGAGTTCCAATTAGGAAGAAAAGCAAGTGAGGCTGCAAAAAACATTTGTAGTGCTCTTGGTCAAGATGCAGTTAGCGCCAGAAAATGCCAGCGTTGGTTTGAGAAATTTCGCGAGGGAAATTTTTCATTAGATGACAAGAGTGGTCGAGGCCGTGTGTCCAATTTTGATCAAGAAGCTCTTCAAGCTCTTTTGGTGCAAAATCCTCAAATTACCCTACAAGAGCTTGTGACAACTTTAAATTGTTCACAAAAAACAATTTCCAATCAATTGCGTGCACTTGGCAAAGTCCAAAAGTTTGGAAAATGGGTTCCTCATGAGTTGACAGACAACAACCGTAATCAAAGCGTCACAATTTGCAGTTCGCTCCTCTCTCGTCAAAATCGTTTGCCGTTTTTAGAGCAAATTGTTACCGGAGATGAAAAATGGGTGCTGTATGTTAATTTGAAAAGGCGGCCTCAATGGTTGGACAAAAATGAGGCTCCGCAGCCCACGCCAAAACCTGACTTGCATGCGAAAAAGTGATGTTGTGTGTTTGGTGGAATTTTAAAGGAATTCTTCATTATGAACTTTTACCATCTAACCAAACCATTACAAGTGCAGTGTATAGTGCCCAATTGGAAAGGTTAGCCCAAGCTTTAAGAGAAAAAGAACCCGCGCTGATTAATCGGAAGGGTGTAATTCTTCACCACGATAACACACGACTGCATACTGCAAGAATCACTGCTGAAAAACTGCACCAGTTGGAATGGGAAGTTCTCCCTCAACCTGCATATTCTCCTGATATTGCCCCTTCCGATTACCATTTGTTTCGTTCTTTGCAAAACTTTCTTCTTGGAAAAAAATTTAATAATGAAGAATGCCTCAAAAATGCATTGACCAAATTTTTTGCATCAAAATCACAAGAATTTTACAACAGAGGGATTAAAATGCTTCCTGAGCGTTGGGCAAAGTAGTAGAAAACAACGGCAACTATATTGTTGATTAAATTTTGTTGTATTGTTTAAATAAATTCGATTTAAAAAAGTATTAGAAAACGACATTAATTATTACTAGATCTAATACATGTACAGGGCTTGCTTAAGACAAAGACAAACCTCTCACTAAAAGTTATGTGCCTGGGACATCAATACTCACCAAGACCTGCCCAGTTAGTTACTTATGATCAGATAACCCTGTGAGGTTACTTCCCTTTTTTGTTTTCAGCCACACAATCTTAAAAGTTCGTTTTTTCTTGGGGGGAAGGGGACAAGAGTAAAAAAAGATAAATTGCAATTAATTAAAAGGTCAAAGGGTAGTGGTGGAAGCAGGAGGGCCCTCCTTCCTAAAGGTTGTGGTCATAGATAGCTTATCCACCTCGGTCTCTTTCTGCCTCCAAAAAACGTTGGTTTGGAAAGTCCAATGAGTCCTAAAATAAATCTTTTAAGGAGGAATGACTTGCCATTGCTATGAAGAGTCCCAAGAATGCCATTCTCACAGGGCCTCCCAAATTATCTTGAACAATGGCAACATCTCTGGAATATCTTAATTCTAGGGAAATTGTTCGGCTCAAGACCAGTCATACAGAGTATTCCGCGATTCGGCGCCAGTCCGCTCCAGGGTTGGTGGACACGGACCTGGTTTTTCCCGCGGAAGGAAAGATGGCTAGATCCAGAGAGAGGTCTCCGAAAGCTTGAAAACAAAACGAGACTGACTACAGTGAAACCCGAGTCCTCCGGGATCCTCCTCTAGAAAGATCAGGGGAGCCCGTCAAACCAGGGTCACTGTCAAGGGAGGCGCCTGAGAGTTAAGGAACCTAAACAGCCACCAGCATTAAAGCGTTTAAGATTAATCACGTGCAGGATGGTGACTAACAGGAGAAAGGGGGTGGAGGTAGTGAAGAGGGGTGTGTGCAAGAGGCAGCTGACCCATGATCCTCTCTCACCGATGTTTCTAACTCTCTATCCCTCTCTCTTCCTCTCTGCAAAAAAAATAAATAAATAAATAATAAAATAAAATAAAAAAATAAAAATAAGCCGAAACCGGTTTGGCTCAGTGGTAGAGCGTCGGTCTGCGGACTGAAAGGTCCCGGGTTCGATTCCGGTCAAGGGCATATATTATACCTTGGTTGCGGGCACATCCCCACTAGGGGTGTGCAAGAGGCAGCTGGTCGATGTTTCTCTCTCATCGACGTTTCTAGCTCTCTATCTCTCTTCCTTCACCTCTGTAAAATATCAATAAAATATATTTTTTAAATGAATAATATATATATATATATATTTTTAAAAACCTATAAAATGTTATTCACCAAGGTCACCCCACTAAATTACATTTTTAACTACAAGTCACTTGCAGAGCTAGCGACAAGGGCAGAGTCCCAGACCTCACGCCAGAGGTCCTGATGGCGGCGGCCCTGAGCATGGCTATTTAACTGGCTGCCGCAAGTTTCCTTGCGGACATGAGGGTCTCAGAGACCACGAACGCTACCTGTACGCGAACCAAACACCTACCGTGAGGAGTCGTCCCCTGCGGTTGGTACGCGGCCCAGGCCAGAGATGCACCAACGGCCAGCATCCCGGAGGCAAGGCCCCGCCCACGGCGCCGTGGCGTCACGTGACCGCGGCGCGGCCTGCGCTACGGGTCCCGGGAAGGGCCAGCCCCGGCCGTTCTCGCGTCTCTGTCGGCCCGCTGCGGGCCGCTCTGGCCGGTGTTTCGCCCGGGCGCCTCCGTGCGCTCGGCCAACGGCCTCCGAGAGCGCCCACCTGAGCCGCCAGGAGCCGGCGGGCGACGGCCCTCGCCGGGGCCTCTCCAGCGGGCCCAGGGGTGAGTACTGACGTCTTCCCGACCCGCGACCTGCAGCCCGGCGCCGAGGCCGGGATCCTCCGGCCGCCGGAGGGACCCGCGTCAGCCCCGGTGCGTCCCTGGTGTCTTCCCGGCCCGAGTCCCGACCCCCGACCCCCGACCCCCGACCCCTGGGGCTTTTCGCCTTCACCCCAGGCCTTCCGCCTTCTCAGGCCTGGCTTCCCCATCTGGCCCTGTGGGGAAACTGCCCTGCAAACGTTTGGAGCAACCTCTTCACCCTCTCTAGGTCGCTGCCTCATTGTCGAAACATTTGGATTGTTTTGTGTGTGTTTTTTCCATCTAAAATAGCTCGGGGGAGGAGGGGAACAACTAGAGAGGGCCTGAGCTTGAACCAGGCGCTTTTTTGGTCGTCTTCCCTCCCTCCGGGTCAAGGTCTTTGCATCTTTAAGTGTGTGACCTTGAGCTAGGCACCTGCGGTCTCGAAAAGTAGTTTGTGCCGTTGTTTTGTTTTTCTTTTGACTTCGTGAAAAGTACGTGTTGGAAAAGAAAGGCCTTGTGGAAAGCCGGGTCAGACGCAGCGAGAGGCCCAGGCGGGCCCTGCCTGTGAGCATCCTTGTTCGCAGGTGCACCTGCTTGAGCGGCCCCGGGATTGAATTCCTCCCGGGAGCGGGGAGCGGGGAGCTGAGCTCCCTTCCCGCCGAGCCCGGCCCCTGCCCTGGGTGTGCGGGACGAGTCATGACCCGCAGCCGTGGAGCAAGGCACTCAGGGGTGGAGGTGTCTCTTAATTGCAGAAGATGAGAAAAGCCTGGGGCCCTTGTTCTTTGTTCCCAAATATAGAACCAGTTGTTTCCAGGCCTCTCTTGCAAGGAGGAATTTTAGCTGCCGTGCAAATTTTAACTTGTGTGTTTTCTCTCCCTAGATGAAAAGCATTGGCTTCTGTGTCAATGTCCTTAACTAATGAGATCCCAGAGAAAAATCCCTTAGGAAAATGGATTTGGAAAGAATTAGAACCACATAGTTGTACTTAGCAGTTTTTCCCCTTGTGATTACATTGGGGGAGGCGGGGGGGGGGGGGGGGGGGGGCTTGTTACGCTTTGATTGGGGGCGGGGAGCTTCTGTCTTTTTTGTTTCAAACGCTTGTGAATTGGCTTTGCTATTCTTTCCAAAAGGAAATTGTGGTGTTCTGTTCCTTCCTGTCCAATAGGGCTGCCTCATTTTAGGATTACGAAGTTTGGTTGGACTCTCCTACTTTCTGGTTTCAAAGTTGTTTTTCTGTGGATTCAAAAGCATATTTTAAAACTTGATCGTTTATATTTTTCAAGTTTTCAGTGATTTTTATTAAGCTAAAGTTAATTTTGGATTGCTACACCCTGACTTTCTAATAAACACATTCTTTTAAGGATAGTTGCTTGGAAAGAGTACTGAAGCAGGTGACCTAGATTAAAACCTTGAACTAGGTCCACACAATGAGTGATCAAGAATTGGCCTTTTTTTCTTTTCTTTTCTTTTCTTTTTTTTTTTTTTTTGTAATTAGGCAATTATATAAATTTGTGCAACCATGATCAGTTTGACCCAATTTGTTTCTGTCACTCCCTATGCTTTTTCTCTGGGTCCCAGTGTTTCGACATAGAAAATAAGAAAGTAAAGCATGAACCATTGTGTGCCAAAATTGGGATACTTTTCATGAGTGGGATGTGACTGACTTGATTCTAGGTGGTGTATGATTGAGGGTTTTCGTAATAGTTTCTGTGATGTGTATTTAAACTGTGGTTTAAGGTAATGATGTAAAATTTCCTTTTAAACAGTTGGGTTAAAGTAAAGATTAGTGTAACAGCGTAAATGTGCTGTGTGAATATGAGTAAAACCATGAAGTTGGTAAATTATTGATGTTTGGGAACCACTGGGCTTAGAAAGTAGAGATCTAAGATCATCCATGATTTTGAGAGAAATTTTGTGTCCTTAATTTTATAACAGAATTAGAGGCCTGGTGCATGAAATCTGTGCACTCATGAGGGGTGGTGGCAGTCCCTCAGCCTGGCCTGCGCCCTCTTGCAGTCTGGGAGTCCTCAGGGGATGTCTGACTGAAGGCCCAGGCCCGCTCTCTGGGACATCCTTATCGCTCCTTCAGAGGTGGGAAAGGCTCCCGCTACCGCTGCTGCACTCACCAGCTGTGAGCCTGGTCTCTGGTGCACTGACCATCGGGGGCAGCTCCTGTGTTGGGCATCTGCCCCCTGGTAGTCAGTGTGCATCATAGCAACCGGCTGTTCCTCCGTTTGGTCAATTTGCATATTAGGGTTTTATTATATAGGGTAGGGGTGTCGAACTCAATCAGAGAAGGGGCCAAAATCTAAAATCCAGCCTAAATCGTGGGCCGAATGGTTTACTGAACAGTCATAAACTGTCATTGTGATGGAAACGCAGCAGAGTGCAGTGATGACAGCGCGGTGCGGGCCACATTGCAAGGCCTGGCGGGACGGATTTGGCCCGCGGGCCTTGTGTTTGACACATGTGATATAGGGTATTAGTTCTGGTTACCTAGTAGATTCTAAGGGAGAAAACTTCGGGAATTAATATCTTAACTCCAAATGAGAAGTTTATTTATTGTCAAAATCTATTACCAAAAATGTCATAGTCTAATAAGGGAAAGTAAAAAAATAGATTTTGATTTATTTTACATAAGCAGAATACTAGTAATTGGGATAGTTCGGCATTAAATCTTTGTAGAAAAGTTGGATTTACTCTTAATTTAAGTAACTCTGAGTGGCTACAGGAGTAATTTGGCTTTTTCCAGTAGCTGTCTTTTTCATGTCCACCTTTATGATCTAAGTCTGTAATACTCGACCAACTCAAGATTCTCCTAAGATAAGCTGTTGCTATATAATAGAATGTCCCAGTGGAAAGTTAATTAGACTGAAATTCAGTAAATGGCATATAGAGAATGCCACATTTCTGGGAGATAATGTTCTACAATTTGTGAGCTTTGTTTATTATTGTAAAACTTCAATTTTTAATGTCCCAAGACTATAATCCTTCAGACACATCTTTTTAGTGTTATTTCTAAATATAAGCATTTACTATGCTTCTGATTCATACAAGTATAGGATGAGTATCTCATCTAGAATGATGCACAAAAATTGATTATAGAGATTGTGGGGACCTGAGTGGTGATAGGACAGGATCTGTGGACACTTTGTTTTCTTTGTATGTTTTTATATGCTTTGTACTGCATGCACATATTATTGGTTTAAATTAAATACTGAATAATTTTTATATATGGAATTAAGTTCTAAGTAAAATTTAGCCAATACATTTGTTACTTCCTAATATATATGTGTATGTATGTATATATACACTTATATGTGTGTATGTATATATATGTACAAGCATTAAGATTCTTTAAAATTTATATATATTTTTCATCTGCTACATTTTTCTAAATTCAAATCAGAAATAACTAGTCTATTATTTTATCTTGCTTAACTAATGAATGGTTGTAGGACACTATCTGATGGCCCAGTTGGCCAGAGCATCATCCTGTTTACCAAAAGGAGGCGGATTGCATTCCTGGTCAGCGCATGTTCAGGAGGCTGTGAATCAATGTCTGTCTGTCTCCCTCCTTCCCACCTTCCCTACCTACCTCCATCTAACTCCCTCCCCTTCTTTTCCTCGTCTCTCTCTCCCTCTCTTCAACTCTCTAAAAACCAATACTTTTTTTAAAAAAATTATAAAATTGGTTGTAAGTTTTTTAAGTGTTTCTTTATTTTATGGGGTTTTTTTAAATATAAGGTGGTGCATCTTTGATGACTTTTATCATTTGGAGGTTTTCCAAAAATGAATTCCTAATGTGGTATCACCTAGTTTCTCGCTGAGCTCCTGTTTTTCTCCCCCAGGGACAAAAGGGGCTCTGTCTCCAGCACGTGCACTCTGAAGCAAGTTAAAGGATTTACTATGAAGCACAGAAGCAGATAGTGCCACGTAGCAAGTTGTAGTTGGTACACATTTGTGAGTAAAGATGTTCTCTTTTAGCTCTCTTTTCTTAGCCTTTAAAACATCTGCATGCCAGATCCTTCAAATTCATACATTTGAGTAAAGAATAAAAAAGCAAGTTCACAGTCTTCATTAACCAGTTGAGCAATCTCTAAGAACTCTCCTAAACTTCTCAGAGAAGTGGTGCTTCAAGTGTGTAATTATATCTCTGACATGGAGCTTAAGAAATATCCCAGCTATGACTTAAAGTTATACTGCCATACTTATACTTAAAAGTTATATCTTATTGCCCTTGATTTGGGGAAAATGTTTTTGCTGAAAATGTAGTATGGCTTCATTTTCAAAGTTAATTTTTTTTTTTAAAGAAAACACAGCTTATACATCAAATATTAAAGCTTCTTGAAATACATTTACTTCTGCCTTTTACATTCTCTTTGTGGTTTCTTTTTTAGTCAATAAAATGAAGAGGATTTTTTCCCTTAAAATGTAATGATTAGAGTTGTACAGCAAAGTGTTTTGTTTTGTTTTTCTAATCTGACTTCTCATTTGTATATACATTGGATTAGCTTTTCTTTATGCTGTTGGCAAAATCATAAAATAACTGTATTTAATACCATATAGAATAACTTTATTTAGGAGGGATTTGAACATTTGTTTCTCAGATCAAGCCCCAAAACTCTTAAAATCCAAAAATTATTTTAAGTAGATATTTCTTTTATTCATAGGTTTCTTAAGAAATTAATTATTGAAATACTGATTTTTATTCTTTCTTTTTTACAGCTGGAAAAGCAGTGTCCGTGTTGTTATGTACACCTCCAAAAAAATTCAGATCTGTAGGGGAATTGTTGTGTAAAGTAAACTGAACTACAGGGTAGCAGTATTTTAATAGCTATTATAGACGTGTTTTAACTATATTAAAAATGAGTAAAAGAAAAACCTGTGACCCACCAATAGGAAGGTCAGTGACATTTTATTCAGTTGAGCTGGTATTAATAGGCTTGAGCAGCAGTGGCCTTAAAGCTAATTGCCATGGGCTAACCATGCTCTTTTACATTTTTATCAGCATTTTGTGTTTTGGGGCAACTTTCTTTCTACTGCATTTCCCTGCAGCATGGATCCTTCTTTAATTCAGGTTACTCAATGCATCTGTACCATCTTTCCCTTTAAAGGCATGTCATGCTTTAAAATAATATACATGTAAATGTGATATTAAATACAAATTAATAATATGAAACTTTCAATCCCTCAAAATGAATGTATACATTAAGGATTTATTAATGCATATGCTATATTGGATTTCATTGCATCTCAGTCATCAGATATACATTCAGCAAGAGATGTTTTAATTTGTATTTTGTGATTTTTCAAGGGATTGCATCTTTTTAGTACATTTGCCTTATAAATCTGATTTTTGTCTCTTTTTTTTTTTCCATGCATGACAGCAATTTCAATTTTTCCTTTTTGTAAAGTCTCAGCAGCTATTCTTCTAATAATTGATTATGAATTTTTAATTTTAAGTTTTCTTTCAGGCATTTTTGAGCTACAAGTAGCATGCATATCTATACTGTGTGTGTGTGTGTGTGTGTGTGTGTGTGTACGTGTACATGTACATGTACATGTGCACACGCACAAATTTGTGTTGTGGTTATACAATAATTTTTTAAATTTGCTCCCAAACAGTAGTTTCAAGATGCAGTTTCAACTGATAAGGGAGAGAAGGCATTAAATTAAAGAAAACATTTTCTTCACCTTTTATTTTTCTTTTGTATCTATTTAGTACTCAGAAATGAGAAGTCTCTTTTGCTCTTTCAGTAAGGTATTGTCATCTAACTTCAATGCAGAGAAGACTAACGTTTTCATACTCAGTCACACTGTCTTTATTTATTTATTTATTTATTTATTTATTTATTTATTTATTTATTTTTGCCCACAGAGTGAGTGGGGCAGCATTTCCTTCTCCCACTCCTGCCGAGATGGCGGAAATTAGTCGAATTCAATATGAAATGGAATACACCGAAGGTATTAGTCAGCGAATGAGGGTCCCAGAAAAATTAAAGGTAGCACCACCAAATGCTGACCTGGAACAAGAATTCCAAGAAGGAGTTCCAAATGCCAGTGTGATTATGCAAGTTCCAGAGAGGATTGTCGTAGCAGGTATTTTACATTTGGGTATTAGTGCCTGGCTTATTTTTGTTTTACATATTTTTAGGAAAACTTTATAGTTTTTCAAAACATTGGGGTTAGAAAATGCAACTTACAGTTTTTTCAAAAATGTTATTTATTACAATGTGAAATTTCAAACAATGTTTTAATCAACTAATTATTGAGGTGTAATACATTATATACATATAATATGTATAATTTTTAAGTGTATAGCTTGTTGAGTTGTTTTTTTTAAAATATATTTTTATTGATTTCAGAGGGAAAAGGGGAGGGAGGGAGAGATAGAAACCTCAATGATGAGAGAATCATTGATCAGCTTCCTCCTGCATGCACCCCACTGGGGTTCAAGCCCACAACCTGGACATGTGCCCTTGATCAGAATTGAACCCAGGACCCTTCAGTCCATAGGCTGACACTCTATCCACTGAGCCAAACGAGCTAGGGCATAGCTTGATGAATTTTAACAAATGTATACACCCATGTAACTTCTACCAGTTATAGAACACTGTCCAGTTATAGAACATTTTCATTACCCCAACAGGCCCATCTCATTTAATTTTTATCCTTCAATTTCAGGCAACCGTAATCTATAATCAGAGAGTAGATTTATTTGTCTTTCCTAGAGTTTCATATAAATGGAATTATACACTGTATCCTCTAGGTTTTGGCTTCTTTTGCTGTGTGTTATTGTTTTTGAGTTTCTTTCCTGATGTTGCTTATATCTTGTTCATTCCATTTTATTACTGAGTAATAGTTCTATTGTGTAGATATACCATGATTTGTTTATCCATTCACCTGTTGAGGGGCATTGAGTTGTTTTTTTGTGGGTTTGTTGTTGTTTTTTCCTGTTTTTTTTTTCCTTTTTTGCTCTTGGGGCTATTAGGAATAAAGCTGCTATGAATATTCATATACAAATCTGTGTTAGGACATGTGTTTTACATCTGTAGGAGTGGAATTGCTAGATCATATTATAAGTTATGTTTAACTTTATAAAAAGCTGTCAAGCTGTTTTTTAAATTGGTTGTGATCTATTATATTCCCATCCGTGATGTATGAGAGTTTCAGTTGCTCCATATCCTTATCAGCATATTGTATTGTCAGTCTTTAATTTTGGCCATTCTAGGGTATGTAGTAGCAAATACAGTTTAATAAAAGTACTAGCTTTTTAAAACCTCCCTTCTTGCCTTTTTATATTTTTACTCCCAGGAAACAATGAAGACATTCCATTTTCAAGGCCAGGAGATCTGGACCTCATTCAGTCAACTTCTTTAAAACCTCTGGCACTAAAAACACCACCTCGTGTACTTACACTAAGTGAAAGACCACTAGATTTTCTGGATTTAGAAAGACCTCCTTCAACCCCCCAAAATGAAGAAGTAAGTAGAGTTTTAACATCAACTGAATTTGAAATAATAGAAGAAAAAGCAAAAGCTAAAGAGGAGTTAAGAGGCTATATATCCTATCATTAGCAACATGTAATGAAAGCCTTCTGCATGGACCATTAATTACTATAAATTCTGGTTTATAGATATCCCAAATAAGATATTCTGCTAGTGTGTTATTTTTAATTTAAATCATGTCTCAGGAAAAAGCAGATTTGAGGGAAATCATGAACCTAGGCACAACACCTTCAATGATACAGAAAAAGTTGGGAAGTTGAGCATAGGAATAGACTCACTTTGTTACAAAAGCAATCTGGCATACAGAGCAAAGGAAGGCTCCTTTTACGTTGATACTACCTATTCTCCCTGCTTGCTGAAAGTTTCTACTGAGTTAATTACCGTTATGTTAATTAATATAACATTAATAGCCATGTTGACCTAAATATGGCAATATGGATTCATAAGGTGTTAGTAGCCATGTTCAGATCTTGACTCTGCCATTGATTCAGGGCCAATTTGTAAAACTTATTTTCTGTGATGGTTTCTGTAGTTGCAACTTTTTCTTTATAGCTTCTAAAATTGTACTATGAGATAATGTGAAACATCTTTTTCTTGATAATGGAACTACCTGTCTTTCATCTTTCATATAGTCCTTTCCAAGGAGGATAAAGGACCTATATTACATAGGGAAGTGGCATTTCCTAGTACTAGTTATGGACTTTTCTTAAGTTGGAAGTTTCTGCTGAGGTAAGAGAGAAAATATACTTGTAGGTGCTAGTGTTCACATTAAGTATTTGCTTGGTGAAAGACACTAAATTTGAGTGTTCACATGATGGAAAAGGCACTAAGGTATTTGCAGAATTGTGTTTGTTTAAGAAATATTTCTTTGAATTTTATTGTAAGACACTAGATTGTGAGACATAGTTCCTGCATAGTGGTATGAGTGAGGGAAAGATACACACACAAAGATTTTTTTAATAGCAAGGAAAAATGAAAATTATGAAGATCGTTACACAAGACAAAAGATAACCACAGCATGCTCCTAGTTGGAGGCCCAGTTTTTGGCTCCCCAAAGTTCCCACCAGAAATTACAGCTGTGAATAGTATTATCTTGGAGTAAGGATTCTGCCAGGAGAGAAACCCTCCCTTTAATATTCTTCTAGTTTTGTTTTTCTTTTGATCTTCCTTCTTCCACTATTTTAGACACATGCCTACTTGGTATAAAGAACTGACTGGAACAAGCCACCCACTCTTCTGACTAATTACTTTACACCTGAGTGAGGAAAAATTGCTCTTAGTAGATCTAGATTTTAAGTCTATATGGGTTTGCTTTTGTAGTAATTTTGATATCTAGTCAAATGTGATGAGTGCACAGAGTACATTATTGTTGGGGTGAAAAACTTTGGCTGAGAATTAGATCTAATTTTGAAGGCCTTCTTTAACAACATGACTTTGGGCAAGTTATTTAACAATTCCAATGCTCATCTCTGAAATAAAAATGAAATAACACCAAGTACCTAAGATTCTTGTCGGAATTAAATATAATAGTGCATGTAATGTGTCTAGCAAATGTGTTTTGTTATGTTAAAAGCACAGTGTGTAAATCTTGTTATGAAAGTTAAAATCCTATGACAGGAGCCAGATCCTGAGATGCAAGAGAGGCGTATCTGATTTCAGTATTGAAGGAAAGCAATGATGATGCTCTGTGCTTCAATTCCATAGAAGAGTCACGCAGCCCTCAATAGACAATTAACCAGTGAGCAAAGGAAAAAGGAAGGAACCAGTTCTAGTAGCTTTTTGAAAATGGATTGAAATAGAAGAGCAGTTCGGCCTTATGTGCTGATATCATAGATGATTCATTCAGATGCTATTCAATATCAAGTGAAACCCCTGAATAGTTTACTCTGTAGTAGTCATTTTACAGCATATGCCACGGTTTCTCAACCTCAGCACTATTGACATTTTGGACTGAATAATTCTCTATTTTGAGGGTTTTTGTCCTTTTGTAACAGCATTGTTGATCTCTACTTACTAGTTGCCAGTAGCGTCCTTCAAGTCATGAAAAGCAAAAAGGTTTCTAATAGCCAAAAGGTGGAAACAACCCATATCTTCATCAGCTGATCAATAGATAAGCAAAACGTGGTATATCCATATAGTGGAATATTATTTAGCCATACTAAGGAATAAAATATTTACAGCTGCTACAACATGGATGACCATAGAAAACACGCTAAGACAAGCCAGACAGAAAAGGCCGTATGTTGAATGATTCCACTTACACGAAATATCCAGAATAGGCAGTTCCCACATATGGAAAGCAGATTACTGGTTTTAAGGGGGTGGAGAGAGAGGGAAATTGGAGTAACTGCTTAATGATAATGATTATGAGGGGGCCAGGAAACAGTGGCAGCTGCACTGTTTATTTTGCTCATGGATTCTGTGAGTAAAGAATTTGCATCAGGCATAATAGGGAAAACCTGTTTCTGTTCTACACTATGTGGAACTAAGGCGGGAAGTCTTGACGGGATGATTTGGCAGCTTGAGGCTACAATCTGAGATTTATGCATGTCAGTTAATAGTAGCTGGTGTCAGATTTCAGCTAGGCTACACATGGCCTTTTCATGTGACTTCTTATGCTTCCTGGCATCATGGTTTCATTGTTGCAAATATGAACAGTCTTGAGAAAAAAGGCAGAAACTTACTATGGCTTATGACCAAGCATCAGTAGCCACATTGCAACCATCTTTCCAATTTCAAGGGAAGTGGACACATAGATCCCATTCCTAATGAAAAGAGGTCAATGATACATTTGTAAGAAGAGCTTGTGGAATGGGAAATTGTGGTTATTTCCTTTAAGCTAGGAAGACTGTTTTTTAGTCTACTTTTTAGGTATTCAACCAAATCTGAATTTGTTTAAACCCCAGAAGCCAGAAACATTTATTTATAATAAAAATATAAATTTTCTATAATATATGTACCTTTAAAGCTGTTGAGAATTTTCTTAAATAATATATCTATATTACACATGCCTACCAGCAATTCTTACTTTTTGTTGTTGTTGTTGTAAATTTTGTGAGTAGCCTTGATTAAGGTTCTTTTGATGCTAAGCAGCTATTATGCTACTAAGAATATTTCCTATTCCCTTACCTTTGTGCCTAACAGGTCCGTGCAGTTGGCAGGCTAAAAAGAGAGCGCTCTATGAGTGAAAATGCTGTTCGCCAAAATGGACAGCTGGTCAGAACTGATTCCATGTGAGTACAACCACTAAGTACTGTGTCTCCTTTACGTTTTCTCTATAGATATTGTCTGTCTCATCTTTTTCTAAATTTACATTTTTTAATTCTCAAATTTAAAAAAAAGCATGTGTTTTATGCCTAAGAAATTTACTTCTAATAGCATTTAAAATCTGTTTTGCATTTGCATTACTTTTACATAATTGCAATACTTGTAATAATCTTAAAAACCTGACCATTTGTTAGTTGTAAACATTTTTCAACAGCATTATCTTTTATGTATATAGTAGTCTTAGCAAAGAATGAATTGCCTATTTGGGGAATCTTCTATAAAGCATACTTAAGAAAAATTGATAAATGTTAAGTGCTCAGTTCTGTGCATCCTTTAAAATCATTTTATCTAGCATGTTGGTTAAAAAATAAAGAAAAGGTAAACACTTTATATAAAGAAAATCTTTATTTCCAAATTACTTAATTTGTCATAAGATTGTGAATTAACCCTTTCTAGCTCTGCTTCTAATGAGCTGTGTTAAATAATGTACCATAGGCGAGTATTTTTTTTTTTCTTTTCTAGGATTATTTTTTTATCTTCCTGCCTACCAAGTTATTGAATTATTAGGTTCCTTTTATTTTCCAAAAATGCAAGTATATTGCTTAAAGGACTATTTGTTTAAAACTCTTTCTCATTTGGCTAAATTATCACACCCTGATCTTAAAGCTCCCTCACTATAAGATGCTTTAAATCAGGCAAGTGCTTTTATGTTTTTATCAAAACTAATGGGTTTTTAATAAATTAAACATCCCTTTATTTGCTAGTCAGTATTTTAAATCTAAAAGCCTTTGGTAACTTTGGCTTTTTAAAATAGATGATTTAGATATTTAATGTAAATTAATGTCTTCCTCAGTAACAGTTACTAAGAACTCATTCATTGTGAACCAAAGTTGATGCCAAGCATTATAATGTTAGTTTCTTTGGGAACTGCAAAAGAATTAGGAAATGAAACATTTCTCTCTTGCAAATCTAGGTAAAAGCAAAACATTTAAATTTCTACGCAAAATAACTAGAGTACAATACAAGTATACCATTATATTAAACATTACTAAGTTCTAGTTTGAACCTTATCAAAGAGTGATGGTCTTTGATGGGCATAAGGCAGTGGTCGGCAAGCTCATTAGTCAACAGAGCCACATATCAACAGTATAACGATTGAAATGTCTTTTGAGAGACAAATTTTTAAACTTAAACTATATAGGTAGGTACATTGTTATTAACTTAATTAGGGTACTCCTAAGCTGGCCTTTGCTAAAAACTCAAGGGGCCAAAGAGCCACATGTGGCTCGCAAGCCACAGTTTGCCGGCCACTGGTATAGGGGCTCTCTTATATTAGGTGCCAGAATGGTAACTTCTCTGATCTCTTAGGGAATCTTTAAATTCTCCCTGGAATAGTTAGAGTTATTCTGAATTAAGTTACATAGGAGGAAAGTAAGTTCAAATTAATATTTCCTTTAGGGGATATTGATCTGAAATGTTCGACCACTATTAATGCGAAATTTTTTTTAACTGTATGTTTTCTTGAAGGTGACTGGTTGGCAGTGATATCAACCAGCCTATGAAATCATTTTTCTAGAATACTTAAAAGAATATTATACAAATGGTGAAAAAGCTACATAGTTTATGGCTCATTTAGAGCCCTCAGAATGATTCCACATAACCTCAGAGCTTTAATATTTTCTATATGTAATATTTTTTAAGCCATCAAAGGTTTTAATAAACTTTTCTGCTATATAAAGATAGGGCTTATTTAGGTGTTTAATATTTTGAAATTTCACACTAATGAAATAAAAGCATCATGCTTACATCATGCTTACATCACTTTTGTTTTTATCCTCACAACATATATATTATTGATATCTGAGTTCAGTTAAAAAGAAAGGAAACAGCTGTATTATGTATAAAAACCATTCTACTCTGTGATTGAGAGTAGATGATTAAATCGTAAGATATTTTTGCAGTTGCCAATAACATAAGTTCCTCATAAAAGAAAAGATTAACAGACTTAACTAATATTTGATTTCTTTTTTTTAACTGCCTTAATGGCATTTTCAGTTTTATAAAACTGAAAACCTCACGTGTTAATTTTTGGTAGTAAAAACAACATGAATATTTAATTATAAATTTAATATTGAAATGCTTACTTTACTTACCCATACTTTTTATTATGGTGGTTATATATATGTTACCATGTCATTTTAAGTAAGTTACTTAACTGTCGTCTTATTAATAACATGACCTTGCCTTTTCTTCTACCATATTAATTTTTACAACTTAAAATTGAATTCATCTGTAAGAATCTACATTTAATTAACCTTAGGAACTTTATTTAACTTGGTAACATGGTCAGGAAGAAACTATTAATAAAGTTACATTTTACTTCTAAAGTAATTATCAAACTATTGCTGTCTTTGCCTAAGTTAATCTTTTCTTTGTAATATGAGAGTAATTATGTGTCATTGTGCATGAACCTTTGCCTACCTTTACTTTTATTCCTTGGCATGAAGATTAGAAGTACATATGGGTGTAAGAACAAGAGCACTGGCCCCTGTTCTCTTAATTACTTTCAACAGACAGTAGGTTGATTGTGGTCAGCCATAGATATAAAAATGAATTCTGACCAGTAGAATCGTATCTAGCTTTTCCTTTGTGTTATAAAAACTGAATATGTAAAAGAAGCATAATTATTATTTAAGGTGGCACAGATCAGATTCTGCCCCAAGAAATAAAATTTCAAGGTTCCAGGCACCGATTTCTGCACCGGAATACACGTAAGATTTTATCTGCTCTGCTTTTCACCAGTAGGAGTTATTTTATTTTGCAGGCTTATGTCATACTAATATTTCACCAGGTAATTGGCATATAATATGCTAATTGGCATATAATATGTTTGGCTTTTTAGTACCTCTGTTACAGGATTTCTCAAACTGTGATCATACACTTTATATAGAAAAACAAACCAACTAAAAAAGTTATGTGTGATTTGGGGCATACCGGTGAAAGTGAAATGGAAAAATTTACACATAAGCATCTGAAACCTATATAATTTTATTAACCAGTATCACCCCAATAAGTTCAATATATTTTTTTAAATTACACTTAAAGACCAAGCATCCTTTTTCACTTTATTTATTTTTCTTTGGTTGGAATAGTCTCTGTTGATTCAATTTTAACCAAGTTTAGTGATCCCAATTTTTTATTTTTTTATTTTAGCATACTATCTTGTTTCATTTTGAGTCAGGAGAATGGAATGTAAGTGTGGTTTATCATTGAGGTTTTTTTAAAAATATATCATAGATTAAAATCCTGCTTGGAAAAATATTTTGCAATCATTTAGACCCATGGAGCGAATGGAAATATTGGCATTTAGTTATAAGAATTTAAAAACTAATATAGTCCTTAAGCAACAAAAGCCACTCTGGCAACCAACAATTTTTCCCTTATTCTGGTTCTCTTATTATGCTTTTAGGAGCTAGTAAATTGCCTTAAAGAGTGGCAACAAATTAGTGTTCTCTGTATATAAAATTTCAAGAGAAATGACACAAGATTCGTATTCCAATGAACATTGTTCTCCCCCTTTTCCTATTGCACCTTTATTCATTTTTGGGAGAGGCTAGAGCCTCCCCAAAGCAATTATCCTCACAGTTTGAGAAACATTATTACTATGAAAACCCATCAGGAAAGAGGTACTTGACTTTGGACTTTCCTTTTAATGATGACATAGCTATGCCAAGTAAATTTTCATTTAAATTTGAATTTTGACATTGGCTAGTGTTTATTAACACTCATGTCATACAATTTTATGTAAGCATGAGGTAAAGCTATTACTAATGAAGTAGCATGGTAAACATGGGTGCTTTCTTAAAAATTGTCTAATCTTTCATAAAAGAAAAAGATAAAGGTGAGATTTTGCTGTTTTATCACATTACTAAGATCAATTTATCCTCAAAGTGCATTTTTATTAAATTATTAATATTATAACATTTGCTTAAATAATCTCAGTGCCTTTGCAATATGTTTACTTTTTTATTTTTCACGATAGTTCACTTGTCAAAAAAAAACAAAACACCCAAAAACCAAAAAGTCACACTTCCTTGGTTGGGTGGATGAGTGGACTGAGATGGAACTAACTCTAAAAGCACTCACTGTTTCCCTTTCCAGTCCATGCTAGGTGGTGGTGGGCATGCCAGCTTGAGTCAGACTGATGGTTAAAATGGGGATTAATTCTTTTTGTTCTTATATTTGCTTATTTTTAAAAAGACTTGCAAGACAGCTTAAAGCTTTAAAAAGATTGCTGCAGTATTTATTGCTTCTAATCAGGCTAATTTTGTTCATCTTTAGATGAAAATAAATTTTAACAATCAAGGGCATTTAATCTATACAAAATACTGTTCAATGTGATCATCAGTTAAAAAAATACTTCCTATTCTGTTTTTGCTCTTTATGATGGATTGCAATATAAATTAATAAAAACGTATATTTCTTACTAATTTTTGAAAATATTTCTTTTGATAAACCATCATAAATCCAAATAGGTTTTTTATGGTGGTCTTTGATGAAATATCTTTACTAGTAATGATAGACTTAATTTTATATTTTATCTTTCTACATGTTTTATAAGTTACAATTGAGGATCATGTAAGGTTTTTAATTACCAGATCACAATTTCATATGATCATAGAATCGTAGAATTGGAAGAGATCCTACAGACTTTTAGAACTCTACCTTCTGTGCATTTTATCTTAAGATTTTTTGCAGTTAATTTTAAAATATTTTATGCTTGACTACTTTATGAATACATCTAATTTCCTATTGCTTTAACTGGCAAAAGTGATTTCTCTCAAAGGAAATAGTTTCTTTTTAATTTTTAATGGGCAAAAATCTATCAAACTTTTTTCACAGATTTGCATTTAGTTTATTGACATTGTTGCTATAAGATTATTCTAAATACTCATTATTATAGACTTTAATATAATAGTGTGTAACTAATTTATTTACTAATATAGAATGATATGCAGAAGTATTTAATTTCAGCACCAAGATGCAAAGACAAAAACTTTAATAAATATTGTACTAATTGGCCTTTTAAAACTTGCTTAGGTAAATTTAGCCAGGTATGTTGGCAGCTCTATCACTTTTTATTCCTGCCTCTTATGACACTTTTCTAACATGAATTCAGTCTGGTTTCTCACAAAGAGCAAGAATTCCAGGTGTTCCCAGGCTGCCTAGAGGTTTCTGAGTGACAGACGAGTGCCTAGACTTTGAGACCAGGCAGACTGCTCTTTTCACTCTTGTGGGATGTCGAATATGGGTTTTGCCAAGTACAATGGGGCAGTTGCTAAATTGGCTTATGTATATCCCAGAATATTTGTGGTCTCTGGACAGGCTTTTAGGGTGACTGTCCATGAGTTTACATCAGAAAACTTGCATTTCTTTTTATATCATTAGGCCTACTTCCTATGGTGAATCAGCCCTGACATTAGTTTCTCTATGTCAAGTTTTGGCTTAGATCTTTCTCTTCAAAGTAGTCTTTTACTGTACTTCTCATTTTGGATTATTAAGACTTTCAAAGTTATTCACAAAATTGTGGAGATTTTGTTTTTAATTTCCTGGGACTGTGAGAATAATATTAGATGACAGCTATCTTTTCAAAAATTATCCCACACTTATTTTGTGGTTTCCAAATAAATACATGTTAATTTAGAAAAGATTACACAAGTCAAAATACAAGATTTTCTCTTTTCACTTGTTCACTGTGTGCTCCATTTTATTTTGTTTTATTTTGGACATAATCACAGGATGAGGTTTAAACAAGTCCCTGAAAATACAGCAATCTTAAGAGTTTGGGTTACAGCTGTAAAACTCCTTCATTCATATGTGTTCAGCTTGTGGGACACACTGGCAGTGGAGCCAAAGAAACTGAATCTTAGCTCATGTGGAAAAGACTGTAAGATTACTGGCAAAGAGAAGCCCCAAAATTAAAATACTTTTATTATAACTTTAAAAACTTGAACTCATCTTTAAATTTACTCATAAACTCAGTTTGCTTCATTGTCTTTGAAATAATTGAAATAGCATTTTCATGGAATCACTTTCAATTCATGTGTTTAAACTCGTCTGACATGGGTATAACAGAATTTTCTATCGTCCGATCACCCAGTCTCCTGCAGGTTGCTTGTTAGCGGTTTGGTTTACTGAAATGGAATATGCATCCATAAAGAACGCTCTTTCTCCAAAGCTAGCAGATGAGCACACTCATTGATGTAGTGCTCTTCCCTCTCCAAAGTTCTTTGATAATTTGTGTGTGTTTTAACCTGATGTTTAAGGCTGCTCAGTTACAGATGCTGCATTGTAGCTGGTCTTTTAAGACACTTTGAAATATTAACTTATTTGATTGTGTTTTCTTAGGGGGAAATGACGGGTGGGAGAAAAGGGCAAGAAAATTAAAATGATTTTAAAATTTAAGTGTTTGGGGAAACTACTCAGCTAAAGTTTTATAAAAATCTGACTTGAGTGTTTTTTGTTTTTTTTCTTCATTTGCTGTGCTTATATAAACAGTGTGACACCATCGCCACAACAGGTTCGGGTCTGTCCTCCCCGTATGTTACCTGAAGATGGACCTAATCTTTCCTCTGCTCGTGGCATTTTGTCGCTTATCCAGTCTTCTACTCGTAGGGCTTACCAGCAGATCTTGGATGTGCTGGATGAAAACCGCAGGTGACTGGCCATCAGAGACTCTCGCCAGCTTCATTGCATACTTTTGGCTCCTTCTAGTGGATTGTGGTGTCTTTCTTTTTTGTTTGCACCTTTGTCTCTTTCTAAGATGCAGTGGTTTAAACAGTTTGCTTTGCTTTCTTTTAATTTGAAATTATTGTCCAAAATTCACATTTCATAAGATTCTGTTAGCTTTTCTTCAGTCAAGGAAAGTATTTACTTAATAATTACACACAGGAAGAATAACGATTTTTCCAAAGGTTTTGTTGACTTGTTCTAAGTACTCGAGTCCATTTTGGCTATGCTAGGAGTACTATTGGATTGAGTATAGGATGTTGAACTAGAATGTATTAATTTTCTTTAGTAAGTCTTTTTATTTCATCATTTATGGTACTAATGTGGTTGATTAATTAAACAGATTAGAAACATTGATGTCAGTGTAGCTGCCAGGACTTTTTTTTTTTTTCTTTTTCTTTTTTTTTCTTCCAATTCCTCTAAATAGGAATTTCTAGGCCTGTGTTGAAAATCCCAGGTACTGTTTGTCTTTTTGAAAATCCAATCTTTTTCCGTATTAATAATTTTTGAACATCAAGTAAAATCATTAATAGCATACCTAGACTTGTTCATACAAATAAAGTTTTTGCCACTTTTTTTGTCCTTACTTCATTACTACGTAGTATTTTTTTTAAGTTGAAACTTAGGAAGCTTTCTGGAAAAGTATGGGATAGGTATAGTCTGTTTTGTTTTCACTCCTAACATTTTATCTAGTAACTCTGAGAGTTAGTGTTGACTTTTGCAATTTGAAGAATCCTCTGGCTCTTTCATAAACCTGACTTCTTACCCGAGGAACTGATATGTGTATGGCTGTTCTGGACAAACTTTCTTATTGAGTACTTTGATCCTCACACAAGCCTCTGGGGTTTTTCCCATATTTCATAGGCAAGTTGTCCATATTGCTCAATAGGAGTTTCTGAGCCTTTTCAGGCTGGTCTAGTAGTATACATTTGGACCCAGTGACTTAAAGAGCTTAAAGAGAAAGCCCATGGCAGAGGGGAAATTTTATTTATATATATATATATATATATATATATATATATATATATATATATATATATATATCCCCAAGGGTTTCAAGACCCTTTTATGCTCTTTGAAGCTTCAAGGTTATACTTCTAACTGGTTCTTGACATACTTTTAAACTTGATGTGACTTAGAATATTTGAGGCCTGGAAGAAGAAGCAAGGTTTAGAAAGAAGAAGAAAAAAAGCATATATATATATATATGTAGTCACTCAGATCCCGTCTTGATCCATCCCACTGAGTAGCTAGCTTCATGATGAACTTTAATAAATTGTTTATCTTCTCTAGTCCTTATTTTTCTCATCTATTACATTAAGAAAATATGGAGGGTAATAATATTAACTTAGTTTTCTGGATTCTTGTGAGGAATCTCTCCCCTTTCGCCTACCACCACCACTTTTATTTCACAGTAGGGATAATGGCTTCCAATATTATTCAGTGTGGTGGGAGATCCTTCAAAAGAGACTGAATATAAGGTACCTGGAGCTTAAGAACTACCATAGTATTTCCGAAGGCCTGTTTTCTCTACCCTCCTTAAAATAAATTCATTCTTTACCTGGTATCCTTTTAACTTTTTAATTACAGTCGGTCCTTAGAAGAGACCAGATTATTAGGTCAAATTATAACATATCAAATGCTATTACAGTGAAAATATATGAATGAGAAAGATACTTATAAATCCTATGTATAATAGGATGTATGTGAAGATAATCCTATGTATCTTCACAGAAAGATACTTATAAATTAAAAAATAGCTAGATGACAAAGCGCCAGTGCTTACACACAGTTCAATGCAGTTATATGGAACTTGTAAAAAAGTTGGATTTTTTTTTTCCTTAATAATGGAAAAACATTTTGACTCCAGCTCACAAGTACAAAATCAAAATCTTAATGTAAAATTTATTTTTTATTTTTATATTATGAAAAACTATTTTGAGCCCTAAGTTTTATCTATTTTTTTCATTGTAATGAAATGATAACTTTAAAATCTCTTTGCTGGAAAGGAATTATGCTTTTTTATTCAGTTAAATGAGATTTTTTTTTTTTTAAATGCGTAAAGTAGTTGTATTAATTTTTTGCTCCTGGGCACACACCGTTGTTGTTATCTTGGAGCCTAGCAGATTAGACTTATTAGTCTATTGGATACTTTCATTATTGAAAGGGTTTTGTTTTTGTGTGGTTTTTTTTTTTTTTATCATTGTATTTCAATCTCTTGTGATCTAAATGTTGAACAAGATTTAATCAGAATTGTTAAGTGCCATATCAGTATTTATCTCTACTATAAGAACTGTCTCATATGACTTTTCAGATACAAACACTAGGAATGTGAAATTTGGATAATTGTCTACTTGCATGGTTTTAAAATGATACTGCTTATGAAGTTTCAAGTGCTTTTATGTTCTTTGCTTTGTGCATCATTTTTTCCTTTCTATTTTACTACTCTTGGCTGTTACGCTAATGTAATATCTTATCTTTGGACTTATGCTTTCACTTTAGGTAGAGTTAAATTAAGCTAGAATTATTTGACAGTCAGAAGGGAGGGAGGGAGGAGAGAAGGAGGAAAGAAAAAAGGAAGAAGATAGTCTGTCATAAAATAATGCAGATTCACAGTTGCTTAACATAAAAAGGGACACTGTTGAAAGGTTTATTTATGTATTACATATTCATTTTCTCATCTTATGAGAACTTACATGATCTAAAACAAAGCTCAACATGAAGACAAAAGTAAAATGAATGTTCACATTAGCAAAGTTAATTTATCAAAGCGCCTCAGACAAGCACAAGGTATGTTCTTTGGATTTTAGATGCTATTATGACTTAGCCCTTGGCTGGTTAGGAAATGCTCAACTCGTCTGATATCTGCTAGAGCTCCATATCTCATTCTCCAATGCAAAATATATTTAAACACTGACATATTAGTTAGCCATGCTTAGCATGTTTAAGTTTTATTTTTAGAAGGGGCTTGATTATTTTTATACAGTTTTTCTTTTGCATATTCTCTAAGCTTTGAGTATCTAAGAAACCACCATGTACATAATTTTATATTTTTTGCAAGTGTCCATATAAATATATTAGTTGGAAAACCTAGAATGCAAAGATTTAGTTGAAATAGTGTTCGTTATTTATCATTTATCTTTTTAAAATATGTGTATAATTCCTGGTCTCCCAACTAAATTATTTATTTACTGTAGCAGTTTTCATTTTTTAAAACAAGAAACACATATTCTGTTAAGTCAGATTATTTTTTACTCAAGATGGTCAATATCCAAGTTAATGCTGGAACTTGGAGAGCCTTAAGTCTCACTCCCTTTTGTCACATTAATCACAAAACATATTGTTGAACACATTATCAAAAAAGATTTGTAATGTAATTAAGTTATACTTATGAAAGAAAGTGGAAATATGCCAAATGCCTGTCTAATTTACTCTTATATGTGTCAATTGCCAGTGTAAGAAGACAAAATGAAATACGTTGTGAAAGGTAACTAGCTATCTTCTGGCTCTGCATTATAAGAGGGAAATCTCTGTGGTGGAACATACTGAATATGACAGATCCATTCGAATATGTTAGCGTGAATTTCTTTCAAAACTTTAGGTAGCACATAGCATTGGCTTTATTTAAACATTCTCATGTTAGCATAATGTAAGATTGTAGTTAACTGATAACAATTTTCCTAATGCCACAGAGTAAATATATTAGTAGGATTCAATGGGTTTAAAACCTGTCTCAAGCCATATGTGATTTCTCACTGTTCTTTAGTGAACAAATTAGAATTCTAGCAGGTCTTCTCCAGAAGACCTTCTCTGACTCCCTTATCCTCTAGGCTCCAGAAATTTATTAAAGCAACAGTAGTGCCTTTAGGAAGCATATAAGCTAACCATTAAAACTTTCTTTAATATATTGAATTGACAAAATAATAATTGTATTGTAGCCAAAATTCTACAAATATGTCAGCTTACCAAAACAAACAAAAACTAGTGCAATTTCTATTAAGTGTTTACTATAATTAAGAATTTCCTTGGTATTTAAATTCAGGCTAAACCTGATCAGTACTTAGAGAATGAGACATTCAAAACAGAATGTAAGGATTCCTAAAATCCTTATATGGATCCTATCCCCAACCTTCTCTCTGTATTTAGTAAATATTGCTGATTACTTTTTGGGGAATTGACCAGTGATCTTGTGGAACTTTTGTTTTCTGATTTTAAAAATTAAGATTTCTTGGAAAGGTTTCTGCTTACCTAGGTAAGGAACTAATTGTCCTCTGGAAACCAAGTATGTACTGAGCTAAGTGACAGTCCCCACAAAGTTTTCCAATGCACCTTAGTTTTCATTTCCAACAGCCCTGTATGTCGCTCTTGGTTGTCTCGAGATCGGACTCAGTATTGTGGCTTCTAGAATATGCTGTAGTATGTCCCTCACAGCACGGCTATGGTCTCAGCTTCAGAACTGAGGCTTGCAGCTTTGCTCTGGAGAGCTCAGGGTTTGAATGAGACACAGCTACGTGAAGTTATCAGACACTAATCAAAATTAAAAAGGCGGGAAGGAAGTAGTTGTGGGATTTGTGAGTAATGTGAAATTTTTAGTTTTTGAGATGGGCTGTTGCTATCGATGAGCAACCATGATCATGCAGGTGCTTCTAACCGGTTCTTGACATGCTTCTAAAATTGATGTGACTGTTTTCCAACTTCAAGAGAGCAATTATACTTTTTAAACAGAGTTGTCCTCTGTCTTGAATTTCATAATTAAAATACAAGCACCCAAAATTATTTTATATGTTGGTGCTATTTTGTTAACTATAGATTTCCTTAATTTTTAACCCATTGAAAATACTAAATTTATGAAAATCTTAAAATGGAGGACTTGGGAGACAAAGATGTTTAAAGTATTTGAAATATATTATATTGTATTGAAACATACAATATAATCCTATTTGACATTTATTTGTCTTGTTTTTGCTTTTATTTTATTACTTCTCTGTTTCCTGATTCTATCTTGTGCCTTCTCCAAAACTGCCTTAGACCCGTGTTGCGTGGTGGGTCTGCTGCCGCCACTTCTAATCCTCATCATGACAACGTCAGGTAAATTTTGAGACTTTGTAACTACCAGGGTGAATAGCTGGCTGAATTTGTATTTTGCAGGCAATAATGCATGTAGTAGCCATGCCTTTATATTGTAGCTTGAGCCTCTGCAGTTTTCTGAATGAGTGCATCCTGCTTTTCTCTGAGAACAGTGAGTAGTCACTCGTGACATTTGGCCACCAGAGTAAGGAAAACACTTAATTGTACTACAGTATTGTGTATCCCCATGTTTTAATTTAAATCCAGTTTCATTAACTTACAGGAGATCATGCTAAAATGGAAAATGTCGCCTTGAATCTTGTCTTATATGCATCCTTTCCATTGTTAGCCCGAGCTTCTGTCCAGCGTTTTCTTTTTATTTAATTGTCTATAATATCATCTTCCATGCATAGAGAAAGCTGTCGATAAGGCATCATCTTAAATTGGGTAAAATCAGCATTGACAGTTTGAGTAAATTAAACATAAAGGGAATTTAAGAATTTTTTATCATCTGTTGATTTCAGCTTTTCTCTTATTTTTGCCCCTTTCACACATGCTTACTATGAGTAACAATTTCTTGTGTTAAGCACAAGACAGATAGAATAGCACACATAAATACTTAAGGTTCTTATGTGCCAAAATCCCCAATTCCCACATTCTAGGGAAGGAGGAATTTGGGTTAGTGTTCACAGATACCATTACTGTAATTATTTTCAGACTTTATTTTGTTTAAGCACAAATACATTATCTGTAGCATTAGACTTAAAACTGGCAGCATTATTTCTGTGATGAAAGGAAACTGCCACATTCATTTTTAGGCAAGAGAAGAGGGAACCGGCAGTTTCTCACTGTAGGTAGTTCAGATTAGAAGATTCGGAAGTGCCTTAGGGATCTTCCCACTCTGCCGACCTGTTTCTTCTGACAGCACTAACCACATCCGTTGTAAGTTTTCCAATTCACTCCTAAGTTTGTCTCTCTATTTTCAACCAGTGATCTGACTTACACTTCTTTTGGTTTTAAGTTAAATTATATAATTTTTTTTCCCTATCCTTAAATTTTTTTTGCAAATGAAGGTGTGTTTTTTACAGATATTGAAACCCTTAGTTAATTCAGAATTTTAATTGTAAGTAATCCTTTTCAGTTGTACTTCGTTCTGTGTTCAGTTCAGATCCCCTGACCTTTGAAGTAATTGCTTCTATTGTTTGAATTTTTCCCCAAATATTCATCTCATGCATGACCTCACAGAAATAGGACAGTTGTGGTATTTGGTTTTTTTTGTTGTTGTTGTTTGTTTTGTTTTTTAGATAAAGGGTAGAGAAGAGGTGTCTCCAGCCCTTATTTTTTCTACTAATCATTTAATTCTGTCATAATGTTCAAAGGAATAATTAATGCATATGTTTTTAGCATCTACTAGCTTTACAGCTTACTTCTCTAACTGCTGCAGTTACTCTCAGTATTCCAGAACATTCATTCTGTCCCCATGAGAAAAGGGGCAATTAATGAAAAAGCAAGTTAGTTTAGTCATCAAAGGCACATCTAGAGATTGTTCTATATTATTTAGAGTTAGTACTACCATGGTATTGAAAGTGCATCCTGTCTGGTGTTTTTGGGTGGTTTTAAATTGTATTTGAAACAAAAGAATTTTCTAAATAGACTTGTTTTTAACATGTCTGCATAGAACGGTATTTCTCTTTATACCTCTTTGTGTGGTAAGGTGCTTTTTATAATGGAGACCTACTTAGTATATTAGAAAATATCTATGTGCCAATTTTGTAGATTGCATAGGAGTAACTTTTAAATTCAGTTTATTTATATTCTCATTCAGAATAATTAATATGCCATTTTACTGAAATAGCCATACAGGATTAAAATAGGATATAAACATGTGAGGTGTGTAAATTATATCTCAATAAAACTGTTCATTAAAAACATATTTAAAAAGTGGAAATCCAGGCAAAGAGGAAGAGTATTTGTGTATTTGTTTCTCAGAAGTTTATTGTCATTCATTTAAAAATCAGTGTCCTTTTAGAAGTAACTGCATTTGAACAAGAAGTACTTTTTGTGTGCTTTTTCTGGAGTTTGTCTAATTGGCTTTCCAGTATTATTGTTTTCTACACAGCCTCTTAATTATTGATTATTCAGCTAGTTCTGGATCTCAATGTAGTGACAAGATGTATTCAGGCGATTTTACAGTAGAGAGTAATTGGAAAATAAGAAGAGTAGAAATGACAAGAAAAGAGGAAATGAGAGGAGGAAGAGAAATAAAATGATCAGTCTTATTTTGCTAGCTAGAGTTAGTGTCCCTGCCAGTGAGTCTCAGTAGGAGCTCTTTGCAGCCACACATGGACATAAGTTTGTCTAAGTATCGTATATTGTTATATTCTAGAGTGGCAGCCCTCAAGTCTTTTCACCCACGGGTCCTATTTTAACAATGCCCATCCCTCTGAGTCGAAAAGTGTCTCCTTTTTTGTATCTTTAGTCAGGATTCTTCTTATTCTCAAAGTTTTAAGACATTTGCCAATATTTAAGGTAATTGTAATCTTAAGTTGTTTTCTTTCCTTTATTAGTAACAACTCAGATTGTAAAATACTTTAGGAATTTATATTGTAATTCCAAACTTTTGAACAATTCTTTGAACACTATACGTTGCATTACATGACTTGTCAGGTACTCGTAATTCTATTCTAATATTTAATTGTATTTTTATTTCTTATCTGCTAGGTATGGCATTGCAAATATAGATCCAACAGTTGAAGGAACTGCAGATGACATGAATGTTGTAGATGCAGTTTCATTAAGACGACAGGTATTTAATATATCAAATAAGATATAATCCTAAGTTATATTCATATAATGTTTAAAGTAACAGTTCCAAACATTTCATCACTTTCTCTCCTGTGGAAGTAATGAATATAAATATTTTATCAGCCAAACTACTTATTACACCATAATTGAATGTCCCGTTTTGATTAAAGATGTATTAAACCATCATTTACATGTTTTGATCAGCATAAAACAGTATTGCCTGAATGGATTGATGTAGTTCTGATGAATAACAAAGAATTTTGACATTTTAGCAAACCAGGAAAGCCCTAAAGGCTTGTTGGCTTTTGGAAATGTGGAACAGTCTAAGTAAAGATCAGGAAAATATTTTAGCATAAGAATAAATCAGAATATCATTTTAAAGATTTAATATAATACAAAGTTAACATGAAGCAAATACTTTTTCATTTTGAGTCTCATATTGTTGAAATGTAAATGGAAGCTATAAGTTTTTACATATTTCATATATTTATTTATACTTCGCTTATTGAAGAAAGTGATTGAAAGTGGTTTCTTCAACCTTTATCATTGATTTCACAATTATACCAACAACCTTGTTTTCTGAAAGTGTAATTTTAGTATGTTTTCACAGTGTTCATTTAAGCCTTAACTTAGAGTATAGGACAGACAAAGATGCAGTAGTTATAAACTAAAGGCCAGTGCACAACACTCGTGCACTGGGTGGGAGGTGCCCCTCAGCCCAGTCTGCGCCCTCTCGCAGTCCGGGACCCCTCGTGGGGTGTCCATCCCGAGGGGTCCTTAGCATTGCCATGGAGGCGGGAGAGGCTCCCGCCACTGCTGCTGCGCTTGCCAGCGGTGAACCCGGCTTGTGGCTGAGCAGCGTTCCCCCTGTGGGAGCCCACTGACCAGTAGGGGGAAGCTCCTGTGTTGAACATCTGCCCCTTGATGGTCAGTGCACATCATACCAACCAGTCTTATTGCCATTTGGTCTATTTGCAATTAGCCTTTTATTATAAACTAGAGGCCCAATGCACGAATTCGTGCAAGAGTAGGCCTTGCTTCCCCTGGCTGCTGGCACTGGCTTCCCTCTGGTACCCAGGACCCATGCTTCCTTCTGGCCACCAGCACGAGCCCGGAACCTGGGCTTCCCTCTCAGCCCCAGCTTCATGTTCAGAAAGACGTCCATTCTAATGAGCATATTACACTTTCAGTATAGACTAGAGGCCCAGTGCATGAAAATTAATACACTGGGGAGGGTCCCTCAGCCTGGCTATACCCTCTCCCAATCCAGGAGCCTTCAGGGAATGTCCAGCTGATAGTACAACTGTCCTCTGCAGGAGGCAACCAGCAGGCTGATAGGGAAACAACACCTGCCAGTGAGGCCTGGCTCTGCCCCACCACCGTCATTTTCCACCCCCAATCAAAATCCCCTCCCTCTGCCCACTGGCACCTGCCTTGGTTGGCCTGATGCTGCCCACTTGCTAGCCCCCCCTCCTGCTTGCCGTTTGTCAATTTGCATATTAGGCTTTTATATAAGATAAATAATTTGCACATATGCTTTGAGACTTTAAAAGGAGTAGAAAGCCAGTTGGGAAACTAGGTTTCTAAGATAATTAACATAAATGGAGTCACCAGAAGATTCTACAGAATTTATATTTGTATTTATGACTTGGTAATAAGGGAAGCAGCTACTTCTACAGCTCCCTTTGCTCCATTTCTCATTTGGGAACCCAACAGTCTGGAGCCCATTTAGTGTAGTGATGAGCAGCTCAGGGGTCACTAGCTTCAGGATACTTTAGGGGTGAGGGGTATTAAAAATCTGCCTTGAGCCCTAACCGGTTTGGCTCAGTGGTTTAAGAGTGTTGACCTGAAGACAAAAGGATTCCAGTTTTGATTCTGGTCAGGACCACATTGCCCTGGTTGCGGACTCAATCCCCCAGTAGGGGGCATGAGAAGACAGCCAATCAATGATTCTCTCTCATCATTAATATTTCTATCTCTCTCCCTCTCCCTTCTCTAAAATCATTTTTTTTTAATTGTTTTAAAGCTAGTCAGAAATGCTCAAATAGAAATATCTTAATGATTCAACACAATGCCACTTTTCTATTGGCAATAAAATAAGATTGGTAGTGTAAGAACATAGAACCAAATCCCATGGAACCAAATAAATTGCTCATTTTGAGTAGTGGGAAAGGTAATTTTTAAATACTTCTATTGTTTACTGAATTGACCCTAACAAAAAAGTGGTTGCTTAGCACTGATAAATCAGATTATTGGAATGGCCATGCCCACCTTACATGGGTTGCAGGTTCCATCCCCACGGGGTCACATTTGGAAGACAACCAATTGATATTTTTCCCATCAGTGTTTTTCTTTCTCCACCTCCTTCCCTCTCTCTCTCCCATTCTCACTCTCTCTCTCTTCCTCTCTCTAAAATCAATAAACATCCTTGCTTGGGGATTAAAAAAAAGGGGGGGGGGGTGGAAATAGACCCTTTCTAACTCAAAAATTTGGAAAAGGGAAAGGGAGAAGAGTATTTAAGTGAATCTTAGCTGTTAATAGGTAACTTTTCTATATAGTTTATTTTTACATTGCTCCAAATGAAACTTGTTTATAATAATTATTTTGACAAATTATACTACTTTATAAGAATTTGATCACTCCTTACATTAAAGCTTCTATTTTGTTTTTCACTTAGATAATCAAATTAAATCGACGTCTACAACTTCTAGAAGAGGAGAACAAAGAACGGGCTAAAAGAGAAATGGTCATGTATTCAATTACGGTAGCATTCTGGCTGCTTAATAGCTGGCTCTGGTTTCGCCGCTAGAGTAACCTCAGCTCTCAAAAAATACTGTTTCAACAGCTGGAAATATAAAGAATTTGCAAACTTCTTTGTTTCTGTGTTTGCATTGAATATGCCATTTTATAGTCCATGCCCTGAAAATGTACTTCTTCCAGAAGGGAAGGAGAAAGACTCATGTTTGCAGGGGTAAAGATATATTCTGTCACCTAGCTGTATTCCCTTGTAACTAGTCCTGCAATAATGCCTACTAAAATTCTCTTTGCATGTTGTGTAAATAGGCTCTGATTTGTTTTTTTAAAGGAATTAATTTTTTTGCCACATCAGTTTGCACAGGTAATTCTCTGAATGGGGGAGGATAGAGAATAGATTTAGAAAAGTATCTGTAAAAGAAAAATCCTTGACTTTGATCTGTTTCCCAAACATTGTTAAACAGTTTTGTTAATGGACATGCTCGCATCCACATTCAGCATTAACACATCTGAAAGTCATGGTCTGGTGTTAGAATTAATAAATTCAAGCCACCTCATGTTTCACCTTTATTATTAAAATAAGTCCTAATATTTTCAGCAGTTTATCAATATGTGTGTAAAATGTGTGTGCTTTTATTTTTTTCAGGTGGTTTTCTATAAGGGACATTTTTACTAAGTTCATGTGTGAATGATTTAAAAAACTACAGAATAAGGTACAATTGCAGTGTATTTAATAAACTATCAACCAAAGCAGTATTTGTTGATCGGAAGATTTTTGTTTCATTATACTGTGCTATGAGCTCTATCACATGCTCTTATATGAACCCAAGTCTGTCTCAGGCGTGAGTCATGCAGCTAAGGGCTTGGCAGGAGCAAGACCCTATGTACTGCTCTTAAGGAATTGACAAATCAATGGAGGAGGCTGGGAATAGGTTTATTAAAGAATTAGAGGATGATAAAAACAACTTTATTGATGAAAAGCAATTTGAGATACATGCTGTAGGGAGAGGGGAGAGTGTTTCACATGGTGGATACAATAAAGTGTAAAGATTTTAAAACAAGATTGAATATGGAGGTGGAAGTGAGAAATAAAAAAGTTTGTAAATGACTAAGTACATGGGGAAGGGGGGGTGTACAAATACTGGCAAAGCTGGCATGTCCCCAAAATATACATAAATTCAGATGGTCCATAGGCTTTTAGGGACTTTATTCATGTCAGCAAACTACTAGTGAAATAGCAGGTAAATGACTTAACAGCTACTTAAGCTGATGTGCTTCTTCAAGCCATCCTTTCTGTGGGAGGCTTGTCTGTCTCTCCATGACTGGAGAATTGGGTCATCTAGGGCAGTGGTCTGCAACCTAATTAGTCAACAGAGCCAAATATCAACAGTACAATGATTGAAATTTCTTTTGAGAGTCAAGTTTTAAACTTAAACTATATAGATGGGTACATTGTTATTAACTTAATTAGGGTTCTCCTAAGCTGGCCTTTGCTAAAAACTCAAGGGGCCAAAGAGCCGCATGTGGCTCGCGAGCCACAGTGCCGACCACTGATCTAGGGTGATGTGAAGATTGTATGCACTGTCGCTGCCCCTCATGTTGTTCGACTACATAGTGTGAGCTGTCCTGTCACTTGTGATTTAATTTTATGGCTATAGCAGTTTGGCATTCATTTAATAAGTATTGAATCTTTGCTGAAAGCTAAGTACTAAAGATAGAATTCATCAGTTCATTCCATGGAATGTCCCTAGTAGCCAAGATAGAATTCATTCATTGATTCCACAGATTATTTCTAGTAGTGGCCTTACTTTGTGTCAGACGCTGTATTTGGTACTGAGCATACCAGGAGTGAATACAAGAAACATATCCCTGTACCCATGGAGCTTACAGTCTTACGGGGGAAAGTGAAATTTAAGAAGCAAGTACAAATAAAAATGCCATCACCATTGTGGTGAGTACTATCAATGAAAGAGGGCTAAGGGAGGGTAAAGGGACACCTGCTTGTCATTAGGTAGTTAGGGAAGGCTTCTTAGAAAAAGGGATATTTGTGCTGAAGTATGAAGAGGACTTAGCCAGAGATTAGACTTTGGGGGGAAGGGAGGAATTTGGGGGCCTGGATAGGAGAGAGGCCTGAAGCAGGAAGGAGCTGATGAATTAATGGATGAGAAGCATTAGTTGGTCCCTGTTGTCTTATTATGATGGACATACAAGCAAAAGCATTTATGTTACATTGTTACAGGTATGATAGTAGTAGTTTGGGTATGTGCTAACTTGATGTATTGGAATCGTGCACTCTGGGAAGCTTTCTCAGGTAGGAAATAATGTAAGTTAAACTTTAAGGATAAATTGGGATTTGTAAGAGCATGAGGAGTTCTTTACACAGCAAATGGATTCAGAAATAAAGTGCCTGTGTGTGACTAATTTTGAGGAGCAGCTACAATGTAAGTATTGTAAGTTATTTCTACAACCTGAAGCATAATGAACATAAGTAAATGAGAAGAAAATGCAGGAATGATCTACATTCAGAAAATTGTAGATTTTTAGTATTTTATATCATTTTAATATGGTAAATAGACTTTTATTAGGTTGTCTTTTAAAGATTATAATATAGAGAAACCTTTTTTTGAAAGACTAATTTTTTTCTAGGTATTTATAGTTCTTTATTGTGAAAAATGCAAACAGGAAAATAAAGTATAATGACTCACTGTAGTCTTGTCCCTATATATGACAATGAAGATTTTTTTATTGCTTTATTTTTTGGTTGATGTATTTTTAAAACATGACATTTTCCCCCCCAAACACAAAAACATGCATTTCTAAAAAATAAAGACATTTTTATATTACCATAAGCCATTGTCAGTTGTAAATATTCACAATAAGTCCTTAATATTACCCAAACCAATCCTGTACAAGGTCTGCATAATACATTTAGTTGAATAACATCTCTTTGTTCTCAATATAGAATAGTTTCCTCAATACACTTGTTTTTTCCCTGTACATTTTCTTGTTGAAAACAGAAGGCTATTATCTGCTTACTGTCCTTCCTTTAGAATTTGAGTCTATTTCCCTGGATTTCTAGTAAGTGAGGAATTTGGTCTAAAAAATTGATTACATTTAGGTTAGTTATTTTTTCATAAAGTATAAAGAAATACAGGGGAAAGGCCCTACTTTGACTTCCAAAATAACTTCTGTTCCTTCTCATCTTCCCTTCCTCCGTCGCTCATCTCTTTTCCCCTCCCTCTCTTCCTCTCCACACAAGAATGGAGAATTAAAAAATTCAAACAGCACAAAAGGATTCAAAACACATTGAAAGATTCTCTTCACTGCACTACTGGTGATAATTTTTCCTATGAAAGTGGTTTGCATTTAACAACATTAAATGTAAAAGGCTGATTTTTTTTTTAGTCACCTTTAAAAAAATCTTTTGGACTAGAGGATTAATGCAGCTGTCTAGCTAATATTTCGTTATTGAACTTCTAACTTCTAAAAGGGTATCTTAAATGTAATTCTCAGGTGATTCAAACTGCTTGTATTTGTATTTTGTTACACAATTCGACTTCTTCGCTTGGAGACTCCACACAGACAGCCGAGGAAACCGATGACAATCTGACTGAGTGCAAACAGGAGCTCAAGGAACCCCACGAGCAGTAAGCCTACAAATGCTGAGAAAAAGATAGTCCTGTGCCTCTTTTCTTTAGGACTGACGTGCAAATCACTGGTCATGGTGTCATTCTTGATGGGAGAATTCAAACTGTTAGGAGCTACGCAAGATCCATTGGAGAACCACTGTAGATTCAAGGATTGGGGATCAATCCTTCCAGAAAAATAAAAGATAAGATGTTTAAGAATTTCTGTGGCCATCAAAAGAATACAACATTGTACCCAAGAAAGGGAAAATATGGTAAAACAAAGTATTATTGAAATGTGCCTTGAAATTATAGCTAAGATCATACTTTCTGAGCATATGTCTTTCTTTTTTAATGTAGTAAGATAAAGGAAAAGGAGGGGAAACTTTATGTAAGTGAATGTCTGATTATTCTCTAATATAGAGAGAAGTAATGAATTAGATTGTTCTTTTGTTCTAGTTTTTCACATTGTGCTGAGGTGCAGACATAAAACCATCTTATGAAACTGAAAGGAACCATTTACTTATAATTCTTCATTATTGTTGCTATGTGACATAAACTTTTAATTCATTCCTATCCATACATCTATTTCTAGTGTGTCCCCATAATCCATCTGCTGCTTGGTTTCTTTTAGGGCTTATAAGTAAGGCTCTAGATTTTATTTATTTTGTTTCTATTCAATTTTTTAAAGTATAGAAGTAATCTGTGCTTCTGGCTTACAAATTTCATTAGCTCAGAACTGTGGGAAGTCAGGGCTTCCTCATCACCATTCTCCAAAGGTGAAAGTTAAGCTGCTGCTGTGTGTTGCCATATATTTTTAAGGCAAGGATAAGCCATCTGAGTCAGTTATCCTTTAAAGAAGGCCATACCCAAAACATCTGAACGTGGTGATTCCTCCACTTTTTTATGAGCTTTTGCCAGTTGGAATTAATGTGCTAAATCCCTAAGAATCTGTCCCAGTAGTTTCATAAAAAAAAAAAAAAAAAAAAAAAAAAAAAAAAAAAGCATTGTGTGAGCACCACAATATTCTAATCTAAGTAGCTTCGGTGTAAGACAATCATGGAAAGGTCACTCACCTTAAATTTTCAAACGAGAATTTGCAGGTACTGTTGCTTGGAGAATTACAGATGAGAGGACCTTCCAAGAGAGCACTCAGGGATACCAGCATGCAGTACACTGCACCAATGATTGTGATTACATTAAAAAATGATGAAAGAAACATCTGAAAAATAAGGTGGTTCATGTGCACATGTTATTACATGTTCCTGGTCTGTTTCAAGTTTCAGCATCAGATCTAGGGTTGCCCTTCTCTGGCCACCTTGTAGCCCTAGATCTTAAGATCACAGTTTGATTGGGTGTGAATTATAGAAGAAGGCAGAGGGCAAAGTGCCATTTTACTGACTCACTAAAAGAGTGATGGTCTTGCCGTGTTTTATGAAAATTCTGAGCCTTGTCCATTTTATTATAACTGAGCATTGAGGTCTGGTTCCTCTGTCATATTCTGTGTACTTCCTACTTCATAGAACCTTGGCTAGAACAGCAGCACCCACACTTGGATGTCCACTCTCTGGACTTCTAAATCTTTAGTCTGGACTTGGCCCTGATCTTGAAAGTGGTCTGAGATCAGCATTTTGCATCGAGGTACAACAGGGCTTCTCGATCTCAGCACAACTGGCCTGTGGGCATTTTGCTGTTGGGGGCCTTTCCTGTACATGATACAATGTCTGGCAGCATTTCTGTCTCTGCCCACCAGGTGCCAGTAACACACACTCACCCAGGTGTAGCAACCAGAAATATTGCCAGACATTGCAAATGTCCCCCTGGGAGCAGGGGCGTGTGGGGCAGAGGGTGCATGCACCTGATTTTGGTGCAGCAGCACCACTGAGACAGAGGGAAAGACTGTAAGCATCTTTCATTTTGTGAATCAGTCACAGGAAAACAAGCATGAGATTTGGGGATAGGAAGTGTTTTGGCCCAAATGGAAGTTGGTTTCCAAAAAGAAGTTCTGTGTTGTTTCCACGGAGTGTTGTGTTAATCCCTGTTAATTATGATTGTTTAAATCTGCAGAAATGAAGGGAAGGACTTCTTTTCCTTTGATGGGGTAATACTGCAGCTCCCAGAGGGGTCACCTGTTGCATTTGTTAGACCTGCCTTTAAAGGGTAGGCAGAGTAAGTGACTATGTAAATAGTATGTGTAGAGGGAGCTTGGGCTTTGCTATCCTTTCAGTAAGCCCAAGAGATGGATGCTATTATTCCCATCTTAAGGATGAGAAAATGCAGTTCAGGGAGATTGGCAAGGTGTCAGGACCTCACAGCTGGTAAACGTCAGTGCTCAGACCTAACCACTAACCAGCCAAAAGCCCAGAATGATGGGTTTGGAGTGTGATTCAAATCCTGCTTCTCCCACACTACTGTTCAATTTGCTGATCAAGAAGTGTCACTGTTTATATTTTGGTCATCTATTATTTCTGACTTCTCATCACTGCAGAGAGGCCTGGCTTTAGAAGGTGATTCCAACCTCTGTATTTCCCCTAGACTTGGGTTCATTTAAAGACTCAGGAAAACCTAAGTATTCAGAGGCAAAATCAATAAATGGATAAAGGGAAGGAGCAGAGAACAGCTCAAGTAGGGGAAATAGTGGGAACAGTTAAGATAGGTGGTCTTGGGGAACACCTCTTCTCTCCCTCCCAAGATCTAGCCTTTGCCACTTTTGTGATGCTTTGGTCTCTACTTGAAAGATACAAGATATGGCCCTAACTGGTTTGGCTCAGTGGAGAGAGCGTCGGCCTGCGGACTGAAGGGTTCAGGTTCGATTTCAATCAAGTTCATGTACCTTGGTTGTGGGCACATCCCCAGTGCGGAGTGTGCAGGAGGCAGCTGATTAATGTTTCTCTCTCATCGATGTTTCTGACTATCCCTCTCCTTTCCTCTCTGTAAAAATAAAAAATTAAAATATTTATATTTTTAAAAAGATATAATATATGACTTAAACACCAGTCCTCACATGGCTGGTGAGAAAAGTGTCTAAAAACTTGGTTGGACCTAATCAGTATAAACTGGTGATTTAATGACCAGCACTACTATTATTACACGATGCCCCCCACCTTTGGCCAGCAAGTCAAGCCCAATACCTGCGTGAAAAGATGGTTTGATTATTCTCAACTCGCTGTTGTCCGCAAAGGAGAGAGAAAAATGGTCATTGAAAATATGAAAAATTTATCATGAAAGGTTATGTGCGGCGGGAGTGGGGGGTGCAGGGAGATATTCTTAATGGAAATACAATCTGAGAGAAAAATCTAAATATTCTGAAATCTTTAAGTTTGAGGATTCAGAAATAATTCAGTATATCTTTCTCAAGAATGTTTGGCTCTGGCTGGTTTGGCTCAGTGGATGGAGTGTCAGCTTGCGGACTGGGGGGTCCCGGGTTCTATTTCGGTTAGAAGCACATGGTGGGTTTTGGGCTCAATCCCCAGGTCTGAGGGCGGAGGGGGGGGAGGAGGAGGGAATGTCCAGGAGGCAACCAATCAATGATTCTCTCTCATCATTGATGTTTTTGTCTCTCCCTCTTCTTTCCTCTCTGAAATCAATAAAAACATTTTTAAAAAAATTTTTGGAATAAAACGTAGAGGTAATTCAACGTCAAACTCCAAGGGATAATAGTTTAAAAAGAAAAGTGCAAGAAAGGAAACTAAAAAGACTGACTGACTACCTGCAATGTATCAGGAACAAAGAGAGACTATAAATAATTAGCAAAGTAGTTATAACCCTAGATATCAAATGACAGAAAAAGGTAATTTTAAAAAATACAAATGTGTAATATTAATCTAAATATGAATCTCTAAACAGTGGTTCTCGCCCCTGGAAACACATTAGAATCACATAGGGTATCTTTTAAAAATACTGATGTTGCCTCTCAGGGGAAGTGGGAGAAGGGGAGAGATATTTTTAAGATCCTCCCTGGTGATTCTAACGTCCCCATCAGGCTGAGAACTATCGCTTTCAAACCTCAAGCTCAGCCAGGAACTCACTGTGAGTGCTCATTTATTCGTCTATGCCTTCCTTAGAGAATTATGAGCCCTCACACAGTGTTATTAACAATGTTCATGGCCTCGTAGTGTAGACATTGTGACTTTGAGAGTCTGATGGATTGAGACAAAAGTTCACTTACTGGCTGTGCTACACTGGCAAATTATTTGCTTTCTCTGAGCACCAGTTTCTTGGTCAATAAAGTGGATCATATTTCAAAACTAAAGGGTTTTTTAAAGAAATAAGATAACATATTTGAATCTGTTCTGAGCATAGTGACAGAAGGGTAATAATTATTCATTATTTTCCTTTTAATTAAAATCTTACTCATAGTAGGTTTGTACTAAATGTTAGAAAAAATAACTAGTGTCTTCTTTAATCACATACAAGCAATGAGCATTCTGAATCTAGCAAACCAATCTTGTATATGCATGAGAGAACTGAGGTTACATTTTCCTTAAGTATTTTATACACAGCACAAAAATAAGTCTAAAATTGGTTGCAGCTCTGGGTGTGATTTCTAAATCACCTTCCTTTGAAAACCTTTAGATAGTGAAACTGAAGATTGGGGTAAGGTGTGAGGCTGGCTCCAAAGTTATATTTTTATGGAGGAGGGGGGGAAAAACAAAACCCTCATACTTTCTGTATCATCATATAAGCATACTACCCTGTTTCCCCGAAAATAAGACAGTGTCTTATATTAATTTTTGCTCCCAAAGATGCACTAGGTCTTATTTTCAAGGGATGTCTTATTTTTCCACGAAGAAGAAAACAGTACACATTTATTGTTAAATGAAAATAAAGGAAATTTATTACCTTTATACGGTACGGTAGTACGGTAGTTGTCAACACAAACCAGACAAACTGTGAATCCTACAGTATCAAGAATTTACTCATTTATTCGATGACAATCATGTCATCATCTTCTGGAACATCATCATAACAATCCAATTCCTGAATTTCCTGGTGAATTTCTTGTAACTCCATTTCTTTCAGAATCAGTGGGCCAAATCTCTCATGTTTAGCCTAGGGGGGGCCTTATTTTCGGGGGGATGCCTTATATTTCATTCAGAAGGAAACCTGTAAGTAGGTCTTATTTTCGGAGGATGTCTTATTTTCAGGAAAACACGGTAATAGGACGTTCCTAAAACTGTGGTTCTGCCACTGGAACCACACTGAGATTTGGTAGCTTCTGAAGCCCCAAGTGGCTTTGCTCAGCTGTCCATACTGTTGGTGCACTCTGCCCCTCAAACCCTCCCCCACCAACCCTCCTCCCCCCCCCCTCCTCCCCACACACACACAATCGCTGCTCGGTACTCACCCCGCCTCTGTTGTTGCAGCAGGCTCTTTTCCTTGCTGCCAAAGACATTGTTGTTGCTGGAATAGCCTGGAAATTACATCAACAGGAAAGAGGAGTCTTAATACTTCTCATCAGATGAGAAAGCACTTATCTCTGCCTTCTATTTATCAGCAGTTGTGGGAAATCAAGGCTCAAGAGAACAAGAAGGAAATGTGGCAACGTCCTTGATCTTGTGATCCCCATTTCAACCCTAAAGATTAAAGAGCAGGGAGGGATGGTGGGATTTCAGGATAGCAGTTTCAAATTCTCCCCTCTACATCACTTTACTCTGGGTCATCTTTGGAGAGACCTGGATTTTTATTTTTTTTTTTTAATGTTTTCTGATTGATTTCAGGGAGAGGAAATGAGAGGAGAAATAGAAACATCGATGTTGAGAGAGAATCATTGATTAGCTGCCTCCTGCACACCCTTTTCTGGGAATGGAGCCTGCAGCCTTGGCATGTTCCTAACGGGGAATCGAACCTTGAGCTCCTGGTTCCTGGGTCGAAGCTCAACCACTAAGCCACACCAGCTGGATTAGAGAGACTTGGATTTTAAATTGAGTGAGTTATTTAGTCATTATTTTGGAAGGAGTATTTCTGAAAGAATTAGTTATGTCATCTAAAATTCACTTTTTTTTCTTTTAGTTATTATAATCTGCAGCCACTGTCAAATTTCCCAAAAACTGTCTGCATCTGGCAAGCATCCAGAAAGGAGATTGCTGGTTTTGTTTGCCTGGCATTTGGGAACCAAGAATTCCATCACCACTCCTTTCTCTTTCCTAACGTTCCTCTCAGTGCCGGGTCACTGCCATCTCGCTGGTTCCCAGCTTAGGATTTGGGAAATATTTTTGGTTCCACATTCTGCTTTCTACTCCTTTACACATGATATGCCTTTTCGTTGATGTTCCGCAACTGTGTACCTATTGCATTCTGTATCAAGGGAAATATATTCTGCTGAGGAAAGCTGTAAGGAACAACCTCACATTCTGAGGACTTAGTTTAAAATTTTAGTCCTATCTAGTCAGCAGCTATGACTAGAAATTCTTACTGGAAGAAGCTTTGTATCATTGAAGAGTGGGCAGTAAAATACTTCCCTTCCACTTAAGAAATTTTAGCCCTAAGGTGGGTTTTTTTGTTTGTGTGTTTTGGTTTGTTTTTTGCCATCTCAGCACAGCTGCCTTTGAGTAGTTAGTTCTCTTTCCTTCTGCCCTTGTTTTCTAACATTTTATCGAATTCTGACGACATGCCAGCACTGTCATAGGTGCTGTACGTGTTTCAGTTCATTCCAGCCTCAGCCATCCCATGAGGTAGGCCTTTTTTTATCCTCATCTTACAATGAGAAAACTGAGGCATAGGAAGTTTGAGTAACTTCTCTGAGAAAGTGGAAGAGTTTGGATTTGAAGTGAGGCATTTGATTTCCAAAGCCCAGACTCTTCACTGCTATCCACTCGGAACAATTCTTATCGTTCTCCCCTGTTCCTTCACAGAGTTGATTCATTCTCATCATACCCAACTCCCCCCGCCCTGGCTCATTTCATTGTCCTCTGTTCCTTCCCCAAGTTCTTTTTCCCAAGACCACATCTACCTTTGCTTTTCCAGAGCAGTCTAACATTTAATGCCTGACAAAGCAGCTTTCCTAACAAACTTCACCCCCTCTGACCATGTGCTGACCCCATGGCACCTGTGGACAACACTTTGTAATGTTATCACACTGGGCTTACATATTACCTTGAATTCCAACACTTTTATCATTCAAAGGTCACATGTATGTAGGGCAGCCCAGCCATTCTGGGGTGGAGCTAAGAGCCCAGAAGAAAAGAGAGAAAATTGTAGCCCCCAAATAGGTTGTCAATGTTAATGGGCTGAATCTCTTTGGTCATACACATAAGCCATACTGCCTACTGAGCTTAAGGAACAATTATTTACAGGAACTGGCAGACTATGGCCCACCACTTCTTTGTCATAAAGTTTTATTAGAACTCAACCATACCCATTCACTTACATTGTCTACGACTGCTCTTACACCAACAGTACAGTTGAATAGCTGTGAGAGGAACTGTCTGGCTCTTAAAGCCGAAAATATTCATGATCTGATTTGCTGTACAGAAAAAAAATTGTCAGTCGCTGATTTAGAAAATAATCTGTTAGAAGAAAGATCAACATTAAATTACAGCTTTGGTGGATGAATCATCCCATTTTGCTTATTGATGTAAATTAAACTCTGCTGACTTTCTAGATTTTATTTCAGAGATGCTGAATATTTACTTTTATGGTGTCTTCTCTCGCAAAGGGTTTTATAAAGAAACAATAACTTATGGGAATCCCCTCCCAGTCGACTTCATGGCATGTCAACACATCTTTGTTACATCACAACTCACTGTTTTTCAATTCCTTTGCCCGTTCAGAGCTTTAGACGTTGAAGGGCTCTTTAAGGGATGGATATTAAAATATGAGAAAGTGTGTAGGTATACATATTACTGAGTCATACATTTTTCAGATAATCTGTCAAAATTAGTATTTATGAGAATACTCTTTTTTTAAATTCCTAAGCACATTTTAATGCATAAGAGTTTTTGTAAAACTAATAGTCCTAACAGTCATTTGCTTTTATAAAGAAGTAGTATTGTTCATTCTTCCACCTAGAAACCCATCCTTCTATGCAGTCTTAGAAGTGAGTGTACAACTTACAAATGCAGTACAGAGGAGCTGTGGACCATTGAAACTTGGTAACACAATTCAAACCCTAGGGATCTTCTAAGTACCTGACTCTGAGAGCAACCTGACTCTGAAAGCCACAGCTCATCACAAGTATAAAAGCTGTATTTTGCAAATGCTTGTTACACAAACACCTAACTTGTTTAACATTCAACATTTTTTCTAAGACTTTAATAATTGATGAATTACCATTGAATAATAAGTGTACTCAATGAATAAGCATGATTAAGATCAGGCTTACAATTAATCTTATATCAAATAGCCTTAATACATGGATGGGAAAAGCAAGTTTGTACTTTTGAGTATGCAAAACACGGGGTTGTTTTTTTTTTTTTTTTTATTCATTAACTAGAGACCCGGTGCACAACATTCATGCACTCGGGGGCATGGGAGGGTGGGGAAGTCCCTCAGCCTGGCCTGTGCCCTTTGCAGTCTGGGAGCCCTTGGGGGACATCCTTAGCGCTGCCATGGAGGTGGGCCATTGCACTCGCCAGCCATCAGCCCAGCTTGTGGCTGAGCGGTGCTCCCCCTGTCATAAAGTTTTATTAGAACTTTGCTCCTGCATTGAGTGCCAGCCCCCTGGTGGTCAGTATGCATCATAGCGACCAGTTGTTCCACTGTTCAGTCAATTTGGGTATTACCCTTTTATAGGATTATGTATTCTTTATTTGTATTACAACTATAACCCTCCTTTTGCCCACCCCTCTGTTTTCTTAGGAACATTTTAACTCTCTTTTTAAGTGCTTTGAAAAATGATATTTATTGATTTTTTTCATTTAACATAAAATAGTTGAAGGTAATTGCATAACACTCTTAGTCATGATTTCAAAAGATAAAAAGATTCACCTGTTTTGGGTAAGTCATAAAAACACAGTGAATGTACTTTGTGAAGTAATCAGTAATTAATTCCATAGTTCTCTTCTTCCCACAAAATCTGTTTTTGAAGCAATACCAATTTAAAATGTTAAAGCACTTTTGAAAAGATTTCAAAAACTACAACAAAAGTGTTTATCACACAGGCAGTTCTTTATTCACTTTTCTGTGTACTTACGAGTATATTGAGAGTTCACTATTTTGACAGATGTTGGAAAGGACACAATTCCCTTTGAAAAGGCATTCTTTCACATTATACTAGTACATCAATGAATATGTGTCTTTTATAATGAAGGACAGAAGAGCTGTAGACCATTAAAACTTTATACAGTATCGATAGCTGAGGACCAGGAGAATCCACCTGTGTTCTGAGCCCTTATGTCACCCACCTGTTTCCTTGTGAACCTAGTCTAGAGTTTGAGGTTCACTGTAAAGTGCCTATTGAACTTCTCAAAGAGTTGTTTGATGCTTGGATGGCATTTACCACACTGAGTAATAGAGATAGACTTGTGTAATACTCGTCATTAATATTTATGGGGGGCAATAAAGTAAATTTAATCACGGAACAAGGAAGTGCAGATTCTCTGAAACTTTCACAGGTTTATGGAACCTTTCTGTTCTTCAGTTTCCTGGTGACCTAAATTTATGGATTAAGTTATAAATTGCACATTCTTCCTTGGTTAGCCTGAAACAGGTGGATTATGGTACTAATCCTGGTGGAAAACAGAACTTGGGGATCAGATAAGTCTGGAACTAGGTCTCCCAGCTACTGTGTGATCTTGTTAACCCTCCTAACCTTCTGTTTGCTTGTCTGTTAAAATACAGTTGATAATAACCGCTCAGCCAGATTGTTATAGAGAGTAGATGAGATAACATTGTAAAGCATGAACCCAGTAGTTAGCATTTAGCAGTGGTCTCTCTCTGTGCCTTTCCCTATGTCTTTCTCCTTCTTTGTCCCTTGCTTTCCTGCCTTCTTCATCAGGCTCCTTTCATGCTGGCAAGAAATTTGTTTTTCTTGTGGGAAAGTCCATTTGTATCTAAAGCTGCACAAGTCATTCCAAATGGGTTGTTTTAACATGGGAACTTATAGGAGCTTCATGGGAATTGTCACTGTTGATAAGTCTTGGCCAGCTGTGCCTGGCTTCTGTCTAACCTTATGCAAAGTAAGCTCACACTATTCAACGAGACAGAAGCCTCTAGAAGGGCAAGCAGACACAAGATTTGTAGCCTCATCACTGTGTTGGGCTCTGTCATTTCTCTCAGCCTGAAAGAGAACGTTCATTGCAGTTTGAAGAAATAGCCCACAATTTCCCCAAAGCTTTTCCTGTAAGAGCCCCTTTCTAACAAGCAGGGTGAATACATTGCTCATGATATTAAATGTACAGAAACCTCCAACTTTTGGGGGGTGCTTTACTGGAGTGGCTTTTTGAGGTCAGAGTGTTCTCAAATCCAGTGTGTGAGCTGAAGAACAAATATTTCTCTAAAGATTAATGTATAACCACTCAAGAGTGTTTTCACATTAGTTTGGGGATAAGACCAGCAACAGTCACTGATCATCATTAAGGATGATAATACAGGTAATTGAACTGTTACACACACATCTAAACAAAGGCTTATTTTTCTGACATTAAACAGACTCATTAGGTAGCAGCCAAGTGGTAGAACAAACAAAGCGGCCTCTTGAATGCTGAATTTCCAAACTTCAGTATCCACGTCCCCACTTTATGAGTATGAAAACAAAGTCATAGGATAAGTGACTTGCAAACAGTAATATATTGGAGACAGAACTAGAGCTGAGATTCTCTGCCAGGCCCCCAAACAGTATTTATTCCTCTCCACAGGTGGGTCCTACCCAGGCCACTGCATCAGAATTCCCAGGAAGAGGTCTATAAATCTATCGGGTGATTTATGATTGGTGCATTGGGGGATAATGTATTATACTGCTTTGCTGCAGATGTCAACAAAAGATAGACTGATCAACAATTATCAAACTTAATATTCAACAAGCACGGAAAATTGAGGGAATCCATTCAAAACTTCCCTAACACTAACTATAAACTTGGAAGAGCAGCCTCATGTGCAAAGAAATGTGCTAGGTAATAACCCAACCAACTTCTTAATCCTCAATATTTTTCCATTGATTTTTAGAAAGTGGAAAGGAGAGAAACAGAGAGAGAGAAGCATCAACATGAGACACATTGGTTGTTTGCCTCCCACACGAGCCCCAACCAGGACTGGGGATCAAACCTGCAACCAAAGAATCAAACCTGTGACCCTTCCTTCAGTCCTTGGGCTGAGACGCTAACCACTGAGAAAACTGGCCAGGGCAGCCCAACCAGCTTTTATCAAATTTAACCTTTTTTTTTTTTTTTTTTTTTTTTTTTTTTTTTTTTTTTGCCCAAGCTCCCTAGACTATACCACATATTTAATTTATCATTCCTCACTGATAATCAATATAAATGAATGCCATACCAACACATCTCATTGTATCTTAAGTCAAGACACAGCTCAGCTCACTGTACGTCTGAAAGATGGATTTTGGTAAGGCACCCTTTTCAACATCAAGTCAAATAAAAGTTACTCACCATTAGACCTGCTCCTATGATTCCTGGGTACCACCACTCAAAGCAAGAGATGGGGTTTTGAAAAAATTTGCCTTCCTCGACTCTGTTGACAATGAGAGGGATTGCATTGAGAACTACTCCTGACAGAAGGAGAACCAACAGGCTGAATCCATTGCAGGAGGTACATCCTTCACAGCAGGTCATGGTCACCCCTTGGCTCAGTTAGAAATGCTGTTCCAGTGGCTGTTTGTGTGGCACTGTCTTGCCTTTATCCTGAGCCTCCTAACCTAGTTAAAGTTTAGCACTTATGAAATTAATTTCTGGAATTGGTTTAGAGTCCAAGAGGGCAGACCTTATTATGAGCACAGGAAGTAAGGATAAGCTTATATTATGATGAGGTTGGGAAAGGAAGGCAGGGGGGGAGGGGAGTCTGTTTGTTAGGTAAATATATGCATGAAAATAGGCAGATGGTAACTAAGAACAAGGATGAAGAGGTTAAGAAATGCTCCTCTAACGTATTTTACCAGTGTACCTTATAGAAGTGAAAGCAAGAATACCCAATTAACATAAATTATTTTTCCTGTTGTATTGATATTACCATGTAGTGAAGTTCTTTACTTTGAAATTGTTTAACAATAAAACAAATAGGAGATTGGGGGTAAAGTATTTCCTCTGTTGCAAATGTTCTTGATTAGTCAAAATTTTAGGGAATATACCAAATTTTAAATTTCTTCATGTCATATTTTTCCAGTCTTGCAGACTAACTCATTTAGTGATAACCCACGTAAGACTTGTGGGAGATTTGGTCAATGCTACTTGACTGGAAGTGTTCAAGTAGTTACGGGACAGGAATGCTGAATGGTCCAGGGCTGCTGCTGCCTCTGTAGTAGTCAAAAAGGCAGGGAACTTGGTCGAGTTCAAGCACACACCACTGCAGCTACAGTCCAGGAAGCCACTGCCTCTGTTGCAACTCCTGCCTCTACACATCCTCAAGGCTATTGACTAAACTCTGGAGCACGGGCTGTGATGTCTGCTGTCACTACAACTGTTTCTTCACTTCCGTGAAACTAGTAACTAGACCCAGGGACATCGCTGCAGTGCAGAAAATTCAATATTTCAGTCTTTCTTAACAGCAACAGACAAAAGTAGCAGAAAGAGGACTTCCACCTCATTTTTTGTCTTCCATATTTCTCAAGGGTGGATCTAATTGTTACATAATCCAGAGCTTATATGTAGAGTATTCTAGGAAATGTAGTTTCCATCATTCTGGCTTCTGCCATACAGAAAGGCATAGTAGAAGGACATAAAAATGGATATTGAGCAAAACAGTTCACCAAAGTGATTTAAATTGTATGAAAAAAAATTTTCTCTAAGTTATCTTCTATGACCATGTAACAGGTCCTTTTAAAATAATTTGAATTATGTTTGTATTTCTTACATATCTTATATGTTTAGAATGTCTGAACATTTAGACTTGCATGTCCAGAATGATATGTAATATTTTTAAAACAAGTCGAAACTACCTGTTTAGTTCCATTGAGAACACTTCAGGAGTATTAGATTTGTTTCTTTAAGAGATAGAAGAGAGTTAGTTTGAGGAAGAATGGAGTTCCAGCCAAGTCTTATTTGTATCATTGGTGAAAACAAGAGGTGATGCAAAAACATCTTGTTTTATCCTCTCCCTAAGCCTATCGCTCCCCCGCATAGCTCTCTGCACACCACAGACCTGGGAGTAGTGAGGATTATAGCCAAATACCGGGAATTTTCTACTACACTGTATAGAAGAAGGTAGCTCCTGCTATTTTCTGCTCAGTCCTCTCAACCCCTATCTCTGAAGCTCCATCTCATGAAAGATTCACATGACTCTAAGGTAGCTCCATTCATGCACCAAGTATGCATCATAGTACCCTGTGTTTATGTAGTATGAATAGATATAAAATGCCCATCCATGTTCTGTCAGGCATCCTCTCCTAAATATACTCCCATTAAAGGTTTTATTAGGACATGGTTTTATATGCAGACACAGCTACTTATCCATCAACATTCATGCTTTTACTTTTCATAGTAGACTAGAGGCCCAGTGCATGAATTCATGCAGGAATGAGGTCTAGCTGGCCCGCCCTGATGGGGGTCCATTGGACATGGCCAGCAGGGCAGGGAGGGGCCACAGGCAGTTAGTGGCCAATCCTAGCCCTGATCGGGGTGTTGGGGGCCTATCAGGGCCCAGGCCTGCTCATCAAGCTGGTTGGCTGCCACAATGAGCATCATAGCCACTGGTCATTCTGGTTGTTCTGATTGTTCTGGGCATTCTGCCATTATGGTTTCTGGGCTTTTATATATATATAGATAATTGTTGGAAAATGCCTGTCAATCATGAATTACATTTCCCAGCTCTCCATACATTTAGATTGGACCATGTGACTACTTCTCACCAATGGGAAGTGAGGGAAATAGAATGGGTCACTTTCACACTAAGGATCTTAACACATTGCGGACCAGTAGTCTTATTGCTAGCCTTGCCCCGGTGGCCAGAGAAGTTTCTATTGAATGGGTACAAAAATTGTTTTACATAAATGTTAAAGGCGCACTTTAAAATTCAATACCCATTGTATTTTGAAGTTATTTATTACATGTTCTTATAAGCCAATATTTTTTTAAGGAAATTTTATGATTGGCTACAAGTCTTAGAACAGGAAACACGAGAATTCTCATGATCTTTCGGCAATGTGTTAAGAAGTGATGGATGTTGTACTTTTTCTTCTTTTACACTTACATTTTGCAGACAACCAAGTTACCTTGAAAGTCATATGTTGAAAATATGCATCAACCTAGATCCCTGAATGAGTGAGCAGGGCACAGCTCCCCAACTGCTCACCCCTTCTGTCCACCCAGAACTGCTCAGGCTAATTGACATCGGCAGGAAATAAATGTCTACTGTATTATGTCACTGTATATTTTTTGTGTAAATTTGTTGTTGTAGATAGCACTGCCTCAATACATTCAGTGCATTCTTTTGTTCTTCACCTTAGAACCTTCCTAAAGTCTGCAACTCCCACCCCTCCTCAAAACGACATAAAAAACAAATCAAAGACAGTGAAATTCTTTTACCTGGTGTCTTATTCAGAAATGATATTTGGGAGTATTAGAGAATACTAAAACAGTAAGAAGCATACAGTATATAACCAAGGTCAGGAATAATACAAGTGCAAGAGTTCTATAAACAGAAAAGTAAATATTTCAAAAGAATTAAATACATTAAAAAGCATTATTTCATTTCACTGAGCTCATTAATATGAATTGTTATATCCTAAGGAGAAATCTGTGGCCTGTTCTTATTTCAATACAATTGATAGATCAAGTTGGATTGAGAGATATTTATATATATATATATATATATATATATATATATATATATATATACTTTATAAATACTGTGTATATATTAATTCCCACTATAGCCAACATATATAAAAGTGTTGACCTTGCAGACCTTGAGACCCTGATTCTATTTCACAGAAGCACATGTACAAACTAGTCATTTCAATGGCACATGCTAGGCTCTGTTTTAGAGGCATGTTCCAGGGAAGTAGGCCCTTCTTACCAGGGGGCATAATCCTATATAATAAAAAGGTAATATGCAAATTAACCCTCATGCCCTCACAAGATGGCTGCCTATGACCAGGCTAGCAGTGGGAGGGCGGGGATGGGGGTGCAGTGGTAGTGAGGGACGACCAGGCTGGCAGGCAGGTAAGTGATTAGGAGCCAGTGGTCCAGGATTGTGAGAGGGATGTACGACTACCGGTTTAGGCCCAATCCCTGAGGTCAGGTCTAAACCGGCGGTCAGACATCCCCCACGGGGTACCGGATTGGAGAGGCTGCAGGCTAGGCTAAGGGGACACCCACTCCCCCCATGCACAAATTTCATCCACTAGGCCTCTAGTTCTTCCATAATCATGGGAGTTTTTCACGTACCCAAGAAGCACTCTTAGATCTGGGCAATAGGATCCATGCACGTTAGGGTCCCATAGGTCATAAGCACACAAAAATAAATTTGTTAAAGAACATAAAGGGTCTGGCAGGTGTTGCTCAGTGGTTGAGCATCGGCCCATGAACCAAGTAGGTGGTCACTGGTTCAAAACTCAATCAGGACACATGATTGGGTTGCAGGCTCTGTCCCCAGTAGGGTACATGCAGGAGGCAGCCAATTGATGATGTTTCTCTCTCATCGATGTTTCTATCTCTCTATTCCTTTCCCTTCCTCTCTCTCTAAGAATCAGTAAAAACATATTTGAAAATAAAAGAACACAAGGGCCTCTCTTCCACTTAGGATCCAGAGCTCAGCCTGTGAGCCTAAACATCCGCTGTGTGGGGTGACAGCTCAGGCCCCAAGAAAGTGCTTCTCCACAGCATTTGTCTGTGTCCTGGAAACGGAAGCTGAACCCTCTCCCTGTCCTGGCGGGTTGTGGGCTGATGGCCTCAGAGCCTGCGGGGGTGGCCTTGTATGGTAGGGATACTTAGGCAGGAGAAAAGACAGTGGACTGGTCGCATCCTTCCTCTCAGCATGAATACACAATATCCTTGTGTAACCAAATGTCATTTCCAGTAAGGAGAGGCCAGCGTCATTCTCCTGCTTCTCCTGGCGTCCCAGTTCCTTGTTCTGCAGGTGCTCACATGTTCCTGTGGAATTCACAATGGTGCATGTGGCGGCTGAGCCATGTTTATAGTATTTAACATATCCTTCTCAGGCTGTTTACATGTGGGTCTCGACATAACTTGCATGGAATAGGCTATTGATCCTTCACATTAGCAGGATATGGACATTAAACACTGGGCTGGTGAACACTTTTACTTTCATAATATATTTGCTAAAACTTAATTAAATACTTTAAAAAGTAAATGAATATTTCAGCTTTACTTAAATAATTTTTATTTGAAATGTAGACATTTATTAATTATAAATTTTATCTCTTAATTTTGTAGATAATTTTGAAGATTTTTTAAAAATATTTTTTTTTTTACTTCACACTTTCTACATTTTGTTGTTTTGGTAAAAATATGTGCAAATTTTTAGTATGAATACTATAAAGTTCACTTTTAATTCTGTAGATCATTACTGTCAATGGATTGCAAATTATGTTTTAAACATTTATTATTACAAATAGTTAATAATTTGCTGAAATGATGATAAAAGTCTTAAATAAATAT